TTCACTAGTTTACCAAAAGTGTACACTGATGAAATTAACATAGGCTATATTCAGAATCAAACACCCCTCAAGCAATCTTTGTGCTTGTTAACATTCTGTATTTTGTGGTACAAGGTTACAGATAGTATTATCTTTGTATGTGTAGATTTGGTGCAGATATCGAAAATAATAAATTTATCTAGTTCAGTTTTATTTCAATACAGTAATGGCATAGTTTTATCACAAACTACATGAGACATAGATTTTAATTTGGCCAAACATTTGAGTTTCGCTTTGCTAAATACTTTTTCATGGGTTTCAACGATTCTTATAAATTAAAAGTTACTTTTGAAACGTCTTTAGTTGGCTATCTTATCGAATTGAAACGAGTCATGTGAAGTACTGCGTGTAGAATCAATATGCAAGCGACCAATATTCTGTTTTGAGACACCTGGGTATTGTTAGCATTAGTTTATTTTATTTTTATTTGACTAGGTGCCACAGAAGATACCACGAGAAACATGTCGGGTTATGTTATTGTATGCGCGCGACTCGTTTCGTGGGAGTGGGTGCTTTCTCCAGCTGTATTGATCAGCTGTGCGATCAGCTGATACCTCAGTGGAAATTTCCACACCTCTAACAAAGAGGGGAGAGAGAGAGAGAGACTAGTATATAGAGAAAGAGAGAGCACAGAGCCAACCTGTCTACGTCTACGTGATGTCATATACTCTGTTTGCTAGATAATGAACCATGAGTTTGCAGTGCATTCTGATAATCTGTCAAAGTCAAAGAAGAAAATTATTATTATTCCCGTCACAGTAGTACTTTTAGGTTGCTTTTGGTAAATATTTACCGGAATGAATAAACTAAGGAACCCGTTTACTGAACATGTGGTAAATCAAATTAAAATGACAGCAAAGCAAACAGTGTTGAAAAAGGGGAGTGTCAATAGAAATAAACTGTTAAAGGTTCAAAGTCCAATTACACGAAACTTATCGTGTGAACTTTAATATTGACGTTAATTAGAGATAATTTTGGCGTCCTGCTTAGTTTGTTTTGATCTGAGAACAGTGTTCTTTGGCAGTTTTTTTCCTTTATAACTTGATGTTTGCAAAACGCAAAAGTAATCAGAGACCGTGATCGTCGGGAGGCTGTCCCACTTTTGCAGCTCTTATCTCGAGTTATGTAAGTGGTAAAAGGGCACGGCCAGAGGTGTGATGGTTTGCGTAATATTTAAATGGAGAAACTGCCAGGAACAACAATGTAACCATTGAGTAGGACTTCTGCAAGGCTCAGCATAGCAGTACCATCGAGGTAGACTTCTGGAGTGATCGCTAAATGGGGCAAAAACGGTCCGTGCTGGAAAGCGGTGGTAGGCAAGAACGAATTCGGGCGTATTTCAGTATCGTGCGCGCTGCAGTTTACTCGCTGTTGTAGCTCAACGGAAAAGCTCCAGTCAAATAAAACTTATATATTCTTAATCTACATAAACATTGGATTCTGACAGTATAAATATCTTTTATTGTAATAATTATTTCGAATTTTAATAATTGAAAATATAGAAGACTTACCAGAGACTGACATGGAAAAGTCACTAAGGGAGGAAAATTTTTATTTTTGGGTTACAAACAAACTTCTAGCGGGAAAGTTGTAGCCAATGAGTTGATCTTAACTTTCAAATCAACCAATTTGTGATAAAATGATTGCGTCATTATTAAATCGTTTGGAAACGAGCGTGGGACGGTACCGCGCCGCCACCGCGCGGCCACTCCCGGAGTACCCGGTCCCGGTTGTGTAGCTTTGTCGATATGCATTTTCAGAAAACAATCTAGAACGTTTATTAATAAGTATTTGTATAGGATCTTATCGAAAATACATCCTTTCCTTTCCACATGTACTTTAGGAGTAAAATTAACAATCAAGTTTAAGATTAAATTTATAAATTTGTTTTCAGCTATACAAACGACCAATGTTCATTCAAATCAAATTGATTATTTGCCATACTTTAAAAACAAGAAGAATATTTGGAGATTTTAACGGGTAAATTTCATGAATGACAACCCGAAATCTGGGATTTTTCGTGAATGCAGTGGTAGCACTGCCAGGCATTGATAGGATCGAGATGTTTTTTGTTTGTTTACGAGCAGCGCACACTTGAGTTGGGCGTCTTATCATCTCTGCCATCGTTTGTTGATATTTTAATGCACTGGACTTTCAGTTTTAAAATGTTCCCAATGTTCCAGGATGGTAACATCCTGTGCAGCTATTAATTGTATTAAACTACAAAATAGGGAAAAAGATGACCATATGTTGACTGAAGCCTTTGAGTACATTTCCAAGTTAGTTGTAGAGAATATCAACATTCTGGAGCACCCTAGAAAAACCTTTGCTCTCGGGTTCTTAAGTAACATTATTTCTGTTAGAATGTTAAGAGATAAGTTGTTAGAAACTGAAGATTTTGAGTACCTGTTAACTTATAAGTTATCTCAGGATTATTTGGAGTTATTGTTTTCATGTATTAGAAGCAGAACTGGTAACAACAACAATCCTAATGTTAAAGAATTCATGTGGGCCCTAAGGAAGCTTATGTTCCGCAATAGCGTTAGGCCCTCGGAACATGCTAACTGTTCTGACCTTAGTAAAACCTCAGTTCAAAGTCCAGTTTTAGACTTAGATATAAGTAGTCAAAGCCAACTAAACCCCTATGACAGTTTTAACGATGAAATTGATGATAATTTAGATGATGAACTTGAAATAGTATCTGTGCTTAGTGAAGGTTTGGGGCAATCATACTACAAAGAAAACATAATGTACTATATTGCTGGATTTGTTGTAAACAAAGTTTCTAAGAAGGTAAAGTGTACTGAGTGTCTCAATTTGTTAACGACAGATAGCACAGATTTGAGTAGTTATACTCACTTTACAGATTTCATCTCTGAAGGTAAGTTGGTGAGAGTATCAGTAGAGGTATTCAAAATAATTCAATTTATTTACAAGTTGGTTGACATTCAGTCGGATCGTAACTTGAACACCCAAAAAGTACTCATTCAGACTAGTAGTAATTTCAAAGATTTGATTTTTAAAAACCACCCAGCAAATGGTTTAGACGAAGTAAACCATCGAGTAATGCTAATTAAAGCAGTTGGTAGTTTATTTTTAAAGGTAATTGGCCATCACAAAGCCAGGGAAGCTACAAGTGCTTCCAACTTGCCTAATCTTGGGTTAAGATCAAAATTAACCAAACTGATTTTGTTTAGAAATGTTTAGGATTTAAGATCTAAAAATCTAGACATAAATGTTATTAAGGTGTTGTTTGTATATAATGTTTTTTATCTTATTTGAGTTCAAATAGATAATGTATATTTAATAATAATAAATTATTTTGATTCGTTGAAAGTGTTCTTATTGCCTTTTATTTCATTTTAATTTATAAACATGAGACCAATCTCTAATTATTACAGTAATTGGACTGTTATGACCCTCTATCCAAATTTATTTCAAAAGCCAAAAAATGTTTAAAAATATTATACAAATGTGTTAGGGAAATATTCCAATTTGTTTTTAATAAAATAAAATAAAACATGTCACTGACAAGAAAATTACACTAAAAGTTGAAGTTAATCGTGTTTTAAAAATATACCTGATGTGAAAGTAAGAATGAAATTAATTCCGAAAGAACCACAATCTATTAGAGAATACAATTCAATCGTTCATTTGTCCTAAAAAAATCATGTCGTCTGGAAACAAAATAAAAGTAGGCGCGCGTCGCGATTTTCCCTATCCCGCCCATCTTAGCGCTGGCGTTCTTGCCTACCACGGGCTGCTCACAGCTACTCGCGGCCGGACCGAAAAACGGTTCGCTTCAACACGGGCGCGATCACTCCAGAAGTCTACCTCGATGAGCAGTACATCGAAAACCCTTACAAATTGGCATTCAATTTATTGCCGTATTGTTCACTCTAACGCCCAGAAACTGTTTACAGATTATCTAGAGACGATTGAATGCTAAAACAATCGTATTTTTATTTTAAAAATCTATTCTAATACACTGACGCATGTTCAAAGCAATAGCAATATCCAAATCTCAAGTGGCAAGTGAAATGACACACGTTCATTGTTGATGATATAAATCGATACCGGTACTAGACCCGCTTCTGGCGCTTCTCAGGCGGGCGATCTGACACAGCTGTCTGAAAGTGTCAGTTGTTTGCTTTTGTCGAACAAAGCAATACAAATAGTTTAATCATAATAAATCAGGTGTTGAAAAAGTTGTATGAGTCGTTTTATGACAGTTGTAGTTCAACAGCTGGTCTATGCTGGTAAAATTAAGGTAATTTGACTTGAATTTAACTATTTTTCTACATTGAACTATTTTTGGTGTTATACGTCCAGAGTTTGATTCATGATGAAAAATAGTTGTTACCTTATTTTGTGTTGTATATTTTCTTAAAAAAGGTAATAACCACACTTTAATATGAATTTTTAAAGTACCTAAATTTGGTGATCAGTAGGATTGACACCACCATGTTATAACGTTTTTTTGTGGATTTTTTGTTGATATAAAATAAGGAAAAAACACGCAAAAGTTGAAAAAACCCATGTGTATTATAGTAGCGGTGACTTTTTAATGAAAAATACAGTAGGTAAAAACAAATTTCCCAACCATTATTACCTTACAAAAATTACACTCAAGTTCTTATGAATGTTCATAGGTAGCGCCATTGAGCAACTCTTCGCTCCGCTATTGCCCTAGACGTGCGCGCGCAGCTCCAGTCAGTAGTCTTCTTTTCTCTTCTCTCAGTCAGTCTTCGACTTCGTGGCGTCTGCTTGACATTTGATAAACGTTACGTCTAGTCGTGTTTTATTATTATTTTTATTTTTTGACCATTAATATTGTGCATGTCATCAAGTGTGATTATTGAGATATTGGCAAGTGCAAGATAAAGTTGGTTTAGTTAATCCTAAGTGCAAAAAGTGTTTGTGAAAGTGATTACCAAAAGGAGTTTGGGTTTTCTTTTTAGTTTAGCAAGTGTTGGTGTTGTGCCAATCGAGTGTTCAGTGCAAAGGGTATGGTGTTCCTTTTGGATGACTGGGGTATGGGAGAAGCTCAATTCCTTCAGCAACACGATGTAAATCAGTTTCACCTCACCATTGACCATGATGACGACGAAGTATCTCTTCTTCCGCTTAACAACCAGGTGAGAAATAATTTAGTGTGAAGTAGGCCTAGCTCCAGTGCTTAACCTAGGTTTCGTTGTATGCATTTGCCCAGACTTAGCCTACCTTATCGTTACGATGAGAGAATTTACGGGTACAGTTTCTTAACTGGGCTATGCTAATATCAATTGAAACTATCAAATGGAAAATATTGATTAATAATCGGTATTTTTAAATATATCTATATTATAAAATTAAACTATCATAACCTAACCTAACCAACCAAACTTGCTGATGGTGAAAAAATCGCATGAAGGTTTCTAATCAAATCGATAGTTTCAATCGATATTAGCATGCCCGAAATGACTGATTGGATCTTATGAAAACATCTCTGAGGGATGAAAACTGACATGAAAGACTGTTATTGTTTAAATTAATTTATTGATGATAATCTCTCACTGTTCCTGAAATATGCTCAAAAGTAAACAACTTGTTGATAATTTTGGCGTGGCCTAATTTATATAGGCTACCCTAGCCTAGATGTCTGTGTTTAATGTTTCTAAAGTTATATTACTTGTTTGTTTATTATTTTAGGCTACAGGCCTATTGTGGGATAGACTTCCGTATCTGTTGGCACAAACAACCGAATGAAAATATTGATCGATATATTGAATAAAATTATCGAATAATCAATATTTTCATCCGGTTGTTTGTGCCAACAGATACGGAAGTCTATCCCACAATAGGCCTGTAGCCTAAAATAATAAACAAACCAAAAACAAAATAAACAAAAAAGTTAACTTAGTCCTTTAAGTTCTGGAACAACTCCCATTGCTGTGAAAATTTTGGTTCAAAAGTTTTTGTAACTTAACTTAAGTTTACTTATTACGGTAACTTATGTTTTTTACCCAAGATCAAGGAAAATCCGATTTTTTTTTAAATGCGGTTTTTAATTAAAATGGGTGTTATCGTTCTTACAATCCCTAGTACATCCACCCATTTGAGTAAAAGTTACTGTGTTCTAAAATTATTGCAAGTTTTTGTGATTTTACCCACGGTGGAAGAAAACACATACGTTAGTAGGCTAGGCAGGATTTTCCCGTCGTAGTCTAACATCACCCAGACTGCAAGCAGAAAATTCCCACATTGTAACAGTCATATAGGCGAAGTAGGTACCGGTATACTGTAGGCCTACATTTGTTTTGATTTTATTTTTATTGTTTTTATAATTTTTTTAAATAGGGAAATGGTGTTTTTGCAATCTGGGTGACGTCAGCATATGGCGGAAATATCACGCCTGTCCATGACTTTTCCTTCCACCATGGATTAGACCTATAAAATATCATAGTTACTCCCACCACCTACCATTAAGCTTGTAAATAAAGGTTGTTTACAAGCTTAGCCTATGTGAGAAAGTATATTGTGTCTCAGATTGCTGATGTCGTTTAAAGTCTTAGGCCCTATAGCGAATTTCCCACTTAGGGAATAAGCTATTACTACCGTAGGTCTCGTGGTAAAACCTGGGCCCTGGACCGATTTACTTTTTTGTTTTGATGTCCCTAGAGGCCAAAATATATCCGTTCAAAATCATCTACAAGTATAAAAGAAAATGTTAGTTTGTAACTTATATATTTGGCAGTGATAAACTCAGACACCGCTGGACTGATGGCCACGGAACTTGGTACATACTTTTAGAATTTCATAAAGTAGGTTTATACACCATCAACTTTGTGATAACTTTTAGGGCTAAGCCCTTCTTAGAGGTAGGCCTACCCTTGCTAGGGGGAAAAATTAATTTTTTTATTAGGCCTAACATTTAAATATTGAAGTAAAATCTAAAACCGGTTTATGTAAATTAAGTTCTGCTTTTTTACTTGTTTAACTTATATGAAGATTTGTTTCTTGGTGCCGTGTGGTTAATTTAGACTTTTGCATAATAGGCCTACCGGTATATTTAAAATGCAATAAACTAGGCTTAGGCTATAAAATGTTGGCATGTAACTTAATTAGTAGGCCTACAATTGTACATTCTACATAATGTTTTAATATTTTGGCAGATAAAGCCTATCCCAAAAACTTCATAATTAAGGGAAGATAAGTTTAGACACTTAAGTAGCATATTAAAATGTTACCCTATAGGAACTAAAATGAAGGGGGGAAGCCTACTGGCTTTCACCCCTCTGCTGGAAAAATTTAATTAGGTAATCTTTTTGATTCCCCCTTACAAAATCAAACAATTCTATTCATGTCTTAAAACCAAGTTAGGTAGGCTACTTTTAAAGTATACAACTTGCTAGAAAAACGTTATAGTCTCTGTTCAGTTACGAGATTATTTCATAAGCTATTCTAAGTGGGAAATTATCATTGTTTTTAACTTCAATCAGAGTATTATTTCTATAGGTTGGTTTGGAAGGTTTCCATATTAGAAATTATAAATAAGTGTAGGTAATGAAAGCTGGATTGAGCTACTTTCTGGTCTGTGTAAAAAAGATCTCTGTCCTCTGGTCCTCAACAATAATTGTCTGCAGCAAATTATCACAATCAATTTTGTACTAACAAACATACCCATACTCCAGTCGTACCTCACACCAACAGTCTTACCACAGTCATTATTTACAAATTACGCAGTTTCCATAACATTTAACTTAACATTCCGCAACTGGCAGCCTAGTCCCCTTGGTCACGCTATTTCTCATAATATTGAAATTTTAGGATGAATCAAGATGAAATATTTTTCTAACAGGGGTCTCTTCTACTTTAACCTACATACCGGTACCAAGGTTCATAAAGATCGGTTGAAAATATTAGAAGATAAAAATGTTTAAAAATTCAAAACGGCGGATATCTGGTTAGCAAAGCGATTTTGAAAAAAAATTTATTCTTGATTTACTCTTTATTTTGACCTAAGAAATAACTAGGCAAAATATGTCCCCACCTTTTTTGAACACTGTATAATTAATACACCAACACAAAATTTGTCGGTTGAACTCCTCTGCATTTCTTAACCGATTTTATCTATTGACGTATCATTGGAAAGAGCGTGTCCATAGATTTGCAAACTGACCTTAGATTTATTTTAAAGTCCCTTGGGCTCTGCCCCAGTGGCTTTTAAAGTTCCCATGTTATCCTTATGAAGAACATATTTGTTTACATTATGATCAGCTGGATATTTAATTGCTGTTATTGTTTAAGCTGCAATTCAAAGAAATGCATCCTACAAAAATTAAATCTTTAAAAATTAAATTATTGCAAGAACCCATTTGCGGATACAAGCCATAGAACGCCACCGAGTATAAGAAATAGAGATAATATTTTTTAAAGAATTTACTACCGTATCGTTATTAGCCTATATAATGAAGAACACCTACAAGATTCAGATTATTACAAACGATGAACGAGGATGTTAGCCGAAGTGCTACCTACAGTTTTTAGTAGTAAACATGGACTTAACTTCGTGATCATTGCAGAGGAAAGCCCTCTAAGGCCAAATAAATCTGGTAACTTACGTCAATGACATTAATCTATGTTTCCATGAAAGTCAATTGATTTTAGAATAATAGCCTATGGAAATATCCAAAAACCCTTACTAACATTTTTATTGAAGGCACTTAATTATTATTCATATATAGCTTAGGGAAACAAAAACCAACTGAACAACATCAGGTCTTTAACTCCTCATTTTCTCAGGTAAATATTATTAACGTTATTGCAACTAAACAAAAATACACCAATTGAACAAATATACTGTAATTGTGACAGACACAGGAAGTCCTTAAGGTGATGAAAAAAATTTATATCTTTGTTAAAAAATGACTGAAATTTGTAAACTTACTGCTGGCGACAAGGGTGGTACCATGCATAGGTTTATAAATAACTAAGATAAACATGGACAACCTTATGCGGCTATAAGTCAGGAAATGTTTTTAGAAAACATTAAAAAGCAATACCAGGTTATGAAATATGATCAAATATTTACAGGAAATGTTGATTACTGTCCATGAGTTACACGCCAGTAATCTTTGAGTTGACTCTTTAAAGTCATTGTAAATATGACTGTTATTCGTTTTGAAATAGCTTTTGTAATACGCTGTAATCGCTCGAATTCGGGCAACACTTACACTATTAGCAAATAATGCTCTGTCAGACTATAAGATTCAGAATAGTAGTACTCATTCCATTCTGCTTTGTCTTTGAGTGCCATTTTAAAAATGTGTCATTCCTATTTTATCACTTCCTACTATGCATTGGATTATTCGGTACTTTATTATACCGACCGCACCAATAAATCGACTTCAAAATAAGATTTTAATTAGTTTAAATAACAAAATCTTAACCTAACCGTACCACCCTTAGGTTAGGTTAGGTTATAATTATTAGGTTTGGTCTGTAGAGTACCGATTATTCATGAATGGACATAAGATATATCTTTAAAAATAATTTGTTTGGATTTATCTTTTCTCCTCTATAGATTGCAAGCACCGCGGAATAAAATTTTGAAATTAGTAGTTGTGCATAAACCTTTTATTGCAAAGGACTCCAACATTTTCTTTTCTTTTTGTCCAGGTTGGCGGCCACACGCGAATGTTGTTGCTAGACCAGGGAACTATTTGCAAGCCTCTGAACCCAAAGGAGCTTGACTTCTACCAAAACATTCCACAAGACATTCAGACATTTGTTCCTAAATATAAGGGTAAGTTTTGAATTTCTATATAGCGGCATATTACATTTTACTATGAAGGCCTAATCAGTTATCAGCAACGTTTACAACTAATTAATTATTATTTAAATATTTAAAATGGGTTTGTGAGTAGCCCAGCCAACTACTTTTAAGAATATTTGTAAGATGAATTGTATCTAGGCTGATTTAATACAGATATTGTCCATTAAAGCTTGCCTTTAGGTGGGAACTGTACAGTAACATATAATATTAGTAGATTCCAGTAGTTCATTTTCTTTATCAGAATTTATTCAACTAATGAATCACGGGTTGTAAATGAAAAGTCTAGTAATACTTCAATAATATGTGTAGGTGTTGTTGAACATTTTTGAAGTGCTATCGGTAGTTTTCATTTACTATTCAAGATGCACATTATGCTTTATAGGAAAGCAATCATTAATTTAGAAATTTATTCCAAAGTAGAAGTTTTTTTCTCAAATGATTATGTTCCTGAATATATAAATATGAATAAATATGAATATATAAATATGAAACATGAATATATAGATAAATGTTCATTTGTTCTAACTTTTTAAATGTTCCCTAATTATTACAGTATCCTCTTTACTAATGTGTATTTTTATTATAGACGTTGATTAAAAACATTGTCTAAGAGCAGGTATGATTTTTCTACATAGATAAGTCATTTTCATTTATCATTCAAGTCAGTTAGTGAAGCATATTGAGGGAAATTAACATTTTTATCATCGGGGTAGACTAATTTAACACATTCAAGGGAGGTTAGATAGTTAATTGTTTAACATCATTAACTCCTTGTTACTGTTTACGAGACATGTGAGTAAAGTATGGACAGCTAAGTGCACTTGTAGGCCTATTTTATTTGTATCAGCCGCAAGGCTCTGTCACACTCTGTCCGTAGACTGAAAGATTTCAGATCGTGATCGTTGTGGAGACAGCTGATGACGCTGAGCGATGATGATACGTCGCCCTGGCTCGCCCCTCGTTCGCCTTTGTACTTAGTGTTGGGTCTGACATTATTTTACTGTACCATAATTTAATTTATTCATTTGTACCAATTGGCAAAATTTGAGCATCGGCTAGATGCTTTTGTTTGTGGTTTCATACTACTGTATTCTAGTTTAACACGGAATATGTTTTGGAATGATTGTTGTCAATTGGAAATGGCGTTCATTCCAAAATTGAACACTTAAATATGTAATATGTACGACTTTGCATTTTGTAACACTAAAAAATTGAAATCTTTTATTAATTGCCTGAGGGTGTTTTAAGCCTTGTCATAATCAAATAGTAACCCTAAAAAATGGCCCAATGAATCATCTTTTTCAACTATTGACAGCCTTTTATCTATTTAATTTTCAAGTATTTAAAGAATATAAGCTGGAAATTAGTGTTGGAAAATTTTGTTGAACTGTTTGTACTTGAGTAAATAATGATAATTGGTGGTAGATCACGTAGTTCATATCTTAAAAACGTTATCAGTAGAAAACAAACAAGATTTGTAAAAACGTATGTAAAAAGTCTCCAGTTTATCCAATTTGTAGCATTGTGACACAAGCAACCACTAAATTACTAAACCCCTTAAAAAGTGACACAGTGTTTAATATCAGCTGATTATAGTTATACAGCTGTTTAATTTCTTTTACATGTGCTTTGAAAAGCAATTACTCAATTAACTGAAAATCAACTGTGTAATTTAACTGTGCAATTTCAAATACGTTAAAGTAATTTGCTTACAATATCAAAAGTAAGTTTACTGTCTATTTTTTGGTGATCGACTCTTGAGCTAACAGACTGTAGTTTTTAAGGGTTCATTTAAAAAATAATTTTTTTCCTGAATATCTGAAAATCACAGGACAAGCAAATATTTTAAGTTTTTTTTTCTTTTTTCCACAAGGATTATTTTTTTTATACTTCTAGACTACAAGTAGGGTAATGCAGTGAACAAGAAACTACAAATTGATAGTGTAGTAAAATTTATTATTTTCAGTCTATTAGTATGATTGAAACGTTACTTCCCGTATAGGCCTACAGTAATAAAATAAATAAATGTCCTACTTTATCATTAAATGCACTTGTACATTACTTTGAACACAGTCACTAATTTTCTTAGTTCAGTTACTGCAATAATTACTTTTTATTAACAAGTAGTATGCATGGAATGAACCAATTTTTTGAACTCACAATGAGCAATTATTTGTTAACTTTATTCTAATAGCTAGGATTAAAACTTTTGGTAATATTTTGCCAATTGGTACTATAAAAATTAATCATACTAATTAATGTCACTCCTCTAAATTTTCTTTATACATTTACAGTTTATTAATATTTGAAATGCATTGTTGGGTAAATGAGGTTTTAGTTATGTTTATGCTTAAAAAAAATCATTCATCAATACCATTGCTAGCCTGCTTTACTTTAAAGATTTAACTTGCAGTCACTTTTGGTTTGGAAAAATCTTACTTTCAGTTAGTGATATTAGCACTACCTTCGTATTGTCATTTCATTTCACTATCTCATTGTTCTGATTACGGTATGTTTTAAATAACACCATTAGCTCACATACAGTAAACTACAGTAGTGTCCTGCTATTCCAAACAAGCTGTTTGTAAATGGCATACAATCTAACTTGTATATTTAGAGTTTTACAAAATCAATTGGTGATTTTTAATTAAAAACCTGTTTGCATGCTGAATTTTATTAAGTAGGCCTATAATTACCTTAGATGTACAAAAAAAATGTTTTGTTACGGTCAATGTATTTTTAACTGTCCTTTTCTATAAGCTCTCCCACTACTCGTTCATGGTTAGTAGACCTAATCAGGTTAATGGAGTCTTATATCAATAGCGTTTTCCCTAAATTACTAAATTTTTTTGACGTTTATTTCTTGACATTTTTAACAAGATCCGTCTATTTTGAATCCTCCCCTAATTCAAACTTTGTTCTGTCCCAATTAGTTCAGAATGGCAGGACACTACTGAATAACGATAGAGAAACACACTAACTTACATAGGTGTGTTGGCCGTAAAGTAAATATATAGGCCAGACAAACAATGTAGCTGTGCGTGTAACTCATGTGTTATCATTAGAGTAAGCGTGCTCTCAAACGAGGTCATTGGCCTTTTGAACCTTGCCACCTCATCTCCAACGTCTGTTTGTTTGTTAGTTTGATCAGATGCAAGCGTTGTTACGTGTCAAGGCCATCTAATATCAATTGGTTGTCACTTGTCACGTTCACAAAATTAATGTTAAGTCGTATTAGGCTACATTTAAAACCAAGTCTAAAGTCATATCTTACATCATTCTTCTTTTAGGCCTTAATTTTCATGCACTCATAATTCATCATCAAATGGATTGAAAAATTATTATTTTGTTGTTTTGTCTTGTCCGCTTACACTAATTACTCTCATTCACCCAACATATTCAAGCAATTTTTCCAAAGTGTAAAAATAACTTATTGGTTTTATTTGAATTTATAAGTTCTCTGTAGAATATGGTACTCTAAACTAAGTAATAATAGTAGGGGATTCAGCATAGCATTAAAGGATGTCTAATCTAAAATCTAACAAAAAATGAAACATTTAAATTGTTTAATTATTGTTCGTTAATGTTTCATGCTATTCCGACAGACAAAATATTAATTTGTCAAAATTGTTCAATGTTAATTTTTTCTAACAATTTGTTCAACTTAGGTCTTCTGTCTTTGTTTCATTAGTAATTTTAAACCTAGGGTAATATTTAATTTAAAATGTCCAGACAATATTTTTTAGTATTAAATTATCAGGATAAAACATAATAATCAATAAAAACTGTCATCTGATGGAGTTATGACCTTGGTTGATCTGATTTTGATTCATGGTATTTTCATCGTTTGATTTTGAAATCAGAATAATGCCCCTGTGAATTTTAGGGGAATTAAAACATGGGTATGTGTTTTCCTGTTTCTACTAGAATCACATTGTTGTTTTACTTTTTATTGCTAAGTGTTCAAGTTAGAATTTCAAACCTGTATTATCTTTATGCAATCTTGTAATTTTAATTGAAGTATTAGAACGATAAAATCAAAATGGAATAGACCTTTGTATGTCTAATAAAACTGTTACTAAAAAAAAAACACAGCCAAGTTTGATAATTATGTTGGTTTAATGCAAATTACATTGCATCAATCAAAGCGTAATCTCCTCATACATTTGCGATATGTTACTTCAGATATACCAAGGTTATCACAGGTAGGCCAATTTTATTATACTAAATTTATTGACTTAACATAAATATTAACTAGCGGGGTATATTGCAATTGGTTTGGAAATAGATTAATTTGATTAAGTAAGGGGGGATACACATTTCTGATGCCTAATTTAAGTTACAATAATCCTGGTTATTATATTGTTTTTAACTAAGTTTACTCTATGGGAGAAACAATGCCTTGTAATTTGATTGTTTTTTTTCTTTACTGTGACAGTTTGTAAATTGCCTTTTACGAGGTTTTCCTTTTAAAATAAAAATTCAATTTCAATTTGAATCTGTATATATTAATTGAAGATTTTTCAAATTATATGACTATCACTTATGTACTTATGACTATAATTTGTATGTAACAGTACACAATTATAATTATTAATCACCTATATGACAGATAATACTACCCCGGATTTGTCACTTTATTATTTATTACCTGAATTCATTAACAATTTTTTTAACTAAAAGGAAGAGTTTGGACCCTGGACGGGTTAAATTTTATTCAATCAACAAATTATGTTTCCTTAACTTTAAAGTTTTAGGTTATGTCTCGGTTATAACCTAACCTAATTCTTGTAAGATTCCAACAAATTTGCTTATTTAACATCATGCAGTTGTTCCTCCCATGGTGTAAGCTATTCCCCAAACTTGGAACCGCAGAGTAAGTGTATGTTTGCCGCTGTGTTTTAGGAGTGATGCAAGGGACGAGCACGGGAGCACAGCTTGACAAGCGGTACAGTCCGAGCTTCTGTGAGGAGCAGACGCGACCAGCCAAGCGCAAAAGGGAGGATGTGCTCAAGTAAGTATCTCGACTCATACAGTATATGGTCCATACTCATGATGTATGGAGTATTGGAGGTTGGTCAGACTGAGTGACGCCCCTACAGGCATCACTACCTTAATGTGAAAAAAATACCCGCCCTTCCTCGTCAGACATGTTGTGATGTGATTAGTTGTGATTGGTTTCTTTGCAGTTTTTCCTGCACATGCTTCCTTTCTCAACATCTGTCAATAATATGGAATATTAATCATTACCTTTTCACTCAGAACACCCCAAGCAAGGTGAAATGATATGAAATGGTGGCCTTAACACTTAACCTGTAAGACACTTTAGACCTTGGCTTGGCTATTGATCAGACCCAACTGACCCAATGGTCAATCATACAAACAATCCTGGTAAACTGAACACTTCATGGCTTGTGCACTCAGTTGCAGTAGGGGTACATATTTATTGCTTATGGTTAGTTGTCAACAGAGTAGTCAGTGAAGTCTGTGTTGCAGTTTTTGTAAATGGTAATGTGTAAATGAGTTTCTTATTGATGTAGTTTTGATCATTCTGATGGTATTGTCTGTTTCAGGTTGAAGGTGGAGGGAGGAGATGTCTTAAAGGCAGTAAACTCTACCCACCTGGACAACACTAACAAGCAATGTATCCTTTTGTTGAATCTTAATTTCTATCATTTTAATTAGGATGTAATTTTTGTTTTCGTAAAATACTATTAAACCTTGAGATTACATTTAAACGCATCACTTTTGTTGAATTGTCATGACGTGGTTAGGTATAGTCTATTTGTCTTAGCTACCACATAATTATGTGATCCCAACTTTTGAATCCTTACACTACCGTACCAAATAGATTTATTTAATGCTGATTTTGTGTCAGTAAGCAGTTACAGTTCGTTATACATGATCGTGATACATGTTCAAATTTTAGTCATATTTAAATGTCCATAATCTGTCAGTGAATTACAATAGATTAGGATTAAACTAAAAACTAGTCTTATCTGCACTCTGTGATAAATCAATCAGAAAATCAAATTTAACTTGCTTTATGTCTAGTGTGCTGTATTTATATTGCCTTTCTACAATTTATTATTGTTATTATTATTTTCCAATTATTTTTTTCTTTATTAACTGTTTACTGCTGAACAGTTGAGGTCCAAACCTGATCTGAGTAACGATTTTCCTTGACTGACAACTTAGACTTTCTTCTCCTGGAGAATATAACGTGCAAGTATTCGCAGCCATGTGTGCTGGACCTCAAGATGGGTACGAGGCAGCATGGCGACGACGCCAGTGCGGAGAAGCGATGCAAGCAGATGGCCAAGTGTGCGGCCTCTACCTCGGCCTCACTGGGCGTACGGCTGTGCGGCATGCAGGTAAGATGACATCATTATCACTGACTAAGATCAGCTGTTCATCCAGGACCATTTATTTAAAGCCAGTTATAAGAAGACAGTTAGGCTCAGATTTTAACCACAAAATGCTTTTGACTTTGCCCAGGATCGAACGGGCGACCTTTAGATTACTAGGCGAGCTAGCAATATATCCACTACCCCAGCCATGTGTCGTCACAATAGATATGCAAGAGTAAAGATACAGATACACCTATTAAGTGTTACTATACCGATTTAATTTTTGTAACTTATTATGTTTATAAGTGTCCAGAAGTAAAGTTGGTCTTTTGATGTGATGTTTAACAATTGCTCCTTTTTGGGAGGGAAGGGGTATTCTTTTAATAGGGTGTATATAGTGTTTTGGCTTTTTTATGTTTTTTTTTTTTTAAGGGAACGGTCTCAAGCATGGTCTTGTTAGTCTAATGATGACCTTTTTGTAAGCATAATTTATTGATAGCCCATTGACAAATGGCTTCTGGACCCAGAATCCATCCCGCTTGGAATCAAACCGAAGTTCTTCAAAATTGAAGGCGAGCATAATTTTCTAGCATGTACAGAAATAGTTTTAGTAACAGTCGTGGTTGTTGTGTTACATTTAAAAAAAAGCTAACATCATTGGCAGTTGTGTGCATTCAATTGTGTCATGTTTTCTACATACCCAAGCAATGACTAACTCATGTATGATGACGTTACAAGTAGTGTAATTAATCGTACGGTCAATGCAAAAAGTAAATTTTACTTAGTTTTACGGAGTAACACCTTTGTTTGGTACTCAGAATATGTTATAATTTATTGTCCTAAAGGCTCAAGTCTGCATATGTAGTTTGTCTGCTCCACTAGCTAAGAACATTTTTACACTGACCTTGAATAGTAGTAGATTTTCGTCCTGGTAAAATCAGCTGGTACTTCTTGTTTGTGACGTTTGATTACTTGGGTGACTAACATTGTTTGTTTGTTATAGGGTATCTTTTCTGATTTGTTCTTTACTCTTTTCTCATAGCACCGTCAAGGAAAGGCTTTTCAATAAATGGTTTTATTTGATTAAAATTGTTTTAAATTGGTTAGTAACAAGAAAAAAGTAGGTAACAAAACACCCTCTATGTAAAACGGACGAAACTTATATAAAATTGTGTTCAGTTGACCCATGAGCATGATAAATAAACTGTAATCATGTTGTTTGGCAGGTGTACCAAGCTGACACACAGCATTACATCAAGCGAGACAAGTACTGGGGTCGCGGACTGGATGAGGCGGGCTTCAAAAATGCGTTGTATCGCTTCTTCCACAACGGCTACTTCTTGCGCCAAGCTGCCGTTCGCAAGGTCATCGCAAGGCTGGAGAAACTGCGTAGAGCTATCGAGAAACAGTCTAACTATCGCTTTTACTCCTGGTTAGTAGGCTTTAAAGTTTATTTTGGTAGATCCTTTTATGAAGTTAATTTTAAATTATTTATGGAAAGCGTATAAGTTTTCAATTCTTTGTTCTAGTGTAAAAGTATTCATGCTTTGGTTAGGGACTGTTTTTAACTCTCCAATGAATTTTAGACACTAAAATAGACATCCCACCTTTAGAGTCAGCTTTACTAAATGAATTGAAATAGAACATGGTCTAATGAGCCACTCGTAGATTGTGTTACAGTTTCAAATTCTATATTTTTTGTAGTTGTTGTTACTGTGAAATTTTATAAAACGTTGCAAACTTTCAGATTGGCTTGATAAAATTTTTTTGGAAATCTGTTGTAATCAGAGCAGTTTGTCAATAACTGAAAGTTGGTTTTTATTCATAACTAGTTCTAGTACTAAATGTCTTCAGAGTCAAAGTTTGTACTGAATTGCAAGACTAAATCCATGACATCAATGTCGTGAGTTCGGATCCTGGTTCCTGCCTGTAAATTATATCAGTATTGTACAGTTTCATCCCATGCTTTGCTGAATACATCCCATGGCCCTACAATGTGGACCGTCAAATGCAAGGCTACAAAAAGGCTGTCACTCGCTTTCCAAAAACCTAACCTTATACATGTTGCAGCTCGCTGTTGGTGGTGTACGAGGGACATCTGACAAGGACAGACTCAGCCAGTGACGAGGAGGAGACGATGGACTGTGACAGTCACCAGCGAGGGTTTGGAGACGCGGCGGCGAGAGGCTTCTACCCCGTCAGCGAGGAGACCATGGACGTCTCTAGGTAACTCATATAATTAGTGATATGTTGTGGTTGTTGTGTCTAAGTGTGTAAAATGGACGATGATCAGATTCAGTCACCAGTTTTAGCACCAACAAGTGAGTTTGAAATGTCTGGATAGAGTGCTCACCCTCAAATCTGGGTTGCTGGTTTGATTGCAAGTGGGGTCGAACATGGACCCTGTTGCTAGTTGACATTCGGCTATCAATGATGCTATCTAGTAACAGTTCAAGGTTAAATAGTTGTAGGACCAGTGTTTGCTCTTATGATAACGTAAAAAATATTTTATGATGAAAAGAAATTTTGGTACAATTTCATGATAATGTTGTTATATAAATACTGATGATAATTTTTTCTCCACGTTGCTTACATGTAATCAGTGCAATAAATAATGTTGCTATTTGATCAAATGAATAGTTATAAAGGTAGATAGTTGAACAGCAAACCTAATTTTGTCCACAAATTAATGTGATGTTTTGAACTGAATTAATACTGCACAAGTAGAATTAAATCATTAGTTAACTGGTCAGTTAGTTGTGAGCTGGTCTTAGTAACTTAATTTTACCTTATTAAAAAATGAGTCCTTGGACTTATAAAAATAAGTCCAGAAAAATGTTCTTCAATTTAAGTTGACCTCAATTAAATTTTTACTATTTTCAGTTGGGAAGGATGGGATTGTACTCATAGTTCGGAACAGGAATTTGCTTCCTGTGAAATTTAGGAAACTTTAGCTTGTTTAAAAAATATTAACTAAAAATCATTGAAAATGGAAATTTTGATAAAGTAAATCTCTTTTAAGTATTTATTGATGGGGCAATATTATTATTATCTCCTGCGACTGTGGAGACCCGTCATTGCCACCCACCACATCTTCTGAACCGTGAAGATATTCCGCTATCTTTTCATCACCATTTTCTCTGACAACTGCGAAATGGTGATCACCTCCCACGGATCAAGGGGGCATCATCATCGTCATTAGCCTTTCCGAGGAAATCCTGATCATATCCCGCCATATCGGAGAAATAGGAAACGTCTCCTGCAGTTGCGGTATCAAGGAGACATCATCATTGTGTCCTATTTAATATTAGCGGACTTTTTAGCGGAAATATTTAGAGAATCTCCCGTATTGCGAAGACACCATTATGTTCTGTTTATGCGGCAACATTTTTAACACCTCCTGCGATTACGAAAAAAGCTTGAAGACCCACAGTCAAGCCAGCAAATAGTGTGTTTGGAAGAAACTTTGTCTCTTGCCATTGAAAAACATGTAGGATATTCCTCCCTGTGATTGCAAAGACATCTTATCTTATCTCAAGATCGCTGTAAAATTGAGAAGTTCGGTCCCTGAGGGGTGGATTCAAATCCCACCAATTACAAATGGATTGAAGTGATTATGGCGTAACCCTCTAGACCTAGCCTGAAGTAATATGTAAATCGATTGTGGGCTAAAGCCTATCTTCCTAGGATGCTAAGATGGAACATAAAAAAATGTAGTCATTTTACTTCTTTTAGTTAAGAGGTCTTTTAAGTATTTCATTAAAGTATAGATTTTAAGTCTTTCAGTACTAAAGTTTTATTTCCTCTTACAGCAGCCTCATGAGTCCCAGTTCCGTTGACAGCTGGACATTGTACTCTGGGGATTCCCCAACATCGTCAACCATGGGAGAATGTTCGTCTTCTGAAGAGGCTTCTTCTTCCTCTCTTTCCACATTTGACCTGCTGACTTCTGCGACGCCCAAGCAGCTCAGATCCTACCACACTGAGACTGAGGTACAGTTATCTGTTCACTTGAATAAAGCACAGCTGGTTAGCAAAGCAGCTGATTCCGCTGAATACAGCAATGTTTTGTAAACAAGGGAAAAATGTTGAAAGATAAAACTGTTTTGAGTCTTTGTTTCAACACAATTAATTGTATTAAGTTTTTTTTATTTTGCTACCACTGCAAGAATTAGTTTTAGCTGTCACACACTATAACTGAAGACAAAATATTGACAATGGACAAAGTGTATTTTTAATTCTGATAGAAATTTTTTTGCTTGTTTGAATATATCTGCTTGGTTGAACCATTATTGGGCTATAACCATTTAACCTTGTCCATGTTTGCCAGGAGGAGGAGAGTTGTGATGGTGACAAGCGAGGTGTAGACATACCGTCCGTGCGGAGGCCAATGTCCCGCCCTGTCGCCCCCGCAGACCCCAGAGTGGACGTGCGCATGATCGACTTTGCCCATACGTCGTTCAACAAGCGCCGTGGCTCCACGCCGATACACCAGGGCCCCGACTGTGGCTTCCTTACAGGACTCGACAGTCTTAAGAGACTTCTCACAGAAATACTCTCCGAGGACAACGGCCTCTGAGGTTTAACTTATATCTACTCACGTGCGCATTTACCAATCAAATCTCACCGAAAACTCATTCGTCGATTGTCAATCTGTGTTCATCATTCATTGTTGACCTGAGCCTGACATTAAAATATTACATTTCACCCCTATTGTGTTAGTTCCTACTGTCACTTTTATTATTTATTTTTTGCAATATGTCGCCAAAATTTTACAAGTTATTGACCTATTTTTAGTTTAAGATGAAGTTATTTAATTAAACTCGTTCTACGTTGTAAATTCGTTTTGCCGCGTTTCTATAAGTTATGAATATTTTATTAAATGTTACGTCTTGCACCGAGATGTTTGACTGTTATTGTAAATATTTTTGACGTTTTATGTACAGCGAGTGTGTCACTGCCGTGAGTACGTATCTTTCTGTCGACTGTCGCGAGTTACACTTTTGATGACCACAAGCATTCCAGTAGTTTCTATGTCTTCTTAGTGAGAACTCTAATCCCTCGACTGTTTGGAACAATATTGATCATGTTCTTTTTGGTGCGTTTTCAAATCCCTGCTGCTTTTCTAGTTCTGCTTTATAGTATATATTTTAGCAATATGTTCATGTTACACTAAAATAAAGAATAATTTTATGAATACTTCATAGAATTTAAAAACCGATTGTCTCTTTCTATAGTTGTTTGTATTTACCTAAACCAAATCCTCTGTGATTTAGTAGCACAAATAAAGCTTAATATATGTAATATTTTTGTAGGTTGCCTTTCTATATAAAGTTATTTAAATTTGTACATTTCATGAGGTTATCTGTGAGTAATGTTTAAACTCATTTGCATTGCCTTAATATGGACAGATTTGCTTGCCCTTTTATCTCAGGAGCTTTTTTAGATTATAGCAACAACTTCTTAAATATATTTATAAAAATAAAAATATTCTACGTCTGCTGAAAAAGTTTAAAGTATTATTGTTTAAAAAGATATTCTTAGTTTTAAACAAACATTTTGCATTGCAAAGTAATGACAAATTAATAGTTTTGTTTGACAAAACAAGTATTGTGAAATGGTTCTGAATATGGAAGTTAATTGATTCTTTTGGTAATTTTTCCACACAACGCGAAATAAGTTAATAATTGAATTTCACTAATAGATTATGGAATGTTTGTGTTTAAGAAGCAATAACTTACCAAGCAAGTAGGACTAATCATTTTACCATCCTACAATGCCAATAAACAATCTTGTTTTGTTGAAGATTCTTGCTTGATTTGCGATTTATTTTAAAGAAAGGGAAACCAAGCTTGTTGGTGCAAATGGGTTGTGTTATTGCAAGTGTTGATCAATTGTATTCTTTCAAGCAACAATTAATTTGATTAGTTTTCGTTTTCATGTTTTAACGCTACTTTAACCTTGGGTAGTTTTAAAGTGGGTGTAATATGACATGGTTTTGTTGGGAACAGTCCCCCTTAAATACAGTACCAACTTTACTTTCTTTGATGACCATAGAATTTTTAAAACTTCTTAATCTTTTTAAGTTCTTAAGCAATCAGATTTTTAAAGCCCAATAGGAAATTTTTCGTATTCCTAAATTAACATTTTGTGTACAAATTAGTTTAAGTGAATCAAATGATTATATTACAATATATAATTAACATTTATTTGCTGTTTGTGAATGTTTATGAGTAATTTAGTTTCAATTTCAATGTGCTTCTATTAGTCACATAATATTGTGCAGGCTATAAAAACGTGATAAACTGCAAAATGATAAATTTGTCAAAACAAAAAAGAATTAGATTGAAAAAGTTGAAATATAAAGAACTTCAATACTTTGAAAGGATTCAATTTAAAATATAATTATGTTCTGTTGTAACTTATGTATACAACTACTTGTATACAACTCATTTGATTTGTTCATAAAGTATCGTTTAAATAAACAGAAGAATAATTATTGTGTTATATTAAATTTATAATGAAAAATGTTTATCCTATTTACTGTAGTAATGCAAAATATTAAATTTTTGCTCACTCATGTTTAGGTTTTGACATTACAAATTATTAAATCCAATGAGGTCTCCCAAATTACATAATTCTGTATTAAAACAGCGCATTCAAGTAAATAATCCACCGAACTTGTTGATTTGAAAGAATTTTAATGCTTTTGGTAGAGGTATGTTTTAAAAATTTTAAACCAAATGCAATAACTTAATGTAACTTGTGTTTTTGTAATCTGAATTTTGGTAATAGAAGTAGTTATTGGTTAATACAAAATATTTGTATGCTTGTATTTAATCTGTTTTTTGGCGGATTAGAGGAGGTAAATTGTACCAAATTCATTTTCAGATTCATCAAGCACACAAATAGGTTGTGAATTAAATAACGGACCAAGAAATTGACTCTTAAGGAATGATGTTAAATGAAGTTTAATTTCTTCAAATAAATAATATAAATAGCTTAAATGATAATTAACAAGATAAACTTTGCTTAAGTGTAAGTTTTTTTACATATTAAACACTTAACTTGTGTTCTCTAAGGCAGTTATTTTTCTAGTAATTTTGGCACTGCATGGAATACTATAAAAACTGTATTATTATTATTATTAGTACCTGGGGACCGAGCTTTGCTTGGGGAAAATCATTCCCCCACTCTGCGATGCCAGCCTTTACTACTTCCTTCACCATTTCCTACGTCATGGCATCCATTTCCCTCCCATCCCATAGCATTTTAGGATTGTAGATACCTTAATCTAATCGTCATAAACAGTTCCCACACTCCGGACTACCGTACTTTAATTTACTACCGTACTCCCTTCCCCACTTCCTACGTCGTGGACCTGTTTCCCTCCCATCCCATGGCATTTTGGGATTGTAGATACGTTAATCTAATAGTCATTAATATTTCCCACTCCCATCACCTTTACTACTTCCTTCACCACTTCCTACGTCGTGGACCTGTTTCCCTCCCTTCCCATAGCATTTTAGGATTGTAGATACCTTAATGTAATCATCATCGATAGTTCCCCCACTCCGGACAGCAGCACGCCTTGACTACTTCCCTCACCACTCCCTACGTCACCGACCTGTTTCCCTCCCTTCCCACGGCATTTTAGGTTTGCAGATACCTTAATCTAATCGTCATAAACAGTTCCCACACTCCGGACTACCGTACTTTAATTTACTACCGTACTCCCTTCCCCACTTCCTACGTCGTGGACCTGTTTCCCTCCCATCCCATGGCATTTTGGGATTGTAGATACGTTAATCTAATAGTCATTAATATTTCCCACTCTCCAGACTGCTCACCTTTACTACTTCCTTCACCACTTCCTACGTCGCGGACCTGTTTTCCTCCCTTCCCATAGCATTTTAGGATTGTAGATACCTTAATGTAATCTTCATTAATAGATCCCATACTCCGGCCAGCTTGCCTTGACTACTCCCTTCCCCACTTTCTACGTCGTGGACCTGTTTCCCTCCCATCCCATGGCATTTTGGGATTGTAGATACGTTAATCTAATAGTCATTAATATTTCCCACTCTCCAGACTGCTCGCCTTTACTACTTCCTTTACCACTTCCTACGTCGCGGACCTGTTTCCCTACCTTCCCATCGCATTTTAGGATTGCAGATACCTTAATCTAATCGTCATAAACAGTTCCCACACTCCACACTGCTAGCCTTTACTACAATCATAGGGAAAAAAGTCCTGCTACAATGTATCGAGTAATCTTCAGTATAATCTTTGCTCAATAGTAACAACTGATGTTTTTCCTTTTGTACTGTATTTTGTAATTGCGCTAAAATACTGTGGATAGACTACGTACAAGTCTTTTGTTCACTTTTTCCTTGTTATTCAATTCAACCAACATGGTTACTTAGCAACCCATAAGACTAATGTTAAAAAAATGTGACTTTCAGTTTCATTTTTCTACGTAATTAGATTTTTGTTGGCAGTTCTTAGTGCAGTAAACTCGTTTTTAGGCCAAAAATAAGCTATTTACAAGATTTGGAGAAAATCGTCGGAGCCGTTTTCGAGATCTTTCTGCAAGCAAGCATACATACATACAAGCAAACATTGCTCGTATTAGAGTATAGGATATATTTCACTGGGTTAACTAATTATTGATAACCAAAACAAACAAAAAATGGGGCAACTCGCAAGAATGTTGAGCTTTCTAAAGACAATTTAAACAGCAATTTTTAAATTATTCACTATTTAGTCACATTACCTCAGTAGTTACCTTTTATTAATTTAGTTGAAATGTAAAAATTGAACAATTTATTCTTTAACATCCATTCTTTGAGAGTCAATTTAAATAAGTGTATTAATATGTTTTATGTGTATCATAAATGTAGCTTTATCTCTACAGTATTGTAAATTTTAATGTGTACATTAAATAAAATTTATTGATGAATATTGGTTTGTTATTTTATTTTTTCCTTTCATTTCCCTCCTTTTGAGTAGAGTTTATTTATTGTATTTATTTAACCGGCAAACTACTTTACAAATAATAAAAATATAAGCTAATGTAATAAAAATATCATATATATGCATAGACGTTATTTACTTATTTGGCAATCTCAAATTTAAATATAGGCCTACATTTTGAATCAACTTGTTCGCTACCGACTGTGAAAAAGCGATCATTTACATTGTAATAGGCTGTAATCGTGTTTGTAAATTAACAAATAAAGAATATTTTATATTTACAATTTATTGAATTTTCTCCGTAACCAATAACCGTACAAAAACATTTCAATATAAGACATAATTTGTTTTTTTAAGCTCCTAACAAATCGGGAAAGAGATATCAGGAAATTTTATGTTTTGAGGGTCAAAAATTAGAAAAACCAAATTTTACTTTTATGTTTTTATGTTATTTTTTTATATTTAAAATTCATTTGTTGTGCTTATTTTTTAGCCTATTTTAATTTATAAAGAGATCCTGCACATCTACAGGAAAATATCTTTCATTTGGTACCAACCACGTGTAATTTGGTCCCAGTAGTATGATCAGGCTAGCTGTCATAAGTTTTGCAAAAGTTTTTTATTATATAAGATATTCTCCATAAGAATAACATAGGGATTTACAATTTACAATTTTTTGAATTTTCTTTGTAACCAGTAACCCTAAAAAAAAAAAAAAAAACTGAAGATACTAAATTATTTGTTTTTAAGCTCTTTAAAATGGTCTAGAGAGAAATTGGGAAATTTAGTGTTTTGAGGGTCAAAAATGTGAAAACCCAATTTTCACCCCACATAAGCCCTCATAAAACCGTGTTGCCATGGTCCGATCATGCTGGTTAGCGAACTCATTAAAGTTCATCCTGCCCTACACATTCAAGCCAAATTTCATAAAAATCAGACAAAATGTTCTCAAGTTCAAAAAAGTAAATTAAATTTCGGTAAAGAAAATTCAACAAAATATTTCTCATTCATAGTCAAAACACTACAACAATGGAAATGATAACTAGAAATAATTTGTTCATAATGCAATTAAATTCTTTAAAAGATAATTTACTATATCAACAGAATGTACAAACAATTTACAATACATTTATAGGTTTGTTTATATTTAATGTTTAGACATTATGATCTGTTTATCTCTGTGTGGAAGGCCTAGCTGTTGGTGTCTGGGGTCTTGTCTTGTATAGAGGCGCAGTGTCCGGTCGAAAGTAACTTGCATACCGAGATTCTATCACCTTTTTATTGCTTCGTACCAATCCCTGTCTTGCTGCAGGAATTGGTAATCTTGACTTTGTATGTTTTTCTGGCTTGCTTTTGCCTCGGATCGATTCTTCTGCAAGCTCGTGGCTGTCCCCTTTCTCAAACACAGTTCTCTCCGTCTGCTCCACAGATGGTGTAAGAGCGCAGTGTACCATCACCGTATGGCAAGGAGGACTAGCTGCTCCTGGCAACAGCAAGTTGTTTAGATCTGTCGAAGGGTTTACATGAAAGATAGTCCTTCCTGCAACTGGGCTTGTCGTTCGGAAGTTCTTTACCATAGCTTCTTTCTTTGTGTTCAGAAGGCATCTGAACAAATTCAGCTGGAAAAAACAATTGGCTCAGTTTGTAAAATACTTAAAAGAAAATTTGTAGGGAACAAAAATTTGTGTTAAGACTTTCTTTACGGTCCTAATTACATTGATGTTGACAATTAATGATTGTAGGATTTGAAATCTACGCTAATAATATTTTGGCCTTAATTTATTGTTTTTTGTAGATGGATTCAGGACGTTAAAGCTAGGGTAAAACCAAACTTAATAGCTTTTTTACCTTATTTTCATTTAAAGAAACATTAAATCAATCAGTACAGTACAATGTCTTGTGAAGATTTAAAATTTAAAAAAACTCAGTTCTCTGTATAAGTATAACTGTGTGAGTTGCTATTCTGATTTCCATTCCATGTTTGGCAAAAATCTTTCTTCAAGCCATAAAATCAAAATCAGTACAAAAAATACAAAAATACTCTCCTTTGACAAAAACCCCCTTTTGCTTCCTCTTTAAATTCTTTTGTTTGATTTGGTTCTGAATAAATGTCCAAATGACTAAATAAGAAGTAACAAATTATATACTTTTATATAAATTCACTGATGAAACTCACTTACTTAAACAACAGATCCTCCTCTAAATTTAATCTAATACAAACAAATAAAATCTTACAGTTACAGAGAAACCAGTTCATCATACTCCTCGATAGTTGGACTGTCGAGGCTTGTGCTAAATGGATTGAAAATAATCTTACAAGAATACAATAAATCAAGGAGGTGAATAGGTACCTCAATCTATTATTTACAAAATATGTGACTCACATCCTCTGAAGACACAGCAAGCGCAGCGCGGGACACGAGCCACATGACAGAATGGCGGCATTGCTGTTTGCTTTTCACTGCCCCACTGTACGTGATGTAGTCTGATGTGAAAGGCACCAGTAGTGAGGCTAGAGGCAGAGGTGACACTTGCGAGGAGGTGTGAGGCTCCGCTACGCCTTGCAGCTGTCCTGCCAACCAGTGCAGCCCGGGCGACGAGTGGGCCTGCAGCTGTGGGAACGAGGTAGGGTTTGAGGAAAAATGTTAAATCTTGTGATCATATAATACAGCTGTTGCTGAAAAACTGTTGTGCTTAGTAACAAAGCTCGTAGAGTCATGGCACTCAATTTAACTGATCTTCAGCTTATAGCATTGTGTTGCTGTACTGATGAAAGTTATTAATGGTTAGATTATTAGGATCTCGACAGACCAGGGCAGGGTGTAAGTGTTGAATGGATAAGATCCACTGGTTCTAAAGCCACAATAATCTCTTTAAAAGCAGAATGATCAAGAGCAGCTTGGTCCAACTTTGAACCAACTCATTCAGCGATCACGTGTTACCATATTGCACAAACCATAATGTAAAGCTAGCATATTTTCTTATTAGAGGATGCAATGTTTTTCATTAAATCTCATAAAGCGGCAATAAGTAATTTTATGAAATGAAATGAAAAATGTCTTTATTTAAGAGGCGAAGTTACGACTTGCAAGTCCTCTCTACCTCTTAACCTCTATAACATAAATAAATAAAAACTTATTCACTTATACAAGTAAATTTTATTGTCTTCTAAACAGATTTTCTGGTCAATGTTTAGAGTGAAAATTTAAAAACGTACGTTTTCATGTCCCTGGCCTTTTACTTCGTAGATACTGGATTTGTAGATTATTATTATGTGTTTTAATATTTTTTGGGACGGGGGCAACATGTTACACACATTTATTTGGTTTTAAATAGGTTCTAGGTATTTTTTTCGTATTTTTAAAGTCTCGAAATTCACGACCATGACGTGTCCCTAGGGTACATTTTCCAGCTTTCACGCTGTTTTTAGACTAAACTCATGCCGAAATATATAAAGCCATATTTTTATGCCATCAATGGTTATTAAACTTACAAAAAAGGAGCATATTATAATTTTATTGTCATTGCAAACTGACTACCATGACAAAATAAGTCTGTCCCTCGATTTGGCGTCACGACCATTTGGGAAAAAATTTCAACTTTGGAGCACGACAGTGGCAAGCCTGGCGTCGATGGAGTCAGTTGGTTTTAGAGACTAGTTCGGGGTGTACGTCAGGATTGTAGTGCCGGTCGTTTCGAGTTGAAAGGAGGAATTACAAGATTAATAAAGGAAAGATTGTGTTTTTTGTAATTTTGGTGTGTCCATGACCGTACGTAGTCATTCGATGAAGAAGACATAGTGTTAATTTTTTTTTATAAGATATTTCAATTGCTAGATTAACCTAGAAGTCCACTTTGTATCCTCGAACATGAGGTGCAGGGCTACCGCCAGAACAGAGACAAATAACACGTAATTTCACGACCAAAGTTTCACGACCATCTCGGGTTTTTTCACGACCAATCCAGCCTTATGGATTATAATGTGTTTGGTCGTGACAATAACTTTAATATAATTGTAATTTGAACAGTTCAGTTCAATTGAAACACTTATTTTTATTATAACTAACAGTATAATTAAAGGATTGTTTAGAAAGTTTTAGATTATTTCAGAAAATTCACGACCGTACCGCTTGTCCCTGACCATCACGTTTATGATTTCTATCATAAGAATTTCAAAAATTAAAATATCGTCATATTTCAATGTTTTGTACACAAAAGAAGCACACCTCTATACAAACATAAAGATTTTTCGGGTCTCAGGTAAGTTTTTTCGGAGTTATACAAACTTAAAAAGATTTTATTGGCTTTTTTTTTCAATTTTTTGAGTTTTTTTATTTTTTTCTAGAAAGACCAAATATACCAAAAGCTCAATGACTTTTTTATTGTATAATGGTCATAAAAGTAAATTAGTTTATAGCAAAACATAGTTATACAAATAATATCAACTATTTTTAATATTCATTTAAACGTCTGTTATGGTCGTGACAGGATTTTGTGTTTTTCCACTAAAGATGCTCTTTTTAAAAAAAAATACCAAAGATATTGCGTTACCATGGGCATTTTATGAAACTTCAAATGTTAATGAAATGAAAATAATAATAAAAGTTTTGAAAAAAGGGGAAAAAAATTTGCAAAGTGCTTTTCCTGAAAACGTACGTTTTTAAATTTTCACTCTTTAACTCTACTTTATTTGCTACTGATGTAAGTATTAGAGTATGATGTCGCCTTAATTTTAACTTTAAAAAAAGAATAATATTCTTTTCTGATGGTCTGGTCGAGGTAGTAAAATTAAATTTATTGAAAATTTATTTTTACACATTAGCAATATTAAAAGATACAGCATCAAATTAACAAAAAAACTATGAAAAACAAATACACAGAAATAAAAGTATTTTGATTTTTTAAGTATTTCAGTATTTGCTGGTGACTTGTCTTCAGACTATAAAAATTTTTATTTTTCAATATGCAACATTGGTTCTTGTTCTTAAAAAAAGACACAAATGAACTAAATATCCCAAATTCGTACAAAATGTAGCTTTATATTTACCCTAAACAGATAGGCAAGTATAACAATGCCATCATCATGTCTCAGGGCTGCGGCCTGTGTTAGGTATTCAGTTTTGTAGAATACAACGTGCATCTCCATTGGATAGCTGAAATAAAATAATTGAAGAGAATGACTTTTAGTTTTAGTATTGCTAATTGAAAAAGGGACAAAACCTAGGTGCACACCCAAATATAACTCAAATATAAGTGTAGAATGTTGTGAGATGCCTTGTATAGTTTTGTTACTGACTAATATCAGCTGTTTTATTAGCCAGGATCATTTGTTATAAGCCCAATGATCAGGGACAGCTGGGTCCAGTTTTGAGCTATCAAAAAGCTGCTGACTTTTCACACTATCGAACCAGCAACTTTTAATTAGGGGAGCACTATAACCACTCAGCTACCTAGCCAGTTATTGGGACTCATCTCACAAGAACCAACCCATACTTGGCTCACTTGTTAATCTTTTGTTTGTACTTGATTAAACATTTGGTGTACCTATAGAAAATGTCCATGAACTTTTTTACGATATGACATGAAAAAAAAATGAAATCAGCATTAGTTAGCATTTTGTTGCATTTGGTAGCCAGTGTTGGCCATTTAAAGTACATACAAAACCACAAAGTACACAAAATTAGAATATTTCACTGCCACTGAAAACATTTTCAAACAAGGAAGATTTTTTTCAGAAAAATGAATAACAGATGGGTAACTAGTACTCGCCTTTAGTAATCAGATGATGACCGGTTCAATCTTAAAAGAAGTCAGCGGCTTTTTGACGGTTCAAAACTGGACCCAGCATTCACCAATCATTGGGCTTTTAATGGTCCTTGCTAAATAACCAGTTCATCTTTGTCCCAGTGTCGCCTACAAACTCATGGTGTGTCTAATATCCTTCATATTGATGTTCTTTGGTCCAGGATCACTTCTTGAATCTAAAATGGTATAAGATTACCTGTTTCCGTCTGTGATCCTACATTTGTCGTATAGAGCAACCGGTTTTTGTGTGTTTGTAAAACTCGACGATCTCGCAAGAGTGACAACAAGAGCCTGATGATGAGGTTATAACCTTGAAATTGGTTGCTCTATACAACAAATGTAGGATCACAGTCACAGACGGAAACAGGTAATCCTATACCATTCTAATATCCTTACACAAACTTTCCTAGGTCAAATATGCAGTCAAGCACAATGAAGCATTGAAATGTTTGTGTATAGTGTAAAGTTTTTGTGTTTCTTGTGCCAGGATGGACTCTACCTGGCAATCCTAAAAAGACCTTAAAATTTGACGCTCTTTTGTCTATATATTAGATTGTCGTTAATGACTTAGAAGTACTAAATATTCATGACTCCTGTAGTGTAAATTGTGTTTTTGTGTATACTGACCAGATTCCTCGCACTGTGTGCTCACTGCCCTCATGTTCCGAGGAGCCCCAGTGGAAGTGGATCTGGGAAAAGACGTAGTTTCCCTCCAGAGCACCTCCGTTGAGATACGGCCTCTCTCTACCCCACTTCCCACTGACAATCACTGTGGGGTGAACAGGTTGACTTTGAGTTCTTTGACTGAGAGTTTGAGTTAATTGACAATATAGATTGATCAGTTAGACCGTGGCCATTTTGAGCTTGGAAATATAGTTTTAAAGCCAGGGAAATTAGTACACATTAAAAGCTTCTAATGAAAAGTGCCAAGTGGTCAAAAATGTTCAAATGTTTTTGATATATGTCGAAGATTGACCCTTTTTATGTTGAGTGCAAGAAGCTCTCCCCTAAGCTAGAAACACACCCAAATAGTTCGTAGGAGAGAAACTAAAAGAGCATTGAAAGGGTATAAACCCCCTCATCATTTGCAGAGGGTTGGGACCAGGGAGTCACACCTGAGTGCTTTTGTGCCTTGGCAGAAAATGTGAGCTAACCTGTGATGTGAGCAGTTTTGTCAACACTGATTTATCTATAAGTTAGTTACGATTTCAGTTACGATTACTTTACAGCTTGTATTACTAATCAGTTTCCTGTCATTGCTGTCTGAGTTACTTTGCTTGATAAATTATTCTTTCATATTATGTTGTAGCTTAAAATATGACAAGAAAATGTTTTGTTTTGTATCTATCTTTGTCTTTGGTCTTTTTAAAATTTTTGTAAGGCAACCTTTCACCCTTTTCACCCTTTCTTTGGCCAGGTGCCTCAAAAATTCTGAAAGAAAGTGAGTCTACGATAACATTTAACCTAATATATATACTGACCTGTATCCCCACAGTTTGTTAACCTCATGAGTAGAGGCACATCCTGAAAGTTGAACCAACGCAAGGGCTCCAGCTGCAGCGGTTGAGTCACACCGATCGCCAGATCAATGGGAGACAAAAGCAATCCGTCGTCAGCACCTCTATCTCTTATTAAATTCTTGTTTGCCTCCAGCGCTAACAACATTTGGGTTTTTATTGTTTGGTAAAGTTGAAAAAAGCTAGTAGTCAATATAATTATTTTTAAATGTGTTTCTATCTTTTTTAAGGATAAACAATCCAAACCCTCGCCTCATTACTAAATGTCGACCATTTTTTAGATAGCATCATTAATTGTCTGGGTACAGAAACATTTTAGCTTAGAGTCAAACAAACTACTTTTGTATGTTCTAATGGCATACAACTTCTTAAGAAAGAGGAAGGGGGCTAAGGAGTTTTCTTTTCTTTTAGAATCTTGTTGATCTTTCCAAAACAATAATCCACACTAATAAACTGTGTCTTTTGTTAATTTTTACTATTATAGCCTATGGTTATAGCAGAATTCTTTTACTAACACTTCGCGAGACAACAACACACTGTATCATAATCTCAAACTTTGTAAAAAAACACGAATACTTGAACAGAAGCGGTATCATGGATCATAAACATAAACAAATGACGTAGGCCTAGCTGGCCCAAAAATAAACATGATTGAAAATTGCTTAGTTGGAATTGTCAAAATCATATATGTTAATGCTATTATAGTAGTATAGGATTCGGGCTGGCAACCAACACGTCATTTGTTTATGTTTATGATCCATACCGCTTCTGTTCAAGTATTCGTGGTAACAAATAGTATATGTGTGCTGTCTGTCTGATCAAATGACACAAGTTTCTAAACCAATTGAGCTGAAAATTTTACAGAAATAAATTAAGGATCTTTGCTTGGTGGCCATTTCAACCCACAATTCTATTTAAGGAATATCGCACCAGATTTCTAGTTTTAGAAAGTTTTTATGTAGGGCCTATAACTTTTGACCCTCTAAAGTTATTTTCTCAGCCAGAAACTTAGGGTTAAAGAGGGCCATATATTTACTCTTTGATAACTGTACAAAGTATTTTGATTGGGATGGTTAAAAACAAAGTTCATGTGGCTTATTATTTTAGTTTTCGTTTGTCTTTTGTTACGGTACTTCACTTAATATTTCAAAACTAGTTAAACTCAATAGAACAATCTAGTTATAAACAATAGTTCATACTCTGGTTTCATAACCAAACAAACAGTAACGCAAAATCATAAAGTTGACCCTAAAATAAGAGAATAATAATTATTTTGTCGACATTAGTGCTCAATGTCACCAACATGAAACACACAGACAAAAAAACTTAAAATTTTACAATAGGGCAGGTAGAATTCTACTTATACTACCTATATTAAAAAAAGGTTTTAACTTCGGTAGTTTACTTGGTGTAGCTTGAGTTATTCTTAAACATTTTTAATAAATATCACATCAACTTAGTTTTAACCGGTATGAGATTCAACGTTGACTAAATGATGTTACTAAAATGTCTACAAAATATTAACACATTTTCCATATCATACTTATTTATAAGACCATCTAATAATTAATTACTAGGTTTGATTAGATTTTTACCAATACAGGGTGTGTATTATAAGGAGAAGACGAATGACTAAAGTTACAATTTTAAATTAAAGGGACAAGAAATCAATAATTGCTTGAAAATATAAATGTGCATCCTTACCATTAATATTTTCTGATTTGTGTTCTTCTGATAACATTTTGAATTTTGAACTGAATAGCACCAAGAACGTTCTGAAAAAACAAAAAGGAAAATGTTTATTTGCCATAAAATTAAAACACATGCAAGCCCTGTAATTTTGAGAATAGAAGTCATAGCTTGTCTACAGTTAACACACTGTATATTTGAATTGATGATGTACAGGACAAAATTATTGACATTCAGTGCAGCGATAACAAAATTTTAATCCCTTGGAAAAACGGTTATTTCTATAGATAGGGTATATAAAAAATCACAGTATACTCTATACTGTAATTAGAATTAGTTTGGAATAAAAACTTAATAAGATTTTGTCATTTGATACAATTTAGTTTAAATCATATTAAAATTATTTAACACCACTGCTCGATTTGAGGGGGAGCACCGCGGAACGGAGATCGGGTACCTCTCTTTCGGAAAGATTAAAATACTGCTATAAATAGGTACTAATAAAAATAAATAGTTTACAGTTCCGACACCTCAATTTTTCCAAATCGAACACTGTATAACACTAACAAAAAGTTAAAATATATAAATGTTTGTAATGAACATTTTTAAAACAATTTCTAGATTGACATAAATCCGTAAAAGACTTAGGGGACCTACGGCGACAGTCATACAGCCATAGTTTCCTCCAAACGATTAACGACGGTATTTGTTTTGTACCGGTAAAATTAAAAATTATATAATGAGTACTTAAATAAATGGTACCGGTAACTGCTATACTCACAAGAACAACAAAAGAAATTTTATACGGCACTAAAAAACCAATGTTAAAAATTGTTTATCTTGAAACTTGAGATGTCTTGACAAAAAATTTAACCAAATGACAATAAAACCAACAATGACTTTTATGGTTATCAAAAACCAATAATATCTTGCAGTTTTTATTATCATGTGGTTTTTAGAATATTAAAATTTTAAACTGTTTCATTTGGACAGTGAATAAAGATAATCTTTGGGTGCAGTAAATAAAGAGAGGACATAGAAATAAAATACAAATTTCTATCCTATATGAGAGTGATTAATTGATTATAGCCATCTCATAAAGCAATGTAATTTTGAGTTGTAAATAATAAACCAATTGCCAGAGCGGAACCAAAACCGAATATTGATCAGTTGATACTATTTTATAGTCACTACTGCTTAATTGATTTCAAGAATTTGAGAAACCAAAGCCTTTATTATGACCCTGCTCTCCATTCTTTAACATTCCATAATGCTCTCTTATATAGACAATAATGGCATTGATAAAACATACTCGTCACCCCTTGGTTAGCACACAAAACCCTGTAAGCAATTCAAACCATTCAGTATGTTTGGAAATTGACTTCAAAATTATTACAAACTTGTAAAAAATGTGTCTACAGAGATATTTATATATTGGAGATGAACCCTCTTTAGTTTTAAGAAGATTTAACTATTGTGTTTAAGGAAAAATTTATTAACATTCTAGTTTTATTTATCTATTAGCGAATTTCCCTATAGGGAAGTAGCTATATTACCCACCAGGTCTCATGGTAAGACTTCAGGAGCCCATCAGGACCGATTTACTTTTTCATTTTGATGCCCCCAGAGACCAAAAACACTATTCGTTCAAATTTTTATATATGTATATATATGAATCCATGTTCACGATAACTTGAGTAGGTAATTTTTGTTTGATTTTGATGAAATTTGGTTTGAAGGTGTAAGGCATGATAAACTTAAATGCGTTTGTGAGCCCTCTGTATCCCAGGCCCGTTTTTTACCCTGTCAGCGCCCTAGGCACGTCTAATAGTAGCGCCCCTTTGCAATATATATATATAACAGGGTGTACACCGACCGGGAAATCCGGGAATCATGCGGTAGATCTTTGAACCGTGAATTTTGTATTTCTAGCTGGAGTTTTCAATTTACCGTGATCGCTCATAACAACAGTGACGTTTCCGTGATCGCGCATGACAACAGTGACGTTTCCGTGACCGCGGGAGACAATAATAAATGTCTACACACGGCCGCGATCGCAGAAGACGATGATGGTATCTACTATCTACAGAGCCGCAACGGATGATCAGAATATTACCACAATCACGGAAGACGATTGATGTCCACACGACCGCGGGAAACCTCAAGAACTTTGCCGCGATCGCGGAAGACGATGATGATCTCCACAAAACTGCAGGAAATGATTAAAATTTTGCCGCAATCACTGGAGACGATTACCATGGATTCACGACTGCGGGATACGTACGATATCTACAGGACCGCGGGAGATATAATAACTATTTCTACACGGCCACGAGTGATGATCAGAATATTGCTGCGATCACGGAAGACGATGATAATGTCCAAATGACCGCAGGAAAAGATCAGAACTTTGCCTCATTCGCCGAAGACGATTATCTCCATATGTCCGAGGGAGATTACCAATTTGCCACAATCGCGGGAGGCGACTACTATGTCCAAACGACCAACGGGGACGACAAGATGTCTTCACGGCCGCGGGGGTGGTCAGAATTTGACCGCGATCGCGCAAGACGAGGATAATGTCCTCACGACCGCGGAAAAATATCAGAATTTTGCCTCATTTGCGGTAGATGATAATAATCTCCTCACGACCGCTGGATATGTTCATATATTGCCTCGATCATGGAAGACGATAATTTTATGTCCAAACGACCTGACTGCAGAAAATCTTGCCGCAAACGCGGGAGACGATTACGATGCCTACACGGCCGCGAGTGGTTATCAGAAGTTTACCGCAATATCATGCAAATACTACCACGATTTTTTTTTATTTTCAAATTTTTGGCGCCCCCCAAAAAAGCCAATTTCCTCGCGCCCTAGGCACGTGCCTACCGTGCCTATTCGGTAAATCGGCCCTGCTGTATCCTCTCAGCATTGAAAATGCAAGTTCGAGGGATGTCAACAAGCACAATGAAAAAGAATAAGGTATAGCAACCTCATAGAAGGGCCAAGGACGGTTACACTACACTCTGCTAGTGTTGTACACTTACAGTAATGACAATTATTTGACCTTATCAATGGGCGTGTTCTGGGAACATGTACCGGTGCACTGGTGCACTGGCACGGCCGCCTTTGCACTGGTCTTGGTCTGGTCTACTGGTCAGTGCTTCCAGGCTCCCACCCAGACTCAGTCCAGAACGCGCCACGGCCGCCTTTAACTCCAGGCCGCGGCCTTCGAACTGGCAACGTCGCAAGTGGTGTTGTAACAGCTGTTTTTGTTTGGAAGTAGCTAATGGTATTTTGTGTATTTACGAAAGATTGGTTACTGGACTATGACAATATTGACTCCGCTTAAAAATGTACAGATATAGATTTAAATTCATATTGTTTCGGTTTTCAATTATGTACGTTTCATTTTCAATATTTTAATAAATTTATGTTCATAAATTTTAATTTAAATAAATAAATAAGTGCGAATTAATGAGCTGATGTGATGTCACCTGATGGCCTAGATTCCGGTCCGCTGATTCAATCCAGTCATCCGAATACCGGTTTCGGGTCTTTTAGCCCCGATCCAGTCCAGTGGAGTGAGTCAGAGTCAGTGAAATCAATCCAATTCACTCATTCCACAATTCGATTCCATTCCTTCTTCCTTCTTGCCTCTCCCTGCCTCCTACCTGCGTCCTACGTCACGTCACCGTCACCTGCACATGTGTGGTGTTTGTGTTTTGCAAATTACCTGTTTTACACATCTATGAAAAAAAAAATAACGTAACAAACCTCAAAAAGCCTATTGTGTGCTCCGTAACAAAAAAAAAGAAACATAACAATCAAAATAATAACAACATTAATGTAAACTGTGTAACTAACATAACCTAACCTTTGTTACAGAAAGTGTCAAATGCCCAAAGACAACCACAGAAGGATTCAGTGAGTAATAGTTAACATTAGACATCGAACAGGCTGCGTGGAGCAATTATCCAAGCCTTGAGCCATAAGAGCTCAGAATAAGAAGGAAAAAAAAATACTGTTTTGTTTGGTTAGTTACTAGACGAATGATTTTCCGAGTTTTGCCGAAATTGAATATATAGTGTAAATATCTACTCTTTCTATTACTCTTTTCTTTTGATTTAGCTATGGAAGCAAAACAATATGACCCTAAACGCGACCCACGTGTCAAACAATTAAAAATTAAAACAGGTGTGGTAAGGCGTCTCGCAAAAGAAAAGGTTATGTACGAAAAAGAAGCTGATTCTCAAAGACAACGCATTCAGAAATTCAAAGATGAAGGTAATTCGTTAAGTATATTAATTTGATTGTTAAATACAAATTTCGATATTTGATTGTTCTTTATATTCAAGTCTTAAGTTGTAGGCTAGGCCTAGTCCAGAGAAATATTTAAGGATAAAATAGGAATTGGGCTTTCAGAAGATCCCAAGATGTCTGTTTATAACATAAACTTTACCTCATCAATCAAAAATATCAATCTAGGCTAGGCCTATTTAATTTTATGTTTTGCTTTGGTGTACATTTTTACACTGGAAGGGAATCAAGTGGGTACAGTTTCTTAACTGGGCTAGGCCTATGCTAGTATCGATTGAAAATATTGGCTGCACTTTACTTGACGTCCTACACTCATTCGATTGGTTTTTTTGATTCAATATTTTCATTCGATTCTTTCATTCGATATATCGTATGGTTAGTTAGGTTAGGTTAACTACCTAACTAACCAAACGATATATCGAATGAAGCAATCGATATATCGATCGATATTTTCATTCGAATGAGTGTAGGATGTCAAGTAAAGTGCAGCCTAAATATTGATTAACTTAATAGGCCTAATCAATATTTTTACGCAGAGGATACGCGTCCGGTAACAGGACGTGGATTAGGCGTCCGGCAGTTACTGTCATTACCTAACCTATCCAACCAAACTTGCTGATAATGAAAAAAAACAAATGAAGGTTCAATTCTTTTCATAACATAAAATTATAAATGCCAAAAATTCTAACAAAAGATGTAAGTTACAGTTAAGAAGAAATAGGTTAGGCTAACATTCAAAGCAACTGTGACAAAAAGTTAAAGAAATCGATGGGTTTAGAACCAGGGACCTCTTGGATATTAGCCGAGCACTCTATCCACTACACCACGAACAACGCTGGCCGCACATCGTATCGTTGTGGTAATGGCGTTCCGGGACCCCACAACCTGGTGACGTCACTACCGGACGCAATCCACGTCTGGTTACTGGACGCGTATCCTCTGTGATATTTTTAACTACCGGTACATCTATTATAAAATAAAACTATCATAACCTAACCAACCAAACTTGCTGATGGTGAAAAAATTGCATGAAGGTAAATACTAGGGCTAATCGAATTGATAGCAGCCTAGTTTCAATCGATATTAGCATAGCCCAGTTGACATTTGTTATGGGATAACAAGGGGTCAATTAATCCAAGTGAAAAGGGTTTTCAAAGAATTTTCACGTGTAGAATGCAAATTACATTAAATAATGTAATATTTATTATATAATGCAATAATGTAATATTTATAATGTAATTAAATAATGGCAATATTGCCAAATGTCAAAGGCATCCAGGTAACTTAAATGATCATCTTAAAAATGCTCCATTTAGGAAATATTTATTGGCTTACTTATTGTGTAGGCCTATAAGTAAACCCACTAGGCCTATGCAAAACTATGTAAACTATGCAAAAACAGTTTTGAGGATATAGGCTTTTAGATTAATGACTCTGTCCATTGCAATGTAAACTAACCTAATCCAACAGCCAGGTAACTTCAAAGGTCAATAACTTAAATACTTAGGCCTACAGTCACTAAACCGCAAAGCCTGACCTAGGCTTGTCTCGTAAGTTAGGTACATGGCTTTAATTAGTAGGCTATAGAGGTTTGGTTAGAAAAGTTCCATCGTATTATAGGCCTAGGCATGTTAGATTAAATTAGCAAGGATGAATTTAAAAACATCCATATAACAAAAGCCGTTTGGTGACTTTATACAGCCAGTTTTAACGTCTAAAACTGTGCGCAAAACCTCCCATTTCCCCCTTTATTTGTCATGAATAAGTAGACATTTTAAAAACTAACTATGACGATTGCATTCATTCATAATTCTCAAAAAAAATTGTAGGCTACGGCCGTATTCTCACAAAAGCTGTTTACTGAATTTCTAAAGCCATTATTAATGTCTATATCCGTGTCCAACTGTCCTAAAACCTCCGGTTTCACCTGTTATTTGTCTTTGTTATGAGCAAGACATTTAAAAAATTCAAACTATGACGAACTTGCATTCATGATTTCAAAACATAGACCTACTGTAGACTACGAAGCCATATCTCCCAAAAGCCGTATGGTGACTTTATAAAGCCATTTCTAACGGCTAGAACTGTGCCCAATTGTCCTAAAACCTTCCATTTCACCTATGCCATGCAAGCAAGTAGATATGTTTTTTTAACCTTACGTTTTTCTCCATTTCTTAGATCTGTCACAATATGTATAGTATCGAATTCAATGACGTTTGATGAACACTAATATTTAAACCATCAATCTTACACTTTTACAAGCAGGTTTTTTATATAAACAATTTGTTTTTGGCCTTCTGCTCGCTTCATTTGACAATAAACAGTTCAAGGTTCAAGTATCAACTCAACTCTTCCAAAAAGTATCAACTAACCTAAAAGAACTATAACCGATACTACCACTACCGATAGATACAGAACACGAGGAGAAAAAGGTTAACGGGCCTACATCTAAATGTATTATCAACCACTGCCGACTGACTGTGACGGAATGGACTGAAAGTCTGACTGAAACGCGAGAAGACATTCAAGACAAGCATCTAGGCATCCAGTGCAACTCGTGGATCGTGGATTGGAACACCCCTCAACCACTGCACCATGTCGTACGCTTCCGAATCGCACAGCGAAGCGAGCACCTTGCTTGCTGGCAGCGATCGATCGGGTGAACACGCATTCTGTATGATTTTTAAAATTCCTTTTAATATTTGGGATGGGGACAAAACTGACTTTTCAAAACTGACTTTTTTTTTCATGGGATGGGTATATTTCAACAAGATATGTCTATATAAACAATGTAAGGTATGCCCTCGCAACGTCTAAGCCACTTAGGCCTATTAGATGGGAAAAGAGTCAAGTCAATGCAATTTTATTTGAGCCTAATACAGTCTTATTGATAATTTCCTACAATTTTCTTAAAGGAGAGAGGTGGGGTATTATAAATAATCTATTTTGGTATATTGAACAATGTTTATAGTACCATCAGTGATTTTTTTCACTCTTTTTAGGTAAAGATGACCATGATATTCGCAAGCAAGAGGAAGTGCTTCAAGAGAGCTTAATGATGGTTCCTGACTGCCAGCGACGACTTGTTAAGGCTTACGAAGATCTCACAAAGACATTAGAAGAAGTGTCGGAACTGAAAGACACTGAAGATTACTCGGCTGCAGTCAAAGTCCTGGCAGACGCCAAACCTGAGCTACCTGCTGATGGTCAAGCTGTTCTGCATTTCTGTTGAATATCTGAAATTTCTCGGAGAACTACTTTTAAATTTTAAGTGCTTGTTATTTAGAATTTTAACACAAACTTTTCTAGTGTATATACATTTTTATTGAACTTTTTGAATTGCTTTTTTTATAGTTATATCTTGTAACATATAAATTCATATTATATAACTAAACGTTTAGAAGTTTAAGGCTAATTATCAGTGCTCGGGTCTCAATTAACAATGGATAATCGTCGCTGGAAAGAGAGCTTCCCTAATAGTAGGCCTGCCTTTCCACATAACCCTAACTTAAATATCCCTCCACCTCCTCTTCCTCCAAGGTTTCCCCCTCCCAATGTGCCATTGGTCGTTCCCCCTCCTGCACCGTTTCCCCCGCCAACTCTTCCTAACAATCCAACCTATCCTAGACAACAGTTCCTTCCCCCCGCCAGTGATAGTTCTGTGTATCCGGTGCCACCATGGAACGGTCATTCAGGACGTTCTGTAAACCAACCCCCTCCTCTGACTGAAAGCTTTACACACAACTCAGGAAATGTTCAAGGCCCTCCCAATCAACAGCTGCTATTCCATACTGTCGTTGATAGGCCTCCGTATTCTCCATCAACATGGCAAAGTGTTGTGGCCCATCCTGCTAATTACCAAGCTCCTTTAGCAGTAAATCAACCAACAATACAGTCACTACAGGAGCCAGAAAACCCTCAAGATTGGGTTGATCACTGGACTAAAAATAAAAAGCAAAGACCTTTACCAAAGGATGATATTAAGGTAAGTGTAAAATAAATACTCAGTATCAGTAAGTTATATTAAAAAGCTTTATAAGTATGTTTTTTGAACCCAGTGACAAGACCTGTATTATACAGTAATTATTTACCTATTTTGCCTGAAGGTCTTGTAGTTAACACTCGATTAACACTCGATGCGCATTTCGCCGCTCAGTGCGGCATCTTCATAGAGTATCTTCTTAAACACTACTGTTACTATGTACATATTTACAATATATTTTCCAATCACTAACCGGTCACGTTCGCGGTCGCGGTTGCCCGGCGGCGACACGAGCGGCAGGGTACATTTCGTTCCGCACTGTTGACGTGATGGACTTGTACTGGATCTGAGTGGTTGACAGTGACAGTGTTATGATCAGGGGATGTAGTCATTGTTTGTAAGGGATGGTCGCTTTCACTTTTGCGCTGTAGCCATTTTAGTGCGGTGTTGCCAGATCGTTGGGTTTCCTCTATGTTTTGAATGAGGTTAAACAAAATGGAATTATGGTAGTCCTCTTTCTTATTTAGGAGGGTGTCAGGGTTAGTGTTAATTTGCTTATAAATTTCGTAACTTTCTTTGACTATTGCAGTAGATTTGGAGTTGGTTTGTGGAGGATCTGTAATGACTCAGGATAAATAATTTTGTGGCCATGATTTTCTTTCAGGTGTTTAGCTACTATTGAGCTGGGGTTGGTATGATGTTGAGTGTTGTGTTCTTTGAATCTTTTGCTGAAAGTTCTGTTTGTGTAGCCGATATATTGTTGTGTTACTTATTTACTTTATAAGTAAATTTTGTTATTTACTTAGCATTGCTTTTAGACGTAGTTCTGTAAAAAGTTAAAAGTAATTGAGCATTACCATATCTCCCTATGCATATTCTTTCAATTTGAACTACTATGCCTCATACTAGTTGATTACATTTATGCAAAAGCATTTCCAATAGAATTTTGATTATCAAGGCTGAAGGATCTCCCTAGGCTCTTTGCCATCTACAGGAGAAGCAATTGATTCCTCTCTTCTCTTGAAAAAGTTGAGTCAATGTTGGCTTTTCAGTAGGCCTAGTTCAGTCTGTAGCACCACGGACTTAGAGCCCAAGGCAGCGTTGTCGTTGGTTTGGTTTCTGGTACCTATAACTTATGAACAGTGCAGTTCACCCACGTTCTGGACCGACTCACCCCTTGCTACGCTGAGTATGTTCCATGCATTTGTTGTAAAATTGTTTCCTAACAAATATAAGAAGGAACTCAGTTTAAAAAAAATAATTCAACCCGTTGAATAAAAATACCTTCAACAATAATAGTCTTTGTGCTTCATGACCTTAATTTAGTGTTAACCATCTTAATTTCTACTTAAGATAAATGCATGCTTACAAAATTATTATTAGTTTGATGTCCAAAATATTTGGTAATTAGCAGGGTATTAGTTTAATGATGAGTTTGTTTGTGGTAAGTGTGGTTCAAGAATTACTTAATTGTATTGGGTCTTACAAGTCTTTCATTGTTAATGTTGAAGGTCTATGCAATCAAAGAGAAACTGAACAGCGCATTCAAGCTGATTAGAGAGTTAGAGAACAGTTCTAGAACATTGGGTGTAATGGTGAAAACAGTGACATCAGAAGAATGGCACAAGAAATGTAGTGAAGTAGAAGATAACAAGGTAAACTACCCTTATGTTTTTACACTACTAAGTTATGTTTTTATCCTTTCTTTATACACTCTTCCGTCAAAGTTATTCAAAATCATCCAAGTACTGTACTGTATTAACAGAGTTTGCCTTATGGTCCTGATCTAAAAGTTGCAGGTTTCATTTTGAGAAAACTTAAGAGAATTTTCAAACATTTTATGCTTGTAGGTCAGTCAAACGAGTCTTATTTTTTTACATCAAATGGGTTTTTTTTATGGATTGCCAACAGCTATTCCTGAGATGAGCTTTGCATGAAAGTATCCTGGTCATTCCCTAAGATCATTACCAAATAAAGGCAAACATCATGTTCTAATAAAAAGTATAGTTGGTTGCCTTTACAACATGTAGATCTAATTGACTAATTCAGATACAAGATATAAGTAATGATGGTCCAAGTAAAAAATCTCACATGTCCAAATAATACATTTATCAGCCAAGTTTGTCATTTACAGAAGAAACTAACAAGACTCTTCAATGAGTTAAATATGACAGAAGAAGAACTCAATTGTCTGCAAGAAAAACTATCAAAGCGAACAAAGAAAAGAGCTCGGCTACGCAGGCAGTCACAAAGACTGAAGTCACAGAAAGAAGAAGAGAAAGTTAAAGAACACAACCTTAGTGTCCAAATTGATAACTGGATGAGGGAAATGCAGGAAAGAGTAGAGAGAGTAAAAAGGGTAAGTGTCTCAGGCCTCCACAATATTAACTTCAAATTTCAAATATATAAGGATATACAGATTAGATTATACATTCGATAAAGTTATAACTTTAAATTTCTTCCACACTGCTGATTGAATAAACCCAAAGAAAATGTCCTAAAACTATTTCAATTGACTTAAGTTTCTATAATATTAATGTTGGGTGCTTGGCATAGTAGATTACAAACATAATTTAAATTTTCTACTCTTCTACTTGTTGCAAAGTAGGGATATATAGTAGGGTTAGGGTCATTTCATGTCAATCCACAAAAAAGTCATGTTTACAGGTCTCAGATACAATCTCAAGTATGACAAAACATGGCAAATTTATTCATTTCTAATAACTAAAATGACTATATCAAGTTGTAGTGACCCGTCTCTTTCTCCAATATTGATTTTGTAGGTTCTTTAACATTTTTCATATGGGAGCCATTTTTTATAGGTGGCCTTGAATGTTTTTACCACAATGGCAACCACTGCTCTCCCGAGACCCTGGTATGGCTGTGTATTATCTGAGAAAAAATTATATTTTTAAAATTTATATATCCACATATTTATAAATAACCACAGCTTGGGTATATTTTTCATCGTTACTTGTCAATGTTTACTTAGATTTTAGGAGCTGTACAACATCAAACTTGAGCATTTAACAGAAATGCTAAACAACATAATATCTTTACTTAGTTCAGACTAGAGTTTGTAATGCATAATTTTCCATCAAGTCAATATCAGTGTTTAAATTCAGCATGGTTTTATATTTACTTTGATGACAAGCCAAATGTAGGGATGATTTACCATCTAAATGTAAATAGTTCAAGATGTCTTGGTCTACGCTGAAATTATTTAATTGATGAATAATAATTTTTAACCTAAATGTATAACTGGGGTTATGAATCAAAAGATTGCTTTTTCGATTCTGAGAAAGTCAACGGACCCAGTTCTCCTTGTTCATTGGATATTTTTTAAGTAGTCCTGGCTAAAGAACTATCTAATCTTTGTTAGTATCAGTAACAAATTATCACATTTTACTCAGTCTTTTCTTTCACTCATCTTAGCCTTAAATACTCATCCTGGCTTTTAGCGAATTTTTAGCAGTACAATTGGATTTGGTAGGTAACTACTAACTGCTTTTACTGTTATCTAGGAAGAAGATATGAAGAAGGAAGCAGACGCTGTGTTGTGGAGTGTGACACAGAAAAAGACTGAAGCCAAACGTCAAGTGGCAATGTTGGCAGCTCTGTTGAACCTTCGCTCTGTGAGAGTGGCAAGACTGACTGCGGCTGGACAACCTGTGTCACAGTCCCAGATTGATACTTTTAACACAGTCATTGGTGGGCACATGATTTGATAAATGGTTTATTTGTGAAATAAAACTATAATGTAGGCCTACTCTCAATAAGCTAACACTTTCAGGAATGAGGGGGTGTGGGAGTCCCAAAAATAAATCTAATCTTGACCTTAAAGCTGAGAAAGGTTAACCTATGGTGCATTAAGTTAAGATTATTTAACTGTTTTGATTATTTAATTAAAACAATGTATTGCCTATTTAATGCAAACACCATTTGATTTTAAAGGTTTGTCAGGTCCGTGGTTTGCATGTACAAGTTGCTATGGGATGGGAAAGTGTTGCTATACAAAGTTATACAATCAGTAATAGTACATACTCATGCAAGAATCAATATGCTATCAAAAAATAATAAATAAGACGTTATAATAAACAGCACATGCATAGTAAATAACTAATAAATTCAAAACAGAAACAACAATGGGCAATTACTGTCGTGAGTTGAGGGGTTTTAAATTAGACCAAAAGTAAACATTTGAGAGAAAAACAAGCAATATTAAATACAATTTGTGAACAAAGATGAATAGTTAACGTGCAAAAATATCAAATGATAAGACACAAGATGCACACGAGTTATAATAAACAAATCATAATAATCTATCTATATATTAATAGGCAAGCATGTTTCTTTGAAACCTTTTTTCTCAACTCGTGTGCATCGCAGGGAAAATCTACGCATACCGTTAGAAAGATATGTTTCTGTAGAAGTGCAGAATACCTTTAAAAATTAAAATAGGCTCAAAAATAAGCACAAGAAATGAATTTGAAATTTAAACAAATTAACATGGGCTTTATGGGTTGCCATGCTGGTGACGAAATAACAACGAAATGTAAACAGAAAATCAAAACAAATGGAAGAAATTACAATCACATGTTTTATTTACAGGGTGGGGTGAAAATAGAGAAGTCTGTTCAGTACAATTGGATTTTTTTAGCTAGATACGGTTATCTTTGAAGATGAACATTTTAGTGCGATCATGTGTTCATACGTGTCAAATTTTGAGGTTAAATCAAAACAAACAAACTGGCATAATATATTCTTTTAATTGACAATAGTTAAATATACTTACTCTACTTTAATATAATCTCTTTGTCATTATTAGAGAATATTAACAGTGAAATAAAGACGAGATTCCTATTTCCAAGTCAGCTAATGAATGAATTGTTATTTAATTAATTATTGTCTTCAAATAAAGTGATGGTTGCTTTGAAAATAATTAATTTAACATGAGTAAATATTAAAATATTGAATCTTCTAGCAAAATTAATGTAGATCATTATATTAATAAAATAATGTAGTTGTTGTGACTGGGATACACATGTTAAACTGGACATAATGATTATTTACTTTTTTGTTTGGAAATATCTCAAGGCCCAGGCCCACCTTTTAAGAGTTTCAAGTTAGGGGTCAGAATTATATACTCCCGAGATGACGAGATAAACCTTTATAGACTAACTTTATGAGTTTTGACCCATTTAAATTATACTTAACAGCTAAATTGTATTGCTAATAATTCACTTATGCAATATGATAAGTTTTACCAGGTATCAAACAGGAAAACGTTATACCATTTGATAGTCAAAGGTTATATGATAGGCCAAGGTAACAAGATTCGAGTTTGGTTTATAAAATGCAGTAGCCTAAATAAATACTGAATGTTTTCTAATAAATCAGACAATGACTTATACTAAATTAATTTATTTCATCTTAGATGAGCATTCTTTCGTAAATTAAAACAAAACGCCCCCTAATTGACAACATACCAGTCTGTTTGTTTTAGTTTAACCTCAAAAATTTACATGTATTATGAACACATGATCACGCTCACTCACTCACTAGAGCCAAAAAGGTCCATCCTCAAAGATATTCCAACATACCTCAACCGTTTCTAGCTAAAAGAAAATCCAACTTTAGGCCTACCTACATATTTTTGGTCGAGTTTCGACCACTGGGCGACCTCTAGTAATTTTTAATAGTAGCACATACAATAGAATGTAACAAGTAGACTCTGAACAAAAACAAAAAGCAGCCTTACTCCGGAACCCGCTAACTCGATTTTGACTTGTGGCAGAATTCGCTAGCTTGGGAACTTTGCTAACCTAGCCACGCCCACTGCATCGAGCATTGCCAATGTTGTAAGACGATACGGTACTGTATTATCATATGATATCTTTAACAAACAATTTTTGAAATGAACACAGTGTGAATTTTTAATTTTCATACTCTTTATCACCAAACATATATAATTCAAATGATTGGTCCCACTGTATTGTGCCTTTATGTCTCAGAGAGGCTAAAGTCAATGTGGAGCCGGCACCTAGAGGAGTGTCAGCTGGAGGAGCAAGCTCTGAGAGGCATGTTGGGCTCCAACTTCTCCGACACTACGGACGATGTCACAACTCACAGGAAACTGGTGCTCAATGAGTGGGAGGCTGCAATCTTCGGGACAATCGGAACACTAGACACCCTCCTGGGGCCGGACGAGCTGGTCCAAATAAGGTATTGAGCATTCTCATTTCGTAATTTGAGCTAAGTACAGTAGTCTAAATTAGCCGACCCTAAAACCAGCTCCGGAAAGAATGGTCGGATAAATGTAAAAAACTATTGTAAACATGACATTGACATCTTTTTACATAAAACATTCTTTATTAAGTGGATTTCATAAGAACAGTTGTTTCGTAATTCAAATGTTAACATTTTGGCCTAAAATGACCTCGGATAACCTGGGGCTCGGATAATCGAGAGTGTACTGTATTATTAACCTTGATTTCACATGTTGTACAATGTTCCAGATATTCCTGGGACAGGTTCGCTGTTCCCATCCCTTCACTACTAGCCTCTGCTGTACCTCCAGGCTACGTACTGCCTGTGCCTCCATCCAGCGAATCGTGGCGTTCATTCCTTAAATATTAGGTTTACACTTTGCTTATTTATTTACAATAAATCGTAACACACTATCAGGAGTATTTATTTATCACCAGTGAATCGTAGCGTTCATTCCTTATTAAATATTAGGTTTACATTTTGCTTATTTATTATAATAAATCGTAACACACTATCAGGAGTATTTATTTATCTCCAATCATAATATTTAAATAACGATGTGGACGAATCTGGGTGTTAAATCTGAAGAAGAGTGTAGAACATAGTCTCGCTCTAGATTCCCTGTGTAACTATGTTGTTGACTAAGGTAAGTTGTTTGTTTAGCTAGTATCATTTGTTAAAAGCAGAAAAGCCTAATAATTAGAGGACAGCGAAGCCCAGTTTCGAACTGTCGCTACTGACTATTCTCATGATTGAACCAATAACGTTTTTTTATGATACATTCTTTAGAATGAAAATGTTGACTTGTATAACTTCATCAATGAGTAAAACAAGCTGATCTTTAGTTCAGGTCATACGATGCACAATGATTATCTACCGAATCAAGTTTCAGACTCAGTAAAATATTACAGGCTTTGTCTTGAATGTTAAAGAACAGCAGTTGGTATACTTTCTCCATGACAGAAATTGAGATGAGACGTGTTTTGGCTTAGGCCTATTTAATGTATAAAACGTAAAAACTACCAAAAAATATATGTACATACAAAACTTTAATTTTATTTATATAGATTATACAATAATTATCTCCTAAACTCCAGTTGCTAGAATGCAATAATGTTTAACATTGTTCCAAGTTCTCGAGTTAGTAAATGTTGCTTGATCAGAAGTTCCAGCTGCCAGGACAGAAAACCCAAAGATCTATGACAACTCAATAAATTAGTTAATTTGATAACCTGAAAAAACGGTGTTTGAGTATCAAATTAACCACAACAATCTTTTTCATATCCATGAACAGGATTTTATAGGAAACTAAATTCTTAAGTGGGAGATGTAGGAAAATGTCCTAAACATTTTAAATGAGGAAAGACAGCAGTTGCATGGCTCAAGTTTCATTAATGTGTTATTGACATCAGTTATTGATCAGTATTGGTTCTGTCTGCAGTCTTGCTCTACGCTATCCAGGTAAAGTACATTTTGATGGACAACTTAACTATTTGTTTATTGAGTATTAAACTTTGTATATCGTTAGATTGCTGATTCAAATTTTGCTTATCCCGTCTTTGTGAAACGTTAAAATGGATAGTGTATGTTCTTCAGTTATCAATCAGTTAAAATATATTTTTTGAATTGAAATATTTGGGATATAAAAAAATGTATATTTAATTTCATTTGAGCAATGGGAGATGTTCAGCATTAAACTTAAATAAATAAACTTTCTTCAAACGCATGATATTACTTTATTGTTCACCCTTTAAGAAATGTTAACCACCGGTTTACATTGAATAAAGTAATTTGAATTGACCAAATTTATAAAAGTAAACTAATATGTTTTACAAAAGTGGGATTTTTTGTTAACACTAACTACTTGTTAAGTTTACTCACAATCTTTTTGCGGTGTTTTTCTTATCTAAATACTTAACACCAGAGCAGGGTTTTGGTTTTAATCTACACTACGTAAACAGTAGGAGTTGTAGGGTTTCTAATGCTTTTAACTCACACCAAATTTAAATACCTCGACAAATGTTAACTACAACATTAAAAAAATTTTGAAAATATTAGATTCTATTAGAATACTTATTTTGACTTTCAGGTATAACACTAGAATACGTCATCACAAATTAAAATCACTTATAGATTAATCATAATTTAAGATCTGTTTAAGATATGTTTAGGCCGGTGTAACCTAATTTGTTGATGTCTTGCACTAATTTCTTGTTTGGAGGCTCTATTGTACTGTAGATAAATATTCCGATGCTTGATGTGAAATCTGTGTGTGCATACATTCAATTTGAGACCTTAATCATGAAAATCGGTCGTGTATAAGAGCTAAACGAACTCGGAAAAGAAAAACCAAATTTTTTAAATATATTAGAGAATTTACTTCACAAACTAGAAACAATTTGTTATTTTGGGTAAAACTACTAGACTTCACTAATTCTCTAATTTTTCCAGTTTTCCTGACAGAAACACCTGATTTTCCCAGTTGTGATTCCTATTTGCCAAGTGGACCTTTTACTAGGAGTCTGCGGGTACTCAATAGATCCGAATGGGCAAAAAACTATTATCAGGCCAAGCTTGGATCGAAGTGAGGGCTAATGTCCGCGTTCACAGAAAGCTACGGTTTTCCCAATGCAATTTTAAAATTCCCGCTTTTGTTTCCGATTTAACAAAGTATTTATTCTGAGATTAGAGAAATCCCCCATCTTATCAACTGTTGCCACGATTTTTTTATGTTTGCCATATAAATTAAATATCTGATTCTGATTATCCTCTGGACATGAAACAACTTTACACAGGCGGCCTTTTAAACATTCATCTAGTTCTAGTTATTGCTCCTGGACCCTGGATGTAAATGTTTTCACAATGTCAGCTGATAGTTTGTCTTAAGAATTTTATTTTAAAAGGATATAAGTGTTGGAACAATGACAAGGCTTCAAACATGTGTAACGCCATTCAGCACCTTGTGGGGCTTCAGCAGCAGACTGTCTTCAGTACCAACGGAGTGTTCAGATGGCACGCAAGTGTTTTTGTTTACCTCGTGTTGGCAGTGTTGACTACCTGGATGTTTACACGCCTGAGCCCAAGCCTCTACCTGTTTTCCGATGGGAATTGTATGTTTCAGAGTTTAGCTTTAGGGAGAAATAAGTATTTCCCAGTATTAGATTAGTACTTTCTTTTATTTTCTGTTTGAATACTTCTAAATTGTCAGCAAATGTCTATAATTTTGAAATGAAATTACTTGCTTTAAGTTAAATATTTGTTCAAAACAAATTCTTAATAACCATGTAATTTTGTGTAACTAATAATTGATGAGTTGAAGAAAAGTCTCAATAGCTAGACTGCAGACATACCATTGGTCTATTTAAAATTTTTTTTTTACCATTTGATTTTCATCAAATAACAATGAATTGCTGAAGATTAAAAGTGGATTAAAACTATTTCCTATGTTAGTAGACCACGCACTCAAGTAAAGTGTGGTTTTATCTTTAGGAAACCTTGTATTACCTACTAGAACATAAATTTTTCAACTCAACCGTAAATCAAGGGTGTTGTGATATCTTTATGTAAAATTGTTTTGTTGTGTTTTTGGTGGACAAACTTTTTATCTTCTCTACACAACATATAGATCTAATTAATTGATTAATCATTTCTTAATTGGCCTAAGTTAAAAAAAAATTAATGCTATATCGCTATATCTTTTGGTACTTCAAACCATCATGCAACATTTGTCTGATTGGTTATTAATAATGTAATAGCCTATAATATGTTCAATGAATCCAATTATTGTTTTTTACTTTCTCCCGCTATACCTCTCTAGTGTATATGGAGAAAGTATTGTTTTCGTCAAAATTTTCGAGTTTGAGTTTTGAGTTGATATATTCGTTTTGGGTCTAAAAAAAGTGGTTTTCGAAGTGATGTCTGTGTGTCTGGATGTGTACAGAGCTAGAGACTACATCTGTAGTCCGATTTCGATGAAATTTGGTATGTAGGTTCTAATGCATGGTATCTCCAGGTGTTTTTTTAATTTTTTTGAAATTTTGATTTTTAATGGGGATTTTCCCATAAAAAACCGGAAAAATAGAATTTTCTCAAAAATGGACCGAACGATTTTGATAAAAATTTAGTATGTTGTAGCCCTTTAAATTCTGAACAAAATGGTACAAATCCCATTTCTGTAAAAATTACGGATCAAAAGTTATGGTAAATTATGTTATTTTCCCATAAAATAACAAAAAATAGGATTTTAGAAAAAAATCTGGTTTTGATTTAACATAGTATGTTATGGTCCTTACAATGTTGATAGTTTTTTTACTTTTTAGAAATTTTTATTTTTAATGGGGATTTTCCCATAAAACCCCATAAAATAACGGAAAAATAGGATTTTCCCAAAAATGGCCTGAACGATTTTGATAACAATTTAGTATGTTATAGTCCTTTATATTCTGAAGAAAATGGTACAAATCCCATTTCTGTAAAAATTACGGTTCAAAAGTTATTGTAAATTATGTTATTTTCCCATAAAAACCCCATAAAATAACGGAAAATCAGATTTTCCCAAAATTGGCCCGAACGATTTTGATAACAATTTAGTATGTTATAGTCCTTTATATTCTGAAGAAAATTTTACAAATCCCATTTCTGTATTTTTACTCTCACCGCATACACATGATAAAGGTTGTTGACAAACTTATGGGAGAAAGTATGTGTCAGAATGCTGATACCGTTTATTTACTTTTGCTCTGTATTGTTAGTGTGCAAAAAGCAACACATGTTGCGTCAGTTTTGTTTACATATACATTGTTATTTTGCAAAACCAACATGGAACCCATAAGGCCCATGTTGAAATTCTAAAAGTTGTAATTGCTAAGGAAAGAGCCTTGAGGCCTGATTTGTACCATTTCAGACTTATACCTTCCCATAGCTGGTTTATGATCATGATGAATTTTGTGCGGGTTGGAAGAGTATTTGTAAATCTAAAGCAGGAGTGCAGTGGGTGCTTCACAAGCTCCGCCAAATTCACAGATGTAGCCAAAATTGTCTGAGCTGATTTAATGGTACTGTAATTAAAATAATAATTTCCAAGGCGGTAAGATATTGATGGTTCGCCTCACATGCTATGCAGACCAGCCATTTCTCCAGGGAAATCAGTTGGACAGCACTTATTGACTACATGAGTTCCTTGGTTTGAGACTGATTTACACCCACAGACCAATCATTTAATCTTATATTTTCAAATCATTACATTTACCAAACTCAGTCTTAAAACGAATAAATAAAGTACTTTGCTGCTCAAGAAACCTGAAGAACCTCTCGTTTCACCTAATTTTGTTGGGTTGGGTATGAATAAGCTATTCTATCCTTGAAAATAATCAAACTATTCCTGGTAGAGAGAAGCTCCTCGTTATAACCAGGTCTAATTGTTTTGTCTGTATCCACCTCACTCAGTTGAAGGGGCTAAGGTAGTTTCGTTGTGGTTTGGTTTGCTGTACATTTGTATAATAAATAGAGTAGATCATTTGTAGAGTCTTGGGGTGATAGCCAGCTATTGCTGGTATGAGAGGTTGCCTACACTTTCTTATCACAACTGGCCTGCTCATGTGACTTTTGACTTTTACCATAACCGTACATAACTTTGTCTTTTAATCCCCATATAGATAAGTAGTTGATGGTATCAAGCAGTCGAGGTTTTTTTTATGTATCTGTTGTTTACCTGGTTGTATTCTCTTTTAACAGAGAGGAAAGTTCTCCACTGCCTCCCAGATCTCCTGGTGACTCTCCCAACCTGAACCTGGACCACTCACCCATCAGGCGGAGCTCCTCCTTCCATACGTAAGTACAACCAGGGCTTGTGGAATGGTGCTCCAGCATTTCTATCACTAGAGGAATGCATAGATATTCTAAAGTTCCTAAGTTCTAAGGTTGTCAAAAGGCAGATTATCAAACAAATAATTAACTTTACTGTATTACTGTCATATTATTTTTTGTGATAAGGTAACATGACCAATGGGTGATGAAATCACCTGGGAGTGAGTAATTGTTTGTTGGTGGTTGGAAATAACCATAGCCACCTCTAAAAATAACAGATTGATGGTGGGAGGGGTGGTAGTGGCCAAACAGATTTTTTTTTCAATTAATTATGGCATGAATGTGAGTTGATTTGCCAATGTTTCTTTTTTATGGTAGATTCAAAGTGTGTTCTTTACTCTTTTCTTTATAAGATTAGTCGACATGAAGTACAATCCCTTGCTTACTAATGGATTATTGAATTTTATAGCAAAATAGTGTTTAAGGTAATAAACAAGGAATAAATAAATACATATAAATAAAATAGAAGGGAAAAGTTGAGGTTTGTATATTTTAAATAGAATGTACAGTACCGGTATCTAGTTTCCCTGTTTCTTTTTTTTAAACATATTTTTCTAAATGTGTAATTTCAAATCTTATTGAAATCTGTAAATAAATACCGCTTACAATAAAACTTAACATCACAATGAAGGAGATAATTAGGCCTCCAATTTACTACGTGTGGTATAATAACGGTAATTAAGAGATAGCACGTGACAGTAATGGGAGTGAGATACAGAAGGCAGTGGTGTCGATGGGAGGGAGATAGCGATCTAGGTGGCAGTGGCGTCAGTATCAACCCCTGAGTCTGAGGCTGTAAGTCGTGCGGGTAGTATCGAGCGTTGCAGGCGTTTGGCTTCTCCTTGTACTAGGTCTAGGTATTGTAATTAAATATGCAACTCGTTTACGTAACATCCCATTACGTCGAACATGTGCTCACGATCGAGGCATCTAGATACGATTAAGCACCATAACCTCAATAATAATAACTGTGTTTTAGATAGCGTTGCTTAATGTATTGTTTTTGTTTACAAGTACTATTTTAACATGAATTGACATAATTTGACTAGTAAATCTATGATAACTTTGTCAACGAATTTAATCCAAAATGTATTGATTGTTTTATTTCACAGGTTATAGACCTATTATTTTATCTAATGTTTCTATGTTTTATCCCAAAGTATCTCCGTAAATTTTTTAGAATCATTTCTTCCTGTACAATAAGTGCCAGGCCGTGGATCTCATTCATAATTTAGTCCACATTGTCGTTTACGTAGATATTTTACTACCATTGATTAAATCGTAGTGTTCGGTGCGTTACCATGAAACATGTAATTAAGTGGTTATGTGATAAAAACAAATTTTTTAGTTAGGTAGGTACCTAAACGTCATACAATCACTATTTGTCTTTTAGTAGGCTATCATAATAATAGTCAATTATAGTATAGCCTACTACTGATTACAGAAACTACATGATAGTTATACAGTTATGGAATGGAATTTCCCTTGAAAATTAAAATTCCACAGTAAATTATGTAGTCCTATGGTAAAAAAACAAAACAGAAACCCCTGCTCAAAAGACATATGTCCCGTTACGCAACGTCAATCACAAGTTTATTTATTTCAATTAAAGTTCACTGCGAAGTTGGTCACTATCCTATTAGTCATGTATATCATACATATGTTGTCGGAACAATATTAATATTAAACAATATTTTATGATAATTTATCCTGAGCCCTAAGTACTTTCTGTGATCTATTCAAGCCCTCCTTATGGTTTCTAGGCGTTTAATAAATTATCCTAAATCCTGGCTAAAGAACCAGATTATCTCACTCAGTAACAAAGCTTTCGTCATTCATCACTCAGTTCACTCATATTCGTCTTGACACCGACAACCTCATATGTTGGCGTTGTAGTAAGACTCGAAATCTCTACTTATGCTAGATTCACTTTTACAATGATAAACAGAAACATTAAAAGAAAAACCATGTCAGTGTCGGGTTTGTTTATTCAGGATCGGCAAATTACTCGTTAAATTGTACACCATGGTTACAGATGTTGATTCAAGTTGCAGTCGTTGCATGTTACATCTTATTAAACAGCTGTTTCAAGCTGCAGACGTTGCACCAGATAGCAACAGCTGATTTAAGCTGCAGATACACGGGGTGGTGGGGTGGATCGATAGACTATCCTAACAGCAAGGGATGAGGACCAGTCTATTTTTAGCCAGCTATTTTTATAGCTCTAACCACGAATACTAGCGTGGCTCTAACCATCACTTGCTTCGAGTACTTGATCTATGATTTACTACCAATTTTTACTACATAACTGTATTCAATTCAATTATTTAAGATGGGGACGCCACTATGTGCGTATTTTAACCCAAATATGAGGGAAGGATGAGTGTAGGATGAGTGGCGCGATCTTGTAGTCTTGTTAGTGACTAAGGCCGACATGTTCCTTAGACACAGCTGTTAATTAATAGCCCATACAGCTAATGGCAACTAAGGGACCTACAGTTTATAGTGGAATCCGAACCACATTTTTTCCTTGTAATTTACGAATTGGTCTAATTATCAGGGTAGTACTGCGGATAGTCTTAGTACTCACTAGTGCGGACGTTAATCCACACCAGGGAGCATCGCATCCACAGTGCATCCATATAATCCACAATTCGTGACCTCCTAGTAGCTGGATTACAGGACGACTATATAGTGCTCTAAAACCATTGTCCGTCTATGCATATTTAACCTTCAAATTTGTCTATGATTCTACGCATATTTTAGGGAGTACAAAGTATATGGATATTCTGCTCTTAATATTGATTACAGAATTTTAACCCTAAAACTTAATTGTCGAGTTTGCAGAGTTGGAATGGAATATAGCACGCATATGCGTGCTGCGTGCAGACAAATAGACGCCTAGGGTCCTTAAAATGGTAGATAATCAGGTCGGCTCGACGTTCTTTACTTACCATAACGTCCATGATACACGAGAAACGCATACGTTGTTCCAATGACGTAGTAAAATAAAATATGTATTTTATTAATTCTTGATAAGAAAGTAGTTTTTTATGGACCATACTGTATGTATTTAGTTATCTATTTTGAACTTAAACCAGTACAAAAAGCATATTGTCAATTAACCGTGTTTTAAATCACGAAGACATAGTTTCAATAATTTTTCAGAATCAACCTGTCTTCCATTCCATACACGCCAAATATTTTCAACTTTATATTAACACAACCTAACTGAAAAAGATTGTGGATCAAACAAAATATAGTTATAGAGATGTTATCCTGATAACCAATGGACATTCCTTTAAGTAATATATATAAAGTGATGACGTGTAGTCAAAGTCAGTAACAAATTTTACTTGAAAAATCAAAATGCACAAGTGATTCGCGAGACAGATGCTGCTATCCGCCGACATGTTCTGTTTGGTCCAGAGCTTCCACCAAAAAAAGCTTTTACATTCGTCATCGGCCAAAGAAAAGTCTTCCAAACCAAGGAAACTCCAGTTCATCAAACGAAAGAAAACGTAAGTTAAAGCGTTATGATGACATTGCATGAACTTAATGTTACTAGAATCAGACTTAAACTTTCAGAAAACCAGAGGGCATGGTCCTAGAATAGCCTCCCTCGGTCCGGTGGGGTTTCAGCTCGCTGGACTGAAACATTTCGAAACCAATTACTGTACTATAGGAGATGGTCATGTGGTTACATCCACCTTGTATCCACGGCCATCTTTAACTCCAAGCCACAACAAAACTAACGCACATCCCGAACCAGTATCTAAAACAAACTGACGCTATCGCTGCCAGGATTGCCACTGTGGTGTTCCAAAGTTGCAAATTTTGCCATTATGGTCGGGACGTCAAATTGAGGGACAGACCAATTTTGTCATGGTAGTCTTTTCATAATGAAAACAAAATTATTATATTCTCCTTTTTTGTAAATTTAATAACTATTGATGACATAAAAATATGGCATTATATATTTCTGTATGAGTCTAAAAAAAGCAAGAAAGTTGAAAAATGTACCCTAGGGACATGTGATGGTCGAGAACTTCGAGACTTAAAAAATACAAAAAAATACCTAGAACCTATTTAAAACCAGATAAATGTTTGTAACATGTTGCCCCCATCCCAAAAATACTAAACCCATAAATAATATACTACAAATACAGTATCTACGAAATAAAAGGCCAGGGACATTAAAACGTACGTTTCAAAATGTTCACTCTAAAGTAAATAAAAAAAAAACAATTCCTCATTCTTATGGAAATTCTTAAACTTATACCAATTTTTAAAAACATTATTAAATTTGAAGAACAACCATACAAATATCTTGATATTTTTTTTTTTTAAAGGAAGTTTCCTTCTACAAATCTTTGTTTTTCCCCTGTACTGTACTTTATTCTTATCCTCTTCTCACAGTTTTACTCTTTGAATGCATCAAGAACTTAAAAATAAGAAGAGGGTGATAACTGATAACAATTAACTCTAGCATTACAAATTTGAGGTAAGCAGGCCATGTATCTAGATAATATTAATATTCTTTCTGCAGTGTATTGTATTTCTTAATGAGAAAATTTGATTTGGATGTTTTATTAATTTAGTTTTTATATATTGACGCATCATACAGCATTGTATGATTTTTGTACATTGTTGTCTTGGAATAAAGATTTATTGATTTGATTTGATTGAACATTGGATCTAGAAAATGGGTGCTTACCATCAACTGTGGGATTGCCATACAAGTACCGGTAACGAGTGAATCATTTGAGGAAAACCGATCTTGCGTGGTGATATCATCAGATGAATGGTCTCCTCCAATTGAACCATCGGTCCCACGTCACCCAAATTTTACATGGATTACCTCAAAATTAATTTGTATTTTATTTGTTTCCAGTCCCTCTGTTACTTGTACTAAAGAGAAACTACAAGATGATCATCATCTACAACCAGATGTTTCTGGAAACTCTTCTCTCTTTCAGAAAGACAAGTAAGCTTAACTTTTTATTCCTCACTAGGCTTATATTTTTATTTTTATTTCTAAAATTGAGATGATTTAGATAATTTTTGAAGGAGTTAGAAATAAAATCAAATAGTTAAGAGTTGTTCAGCCTCCGGACAACTGTATTATACAATTGTTTACAATACCTTTGCTACTGTTTTGGCAACTGCAACTAGTTTCAGATATGATGGTCCAGAAGAACCAAAACAAGTTGCCAAAACAGCAGGATTATATGCAGATATTGTAAACCATTATATAAGTAGCCTCTATAATGGTTTTAATGGCATAGCTAAAATATTATATCAACAAGTATTTTATCATTTTATGAGAATATTATTTTAAGTAGTTTTACACTTAAATCGATGAGTGTTTTTAGTTTCCACATGTGGCTGTTGTATGTGGGTGTTGTTTTAACATGGTGTTTCACTTGAAAAAGTGGCGATAATAGTGTGTATAAACAGTACTTTTGTATTTGTAGCCTAACACTTTGGTTATGTAGAAAAATTTGTATTCAAATTCACAGATGTCTTCATTATTCAAGCTAAAGATTTGCTGGCAACATAATTGAGCAGAGCGAAGCTCTTTGGGATCAACTTCAATGCAATCTTTATAAAACTACAACTCAATAACGGCTGAATAAATTTTAGCCAAACTTATATTTTAGTAAAATTTTTGGAAGGTTTAGACGAAACCAATTTCAATTTTTGATAATGCCTATATAATTTAACTCAAAGTTTTTAAATTTTAACATTGGCCTTATGGGTTGCCATGATGGTTACAAAATAACAACGTAAATTTAATGTTAAAATCATGCAACGACCTAAACACAGCACAAAGGAAAAAATTTGCCACTGATAAAATAATACAGAGAAAGTCTTAAAATTACATTTAAGTCTTGATTTGGAAACGACCACTGATCGAATAGGTACAGTACTTTACAGATTTGATTTACATAGCTAAATAAGGTTATAACAAATCAAATTTATCTTAAACAATTTGTCGGTTAATTACATTCATGGATCCATGTCATAAATGGCAAACGCGAGAAGTGCGGAGTGTGGGAACAGTTTGTCGCAGGTAGATGAGTCTGCAATACTAAAATGCTATAGGTAGGGAGGGAAACTGGTCGATGTAGGAAGTGGTGAAGGAAGCAGTAAAAACTAAAGGTGCGGAGTGTGGGAACAGTCTGTCGCAGTTAGATTAATGTATCTGCAATCCTAAAATGCTATGGAAAGAGAGGGAATTTTCATTAGTTTATTACATAACCGTATGTACTTTTCTAATAGGAAACACCCAAAGTGTGTTATACACCTGAAAAGCAAACACCAAGTCAGGAGAAAGTCAAGGTAATATTTGAATTGGGGAAGCACAAATTTTGTTGTCTGATTGATCATTGAGGAATTTAATGGGTTTGAGTATCACAGTTGTACTTGGTTAATGATGCACTGTCACTAACTCATGTTGTGTGTGTGAAAGCTGATAACACCAAATAAATCATACATTTTTTATATATATTTTTATAAAAAAATTTTGAAATAACTTTTTTATTTAGATTGTTTTTTAAATTTCACCTGAGTAGTGGCTTGTGCATTTAACCAGAACTAATTGACATAGAAGCCATTTATTCTCTGTATTATACTAATATATACTAGTGTACATGTTGCTCGAATTCGAGCAATTGTAAAGTACTACAGGAGTTAATAATTCAAAACGAATAACAGTCATATTTAGAATAAGTTTAAAAGAGTCAACTCAAAGATTACCGGTGTGTACTCAGACCATGTTTATCTTCGTTATTGATAAACCTAAAGCATTCCGGCCGGTTTTCTCCTTCTCTAAATGCCTCGCTGTCCAAGCAACACAGGTCATTGATAGAGGACCAATTGAGAACGAAAAATCGTTTTGGGGTAGTGTTAGGGCGCATTTTTAACCTATTAGTTGAGATTGTCCAGGGTCAGGTGCTGACTATGCCTTTACGTGACACTGTTCTGTAGCTGCGGTCGTTATCACGATTACGCCTCCGTTGTCGTCACGTCGGAGGCATTTAAAAGGGGGAAAAAAACAATAAATGAACAAATTATAGCCACACAAAACAACGATAAATGCACAAATTTAAGTAACAATCATGCTAACACGATCCGTCAGAGCGACACAAAACAACTATAAATACACAAATTTAAGATAAAACCACACTAACACGATCCGTCTTGGGGGTTATGTTTACACAATCTCAAATAGTAAACAAATGTAGGTACTCAATGCGTTTCATTGAATTGAAAAATAAATAACAGCAATTAAATTATACAGCTGATCAAAATGTAAACAATTATGTTCTTCATAAAGATAACATGGGAACTTTCAAAGCCACTGGGGCAGAACCCGAGGGACTTTTTCAAAAATGTAAGGCCAGTTTGCAAATCTACACGACACGCTCTTTCCAATGAGACGTCAATGGATAAAATCGGTTAAGAAATGGCGGAGGAGTTCAACCGACAAAGTTTCATGTAGCGTATTAATTATATAGATTGCTTGTTATCAATTTTACAGACAAGGATTGAAGTACCTGAGTGGCAGCGCTCCTTCTGTTACATGCGCTCCATCTATCTTCCCTGGCCCAGGGTTACCTCTGACCCCTTCGACCTGCCAGTCCAGACAGAAGAAGTTTTTGAGGCATTTCGATGTACATCCTGATGAGAGAGTTATAGACTGTGAGTCCAAGCAACAATAGCGAATTTCAAATGTTAGCGTATTTCTCAATGCGATAAATTTAGTAATTTAGTGATTTTTCTTTTGTATTCCTTTTGAAAGCTGTATTATTTTTGGTTTGAAGAGCTAAAACCTTTTTTGTCTAAGAATGAAATAAAACCTAACTCTTACGAAAAGAGGCTAGTTGCCTTTTGTATTTTTGATGATAGATATGGCCTTCTACTACCTACTTAAAAGTAAATGTATTCTTTGGAAAATCCTACTCTGTGCATTGCCAAAGTCCAATTAGGTTCCACAAAAAGTTGGCCACTTTGAGTAAGAAGAAGCTTGCATCTTGCAAAGGATTTGGGCATTGACAACGTTATGCAAGCTTCAATCTGCAACAACTGTAAATTTCAAAGAAAGTTAGCTGTATTAGTTTAGGTTGCTTCTGAAAGTTTTCTTTGAAGGAACATGTATTTTTCTAATTTATTCAGCCATAATTATTTGGAAACATCCTCAAAAGATTGCACACATTGTCTCTAAAAATATTGACATCTAATTGTTTTGTACAAAAAATAAAATTAACAAAAACTGTTTTGATTTGTATGATACTTAATCAAGTAATAAAAAAACTTTTGTTTTTACAGATTTTTCGTGTGCACTGGTTGCAGACATTCTTTTACAAGGTCATCTTTACATTTCAAAGAATTATTTTGCATTTTATTCCAATGTTTTTGGATATGTGACCAAGGTAAGAATTTGACAAAACTGAAAGTTATATTGACGTTTAGAAAACAACTACCTATTTAAATTTGATAAGAGTTGTATGTTTGAGTTCAAGTGATTTTATATAATCGGAGTACCGTTTTCATTTTCATTTGATTACCCTAAACATTTACAATATTTAATTGGATATTTATTCTGGCAATGTCAAAATATTGAGTAAATACAAATTTGAGTACCGGTATTGATTCTCAACAAACTCCCTGGGAGGATTTTGTGTATTTCAACACAATAAAAAATCAAATAAAAATGGGTCTAAAACACCTGGTTTTCTGTCTGTCCGTATGTGTTTTTTTTAAATGTATCGTTAACTTCCAATAACCATTTAACAACATATTCAAGCTATATTTACTTCTCTTTTAGTTTTTCATGTTACTTGATTGGGACAGAAAAAAATTACTATACGGCTAATAATTAATTACAAGTTGTTCTGATTTAATTTTACCATGGTTAAAACCATGGTAAAAAATAAGAAAGAGAACAAAATTTTATGTAGATATTTCAACAGAGGCTTGATTTATAACTATGTTTTTTAACCCTAACACTGATGACTACAACTTGGACAGTGGAGAGATTGTCTTCTTCACAAGAGTGTAGGATATCTATCTAAATATATATCATTATTCAACCCAACATTGTGGTAATATGATGATTATTGTTGTGTTTGTTCAGCTGTTGATTCCGGTATCAACAGTGACTTCACTCACCAAAGAGAAGACAGCGTTTATCCTACCCAACGCCGTTGCCGTGGTGACAGCAGACGACAGACATGTGTTCAGCTCTCTATTGTCCCGAGACACTACCTACAGGCTCATGGTGCAGGTATCCAAGTGTCTAAGGATAACTTATACGTAGGCCTTCATATTCATATACGTACAAGAGGGCAACTCTATGGGCTCTGGGCTCCTGACGATGATGATCCAATACTGTTTATAATACGACATACTGTAAAACTAAAGTTCCGATGTCTTGAAATCATGTTCTGGAACTACCAACCACAATTTATCAAGTGATTTTATTAAGTATGTACAGGCTCTATTGCTTGGTTTGAAATCTTTCTTAGCGGCCTCTGTGTGGATGACAAATTAAAGTTTTAATGAGTCCACCAAAACATCTTGCAACAAAAACATCATACCTCAACCAGATGAGATATAGGGATATTTCTTGAAAAATAATGTTAAATGCCATAGAGTACATATATCTACTCTATAATTAAGATAAGCTACTTCTCTTTTAATCACTAAATCCATAAGACCCATAGATTTTATGTTCAATTTTTCAAAAACAATTTATTGTTGATTTTAAGTCAAAAACACCATGGTACCTAGTTATTTGACCATATTTATAGAAAATGTGAGTGCAGTACAACTGATTTTCATTTTATTTGTACAAGTCTTACAAGAGGAGTTACATTTATAATATGTTACTAGGTATGGAGAGAGGCTCAGCCTGTTGTGGATTCTACAGGACCAGCTATCACAACCAATGTAAGTAACTCTGATTATTTAACGTAGAGTTAAGGTATCAGTGTACACTCATTTTTTGCAACAGCACTTTTGCAATTCTTCAGCCAATCTTCCGGAGTACAGGAACCTTATTTTTTAGTATTGTATTAATATGATTCCATCAGCTCTACAACTCATAATAAAGTGTATTTCTTATTCTATAGTATAACTTTTTAATTGAGTTTTGCTTTAAAAAAAAATTAAGTTACCTTGATTTTGTCAAATCTATACAACTTTTGATCTTGATATAACACATAATGTTTTCTCGGCTTAGCTCAGGCATTTCATCCAACAGTTTCGCTAATTCTTCTTCCAAACCATTGCTACCAACTTAAAAATATCTAAAAAAAACAATCCAAAGAAGAGCAATCCAAAAAGGTGTACGCACAGGTCCCCTCACAATATATTGTATTACCAGTTGAGACAGGAACACCACTTTGTATACTTACAGTACACTCTGTATAGATTTGCATAATATTTTTATCTGAAATGTATCCTCATCCAGTCTAGATGTTGCCTAATCATGTTGCAGAAAGTGCGATGCCGGAGTGCCCTAAGTCAAAGGGCTCGATTGGCCGAGCCTGATGAAGTGTCATTGAGTGACAAGTCTATATCGTGCAGTGAGCCAACATTAAGAACTAAAATATCTTCGGAAAAACCACCATCTGCACATTTGAAACAGCCGGTTTTAGAAACCGAAAAAGGTATTTATTTTGGACAAAATATTTTATTTAGCGTTGTATTTTTGTAACTTGACAAAACAGTATTGAAATACCAAACCTTATACCTTTTAGAAATTCCATCCCCATGTTTAATTTGTAGCCAGTTTTTTTTAACCAAAATCGACTTATAGTTGATGTGAGCCACCGACAAATTGTGCTGATCTAAATCACTGATTTCTGTCAAATACACGATCTTTTTTACCAATTTAAACTAATTGGAATGACTTATTTTATCCTATAGCAACTGTTATGACCAATTAACTTGGCCAGCAACAAAAAATAAGGTAGAAAATAGAGTTTTAGTCACTAGTGCATTCTGTGACTGGCTCACACAACTACGTTTGTTTTAACAAAAAATTGGCTACAGCTGGTCCATATAGATGGGACGTCTACTTCAGTATCCAATAGTCAATGCTTATACTTTATGAAAATGAAGAGAATGCCAGAGCTGGAAATCGTAAAAATACACATAATGGAAAAGGAATCGATGAATTGGATTTTAAAAAAACTTAATAAACTCAGTAACATTTTAATGAAGAAATGAACATTGTAAATTCTCACTTGTTTTACAATGGTTTCATTTGTAATTTTTATTTTTATTTCAATATTTCAAGCTATTTGTTTTGTTATTCTATTTCAAATTACAATTCTATATTTGAAGTATTTTAGCAATTTGCGAGCCTTGTAGTAAGTTAGATTTCAATCGAATGTCTTCGTTCTTCTCCTTAGCTGTTGCGGCCAGCAGAGTGCCCAAGTCCACGTTGCTGCTAGCAGCCTCCACCCTGCTGCTAGTGCTTCTATTTATCTCAGCAGCTGTGTTGATGTACAGACTGTCTTCACTTCATCAACAGTTCACAACTATATCACCCTCTGCATCTCAAAGGTAATAATGAATTAACCTTAAAAAATTACAATCGATTTTGTTTCTCATCGATGAGTAGGATTGCGAATTTTTGAGTGTATTGACAAAATGACGCATTACTCTTACTATTTTTACAAAAAAACAACTTTGTTTCATATTGGTTACTTATCAGTTTTAGTAAAGTAATTTTCTTCCAGACTAGTTTGGTTACATAAAAAATATTTGAGAAAATAGGATGTAGGTTATCGAGAGCTTGTGCCTTGAAAAGAAATAATTGTTTAAAGAACAATCTGGAGTTCTTAGGTACATAGGCTATACAATACGTGAAGCCGTGTTTTGTGAACACTACTCCTCCCTTATTTGTGAACCAATTTCATCGTTTGAGGTGTCAAAAGTCTAAATATATAGTTTTGCAATAAGGTTTTAGAATTTAAAAATGTCTACCCTTAAGGATGTGAGACCCTCTCAAAGGTCGGGTATTCCCCATAAGAAATACATAGAACAAATTTAAAAACAAAATAAGCTGTTTATAAAAAGAAACTATCAGCTTTTTGGGAGTAAATATTAATGTTTGTAATATCATAGACAAAAAAAATAGGAGTTTGTATAAAGAGTTTTTTTTCATTAATTTCATTCCAGAACACACTAAAAATTCAGTTCCAAGCAAGACAAAAAATTAAAAATTTAGAAACTATAGAAATTATTTGATTTTCCTACACATTATTTACCACCAATTTAAATTAACTTGATCAATTATCAATATCACAACTCAAGTATACGCACAGGCCCTGCCTATGTAGACTTTTTCCTTTGTTAGAAGGTATTTTTTTACATTTTCGTTCACTTTATTTCTATAGTATATAATTTTTGTTATCTAGATAGTAATGTTTGCTGTATTATTTATAAGAAAAATTTTATTTTATGTACTGATGTATATAATTTATGGGAAATAAAATATTATTTCATTTAATTTCACTTAAATACTTGTACAATAAAAATGCACATACTAAGATCGATATCTTTGTTTATTTATAACAAGTTTGTTTTTAGATAATTTGTGTGTATGGTTTATGTGGACCTGTAAAAGGTGGTACAGTATTTGAAAAATAATTCTAGATTAGAAAAATTAGATCAAATGTGAGCAAGTGATTTCATTGCTAAAAAAAAAAAACAATGATAAATGCTAACCGCTACTTAACATTTTGATTCCTTAACTGTAAGTTATTTATTACTGTTTTACAGATCTCTACTGGAGGTCCAAGAATATTTAGAGGCTAACTTAAAAAAACTACACAAGGTAAGTTTCTTAAGAATAAAATTTTGTACAACAGTTTTGTACGTTTGTAGACGTCTTGGAACTTCTTCAAAGCAGGTCTTTTAAAGATCAATTAAATAAAATACAAGATATAATATAGGTGTTCTACAAAAACTTGTTTGATAAAAATTGTCATGGTGTTGATAGTGTTTTGACACTTATTGTGCGAGTTATGGCCTTAATTGTGGGCCGATGCACAAATTATAAAAATTAGAAGAAGAATTATAAAATATTTTTTTACTCCCTCCGCTTATAAGGTTTGTTTACAAGCTTATGGGAGAAAGTATGTGTCAGTTTGCTGCTGATACCGTTTATTTCAGTAGGTCTTAAGGTAAAATTAAATTAAATACGAGATAGGTACTATTTTGTCGACAAACAGAGTTGATCCTAATGCAACTTTGCCGACATGGTGAAATAGAGGTGGGGATGGGCAGCGCTAACAGCTAAAGTGGAGACCACTGCAGATATACCAGCTGTCCTTGTGGCGTCATGAGATTTTGAAGAAATATTTAAGAGCAATTGCAATAACATACACTATATTATAGTACAATAGCATGTTTACTAAAGATTTCCTCAATTATTTTGCAGGTGCGGCAATCTCTTGAAGTACTATCTCTTCTGATGGAAGACGAAAAAGAACATTTACCAAGTCCTGGGAATGCACAAAAAGATAGTTTTGTGTTACCCGATTCGTCAATTATGAAATCAGAAAACAATAATCAAATTGATGACTATACTAGTTAGCACAAACTCTAATTTTTTCTCATTAGAAAATATTGAATTTTACACACGATAAAAATCATGAAGCTCGTGATCAGTTAGTCATTTAATATTGATAATGATGTTATAAAAAAAAACTTATAAAACTTAATTTATTGTACAGTCAAATGATTTAAAACACATTAAATACTTCATAAATATATCGAATAGCTTCATTCAACCAGTGATAACTTTTGAAAAAACCCTTCAATCAAGGTACAATAATCGTTTTGGGAGTGTTGCACTATGTCCTAGAGGACCTTCGGAGGTAGATGGTGCACTTAGCCACCCCATTCAGCATTCAGGTGGTTTCAGAAACACTGCAAAAGGTAGTTAAAGACACATCTGCTTGAAGCAGCAGGGCACCAGATGCCAAAACTGACATGGCATTTTTGATGCCAAAAATGACATGGCAATCCTCTGCATATTTTATTCTCTCGTTAACATACTGTAACTGTGTGACACCTTTAAATGCGCAATTGGCAAAGTAAAAAAAAAGGTTCTTAGACTAAACACACCCGAACAGGCATCCAACCTCACGCTACAGCAACCAGACACAACTTTAGTCAGGACCTTTGATAATGTAAAGCTTTTCATCTGCTACAACATCCAAGAGGAACAGGCCAACGATAGAACAGCTAATGGTTGAGGAACAGAAAGCCATTTTAGATGAGGTACTTTATTTAGTTCCAAATAAAATTAAAGCTTCATATTTCATTAGAGGTCCTGAAAGATCTGGAATCCACTTTAAATGACAATCCGGTTTCCGATGAACGATCCCTTAATACTGCAAACTGTAGTTTCAATATATTTCCAGAATACCCCAACTTACCCATTATTATAAAGCATTTTGACTATGACTACAAAATCCTCATTTCCAGCGTAAATATTACACTGACATAGAGTCAATGAACTAAATATCAACCAATTTGATTCAAGGTCCATATGTGCAAACACAAATGACTGTCCAACAATGAAGGGCTATGTCGTATTGAATTTGTTACCATTGTTGTTTGTTTAAATCACAGTTCTGATTCAGTTGTTTACCGAGGTACAGAAAACACTCTGTTGTATTGTCACGATAAAGTTATCAGTCACATCTATTCCTGTAGGAAGGACCAATACCTAAATCAATGACTCACTAACTTTGCAGTATAAACTGTATTTTGTATGTTGAGTATGTTGTGTGATTGTATGTTGTGTACTCCAATTAAGTGGGATTTAAGGAAAACATAGTACATGCCTTGCACGGGTCGGAAAGATCTCTGTTGATTACGTTGAATGTAGGACAATTTAAAGCTAGCATCAGATAATTTACTGTCAGCTGGTTTCTAAAGTAATGAAAATTTTAATTTACTTTTCATTTACTAACTTCGATCTTATTTTAGAAGTAGTTGTAGATTTTACAGTGTCAGAGGATTCGTGTTATAGTAAATCGCTAATGAGCCACAAAAAGTGCTATGGCAGATACACCTGCATTCTAGTCGTCAAGAGATGATAAATTTCTAAATAATAGGGTCATTCAACCATTTTGTCTGTTGTGGCCTTTAGTCAAGTTTGTACATTTCAGTTCATAAGCCATTTTTTATCTCTATCCTATAGCATCATGAGCTAAAAAGTTAATGACTTTTAAAGATTTATCCTTGTCAATTAAAATATCATTCGATACATAATTATTAGCAACACGACACGTAAATACTTGTTAGCCTCAGCCCTCTCGATGTTGTTAAGGTTCTCTAAGCAACTTCTTAAAACCCATTGGGGAAGGAATTAATGCGCTACCTGCAGCACCCTCTGGCGGCAATTAATTTTACCGAATTTGTAGACTTTTACTCTAACTGCTATAGAAAGAAAACCTTAGGTAATAAATTAATAATTCTTTCACCATTTTGTTCACAGTAAAATTGTCTACAGAAAAGTGGTAATTGGATAGTCAAAGTTCTAAACTAAAAAAATATATATATAAAGATTATAAAAATAAAAATGTTAAAAACAATATTTTGAAAGTAAACTTGATATACAAATTCCAAGATTAATCCAGACGCCAAATAACACTACTATTATAAAGTTCAATCGATTCCCTACGTAGAAAAATTAAAAGTTGTGTACTTTTATAAGTAATAACATTTTTTTTAATTGTTTGTTTACCTTACCGCAGCTGATTTTTGGTGACATGTGGTTTCCATGGCAACACAAAATTGTTTGTTATTCGCTAAAATAAATGAGTAAATACGCAAATCAAGAAGCAAGATATTTATAAACATTATAATAGTAAGAAGAAACAAAAAGGGCGAAAAATAATAATAAATAAATAACTAATGGCGCTGCCTAGCGGTGATACGAGCGGCACTCGTAAGTCGGCCGCCGGGCCTGCAGCGGCCGTACGAGTAACGCTCGTAAGTCGGCGCCAATGGGTTTATATATTCCATAAATCACCTCTCATTTTGAGACAATAGACCATTTTTTTTTCTGAAAGACGCAATTTTTCTAATAATTTAAGTCAAGAGCAGGATGGGATGGTAACTGTGAAAGAGTTTAACTGAGATGATAAAGAGATAAGGGAGTTTTCAGTTACTGAAGAGGAAAACTACAGTTGAAAAAAAGAAAAAAATATTCATAAATCTTGAACTAATTAACACATGAAACTTATACTGTCCATAAAGCACCACATTTTATTTAGTTATTAAGATAAACAGTGGCATATAAACCTCTGGGCAGTGTGTCCTTTGTTCACTTCAAGTTTATGTTTCCTTTCTTAACCTCCGGGTGGTATTCTTTCTTCACTTCAGGTTAGTGTGTCCTTTGTTCACTTCAGGTTGATGTTTCCTTTGTTAACCTCCGGGTAGTATTCTTTCTTCACTTCAGGTTAGTGTGTTCTTTGTCCAATTCCGTGTCATGCGTCCTTTGTCCGGATCCGGGTCATGCGTCCTTTGTCCGGATCCGGGTCATGCGTCCTTTGTCCGGCTCCGGGAATTATTATATCTTTGTCCATTTCCGGGAATGATGTCTTTGTGCGACTCCATGTCGTTTTGCTCTCTGGGTACCGTGTCCACCTTATCTTTCCAGGGCCTCGTACACTTCTTGTTCTTCGTCTACTGCCCTGGCCTAGGGACCCACTGCCTCAATTCCCTCTTGACGGAGCTTGGTGGTGGGGGAAGATTCTGTCTTTGAGATATCCACCACCAACCCGCCACACCTGCCACAGTACTGGCCAAAAACTTCTTAAACATTTTCAATAAATAAAAATACAATGTTTTAACTATAAGTTTTTGAGAGAGAATGATTCCGTTGCCAGGATACAGAATAAATTATCCGTTTATTTATATCCATGATACCAAAACTATAATTATGTTTAAGGTGGATTGAATAAAATGTTTAGTAAAATTTCAAAACAGAGTTTTTATAGTTTTGTGGTCCCTAGGGATGTGTCCTTTTTCCCTTGATATGTGTATTTCATTTTTCAACGCATAGGGCCTCTATATATTTTATTGTACTTTATTCTAACCAACTTCTAAAATACAACAAGAAATACTCCCAATGAGAATGAAGGCGTTATGAAAGCTTGTTGACTTTGTATTCTACATTACTTAAAATATGATGTAGGCTAAGTTATAATTATTTTCACAATATTTTAATCTCCTGTCATAAATATGTCTAAATTTTAAACTTAGTTGGAATTTATATTGGACAACTCCAAAAATATTGTTCTTCTATAATATCTTCTTAACTAAGTTAAATTTTCATTGTAGAGTGATTTATTGATGGCGGATTTTCAGTGTTATTAATTCATAAAAAAAACATTCTACGGTCAGTAACATTGAACTTTATTATTAGTTTCCTACGGTATTCACTCAAGTGATAACTATTTATTGAACCGCACCCCTAAACTGATTGTGGAACGTGTCTAGTGTCAACTAAACCTATCCTAACGCCGCAATGATGGTGAAGATTAACACAATCAACTATGACAGGATGAGGATACTGAGCACATGATGATAGACGGGTGGCGTCGTCCTGTAATCCAGCTACTAGGAGGTCACGAATTGTGGCTATTTATGGGGATGCACTGTGGATGCGATGCTCCCCGATGTGGATTAACGTCCACACTAGTGAGTACTACGACTATACGCAGTACTATATCCTGATAATTAGACCAATTCGTAAATTACAAGGAAAAAATGTGGTTTGGATTCCACTATAAACTGTAGGTCCCTTTAGTTGCCATTAGCTGTATGGGCTAATATGAGAGCGGTTTGCATTGGTCAACATGGAGCTGAGGAATTCCCAGAGATTCAATTGACGGTTGATGACGGAGCATTTGAAAATATAAATAGGATAATAACGGCCCCTCTTTCACTTGGTGCTGTCAGATCACAATAAAAGCTGATAACCAGTGTTTTTCCAGAAGGTCATGAACTACCTATGGATAGTGCCTGGCTCTGTGATTGTGCAATTCTGACATCTAAATACCCCCGCCGCAGCAAACCTGCCGTCTAAGCGAATTTCCATTTGGCTGAATTGATTTTCAATCGAGCTATTTAAATATCATTAGGTTTAACAAGTACCTAGGTTTGCTGCTACAAGGAAACTGATAAAGTTTGTGTTTTAAGTAAAATAATTATTGCTTGGTAGAAAATGAATATATTTGCCAAGTTTGAACAAAAGATATCCATAAACAAGCAAACTACAACATTTTACAATATTCTCCATAAGAATAACATGGGAATTTTAAATTTACAATTTTTTAGTTTTCTCCGTAACCAATAACCGTACAAAAACACTTTGATATACTGAATTGTTTGTTTTTTTAAGCTCTTTAAGAAGGTTTAGAGAAAAATTGGGAAATTTTGTGTTTTGAGGGTCAAAAGTGAGAAAAACCAATTTTTACCTCATAAAACCCCCCATAAAACCCTGTTCCCATGGTCCGATCATGCTGGATCGCGAACTCATTCAAGTTTATCCCGCCTTACACCTTCAAACCAAATTTCATCAAAATCGGATAAAAATTACTCAAGTTATCGTGTTCACGGACACATATATATATAAATATATATATATATATATATATATATATATATACATATATAAAAATTTGAACGAATGGTGTTTTTGGCCTCTGGGGACATCAAAATGAAAAAGTAAATCGGTCCCGGGCCTAAGTCTTACCATGAGACCTACGGTAATAGCTACTTCCCTATAGGGAAATTCGCTAAAACGAGCAAGCAATGCAGATGGGACTGACTATACCTATATTTTGTTGACCCGGGTCAACAAATTCAATACATTTAGCAAAATAACCACTTATAGGATGTAGATATTTATATGAAACTTGAAACGAAGGTATATCCACATCTATTGTAAACGTATGGAAAATTTGGTAACGATTAAGAAAGATTTACCTATTTATTAACTAAAAACCACCCAAAATAGTTAATTTTATTTTGTTGACCAGGGTCAATCGCCTAAAAAGATACTTAGAATTAAACTATATACATGAAACTTGGAACGAAGGTATATCCAGATGTATTGTACACGTATGTAAAATTTGGTAACGATTAAAAAAGATTTACCTATTTTTTTTTAACTAAAATAAACCACCCAAAATAGCTAATTTTATTTTGTTGATTCGGGTCAATCACGGAAAAAAGGTAGGCCTACTTAGAATTAAACTATGCTATACATGAAGCTTGGAACGAAGGTATATCCACATGTAGGCCTATTGTACACGTACATATGTAAAAATTGGTAGCGATGAAATAGTTATTTGTGTAACTAGTGGTGAAAGTGGCACTTTGCTGCACACGAGAGCAATGTTTACGCACGAGCCGCAGGCGAGTGTGGAATGATCTCGAGTGCAGCAAAGGCCTTTTTCACTCGTGTTACACATTATATTTTTCCTTCAGTCACTATAAAGCTTTTCCTACAGTCACCCGACAAAGTTGGCTTCCTTGTACTGTTTATAGTACAGAAAGCTGCTAATTGCTGCATATTTATACTTTGCCGTACGGTTTATACTTTGCCGCACATCAGGATTCCAACGAAACAACACAAAACAGCGTGGTTCCATTATGCACGTAGTCCGTGTACGCTTGGAAATAGGTTGGCAACACTTAAAAATATTTACCTATTTTATTAACAAAAAACCGTCGTAAATAGCTAATTAAGTGGAGTATACTTACAATCATATTTCCAGGGACTATGTATGTTTTTTTTTCAGTTCGTTCTTTTTTCTAACATAATAATTACAATATTATACATATACATTTCTTTTTTTCTCTTCTCTTCTGTCACGCCCATCAGTTTCATAGTTTAATTCTAAGTACCTTTTTTAGGCGATTGACCCGGGCCAACAAAATAAAATAAACTATTTTGGGTGGCTTTTAGTAAAAAAAAATAGGTAAATATTTTTTAATCGTTACCAAATTTTACATACGTGTACAATATATCTGGATATACTTTCTTTCCGTATATACCATCTATTTTTCTGTAAGTATACCATGGTATACCGTAGTCTTCACTGTGCCATCTAAATGACCTTTGTATCTATTTGATTTTTTTGTTTATGCCTTATTTGTTATGTACTGTAATTTATCTTAGACTTGTGTTTTTGCAGCATATGTAATCAACCTTATTGACGTATCCTAATGTATGTACATGTCTAAGGGAATAAAATATGGAATAAAATATTGATTCTTGATTCTTCCAAAACATCTAAATTGTTTGAGAGGCTCTTCTTAAATCGTCTACTTGAAGAAGTATAGGGCAGAAACTTGATTCCAAATCATCAGTTTGCATTTAGATGGGGACATTCAACAGTTGAACAAGTACATAGATTGGTTAATACAATTAAAGAAGACCTTGAGAACAATAATTAGGCCTATTGTACAGCTGTCTTTATCGATGTAAGTTAAGCCTTTGACAAAGTGTGGCACATAGGCCTACTTTATAAACTGAAACTGAATCTTCCTCATACTTTTATATGACAATCAAATCATACCTAACCGACAGATATTTCAGAGGAGATAGCATTACAAAATTGTACCCAATTCAAGCTGGCGCGTCCCCATAAGGAAGTGTTCTCGGACCTGAACCTACTACCCTACGCTGTTTATACAGCCGATATACCTGAAAATGTTAAAACTTCTGTGGCCATGGCCACTTTTGCTGACGATACTGCTATTTTAGCGTCCCATCCTGATCCGGTGGTAGCTTCAGTTAATCTTTAAAATTCACTAGATGATGACTTAGAAGAATGGTTGCAAACATGGAAAATAAAAGAGAAAGAGAATGAGAGCAAATCTACTCTAGGTACTTGTCCTCATGTAACCTTAAATAATGTCCAAATTACTCAATCCCACGAAGTAAAATATCTCGGCATGACGTGACGATTGACAAAAGATGGAAAAACCACATCTGGAACAAAAGAATTGTAGGTATCTAAATTTAAAATTTAAAAATCTTTCATGGCTCCTAAATAGTAAATAAAAATTGACCATTGCAAATAAATTATTACTATACAAAGTAATCCTGAAGCCAATTTGGACTTATGGAATCCAACTGTGGGGAACATCCAGTACTTCGAACATAAAAATCATCCAACGATTTTAGTCAAAAGTTGTAAGGTTCATCCTGCAAGCCCCGTGGTATGTTAATAACAATATCCTTCAGAAGGATAGGGGAATTCCGTGGGTTAAAGAGGAAATGGCCAAATGTAATGTAAAATATCCACACAGACGGGCGAGCATGTTCGTGTTCGGGCTCGCCAAGTCCGACGAGCCGAGCGCCGAGCCCAACATGCTCGCCGCGACGGACCCCACACGCGGGCGAGCATGTTCGTCGCCAACACCGTCACGAGCATGCTCGCGAACATGCTCGCCCGTGTATGGGGGGCTTTAGGCCCCCTTGAATCACCCTAATTATCTATCTGGCTCTAAACCTCTTGGACAACAGTTCCCCTATATACAGACTGAATAGGATTAATGTTTTGGACCTCAGCCAAGGCTCCACTAGAAAAAAACCCCGTTTTCTAGTGGGGCCTTGTCGCCTTGCCTCAGCTCACGTTTTGTTTGAACATATTAATTTTCTCTTGTTTATTTACTTATTTTATTTTTTCATTGAACTATTTTTAAGTTAGATCTGTCGATCGACAGAGAACACCTAACTAATATCTAACTAACGTTTTTATGGTTTTATTAAGGCTGTGGTTTCCTAGACGCGTAATAGATGCGCTGCGTGTGCGCATCTAAGACGCAGCACACTTGTCTTATGGAGTTTCGTGTAAGCGGTTTCCAAGGCTGCGTATCTAATGCGCGCGCATCTAATACGCGCGCACCAATAGCTGCGTATTTCACCGACTGCTTTCAGAGCAGTCAAATCTGAGTTACGCTGCGTTTTAGACATGTCTTGTGCAATGCATACGGAAGTAATTTTGTACAGAAGGAAGAATTCTCCAATAAAACGACGAAAAATTAATTGAATTTCTCTCTTCTAATATTATGGAAGTACTTTGTTTATACAATTAAAATTTTATAGTATTATATTTCATATCAATCGTTATGTAGTGTTAATTTCCCCATAACATGTAATTTTAACATTGAATTCCCTTGTTACGTGTTCCCTACAGTTAATTTGTCCTCACATATTTTCTTATTGTTGTTATTAGTAAATAAACCTAATATTGAAAAATATTCTTTTCAAGTCAGCACAACACCAACTCCCAAATATAAGAGCCCCCATAACTATTTTCTGAACTCCTGAACATATTAGTAATAAGCCTATATTAATTACTAGCATAGTACCCAAATTTCTTACGTTGTTGGCGTATAAGTATAAAATGCTTATTGCAGTTATAAAAGGTATTTTCATCGATTCGGTAAATCCCGAATAGGTAAATATAATAACAGTAAAAGCAAAGTTGGACAGGGTGAATTAAGATTTATTGTTTACATCTTAAATTTACATGTTTGCTTTAACACTACAGTTAAAAGATCCGAGAGGGCTACGTACAGTTCCTAATCATGTACTTTTCACTGCTTACGCTTCTTCAAAGCTTTAATTCCAAAATATCCATGTCATTATTTCATTATCTAAATCATCGTATAACATCATAGTAGCCACTAGTAATCTCTCCCGTGAAGTTATGTTACGCACCAACCGTGTGTATTGTACGCAGTCTAGGAAACCACTCACGGCAGCTGCGTTTTGGGACCCGGATAAAAGACGCAGCGCATCTAAACCGCTGCGCATCTATTACGCGTCTAGGAAACCACAGCCTAATAGTTGTTATTGTTTTTGCTGAATGTAAAAAAAAAAAAAAAAAAAAACTGAACAGATTGTAAATAAAATTGTGATAAAAAAACAGTCTACTCAGTCCACTCCACTCCAATAAGCTGCTCGGACCGAGGCGTTAAAAGGCAGTTTGAGTTTACTTCCAGCTCTAGACGAAATAACGCATTATACCATGGTGGAAGGCATTATACGATACGGTCGATACCGTCGATACCAACGATACGATGGATACGATACGATTACAATAGCCAAATCGAAACGAAGTAGTCAGCCAAACCAAACGCCCAAAGCCCAAACCAAAAAGCAAAGCCAGCCAGCTGCCGCTGCCAAGCCAGAAGCCAGAGTCAATGTAATCGCAATACGAATGCGTTTGTAATCTGTATCACTGTCCTGTATGTTGCAGCATTTCTTCTCACATTTATCTTTCGTTTGTCTATTGTCTGTTTAGTTTTTTGATGAAGACGATCCTCAAGTGTTGGTGTTGGAATTAGTGATGAATTTAGTTACTTGTAGTTCTATAAAATAAAATTGATTGGTTTATGATAAAGATTAGACATACACGCTTTGTGTGCTCTAAAACGCACACAATAAACTTACCAGTGAGGATAGCTTATAATGATGCTTGAATCATTGATATTCTTTTATATCAGTAATGTAAACCTTAGGTAATGATAGCCAATAATAGCACAAATAAGCCTAAAGCTTTAAAAGGCTTTAAAGAATCTGAAAGCATTAAATTACTGGTTAGTGAAGACAAGACAGGACCTGTAGAAAAGGGGGAAGGTGATAAGGATAGGCACCTTGGTGACAGTCAGAGCAAAGGCTCCTTTTCAAGCAGTGTAGTGTATTCAAGAGATAGAACTGTTAAGCCTCGCTCTAGGAATAGAGATGAATTTAGAACAGTTCGAGGTACAACAGAAAGGAGAGGTAGCGGTACAAGAGGTCGGGGAGCTCACAGGAAAATTGATAAAGACGGAGAAGTTTTCGTTTCTCGCGGAAAATTTCAAGAATCGATGAAAGGAAGATCTAATGATGGAGTTATGACTATATCTTCTAGCAAATATGATATTGAAGGAGGGAAATCCAAGTCTGGTAGGCTTTAACAATCACTTTTCTAGGTTAAGTTCAGCTTGAGTTAAGCACACTTCTTTTTAGGCTATAATTAACTTGGTGTTTCTTCAAAGAACATATAGCCTAGACCCTAACCTAGGCTAAACCCTATTTAACCTAAGTTGATGCCTTTAGCTAGGCCTCTAGGCTAGGTACTGTAACCTAAACTTATTTGCTTAGCCCTCTGAGCGTCATGCGTCGCTGCAGCGACGCGTAACACACTTTGTGTAGTGTCATGCGTCGCTGCAGCGACTCACGAACACTGTTTACGGCGAAGGCTCTATGACTGACAAAATCGGATTGAACTGGATCGAGTTAGGTATCGTTCTTTTCGTTAGATTCTAAGCTTTCTCCAGAGGTCTGTCTCTAAGCGCTTTATGTTCTCTGAGCCGATCGTAATTGTAGCAGACAGCTGACGTGCGTATTTGTAAGTTAAACAGGTTAGTTAACCTCGGACCGATGACTGATGTGTTTTATTATGTTTATCATTGTTTTAGTGTTAAAAATCAAAAGTAGTGATATACGTGGTGCATTATAAGAAAATTTAAGTGATTTTGAAGGGCTGGTTGATGATCCTGAAGAAGTAGGTACCCTAGTGATATTGATGTAAATTATCAGCCAGATTCCTAGCTATGGTTAGGCTATGCATTCTTAGCTAAACGCTATGTAGGCCTACTGAAATCTGTTTTTTGCCCATAACTTATTTATTTGCAATTCTACTTCCTTATATTATTATATATTTGTAATCCTCATAAAATTTAGAACAAAGTGGCTATTTTCAAATATTTAACTTATAAGTTAGGCCTATAATTTATACAATTTTTTTGAGCGCGAACCTTTTTTTTTTCAATTTTTCAAAAATAATTTTTATTTTTACCTAAAAAATTTTTTTTTAAACAAATATTCCTTAGGTTTTATGTATGATATTGAAGCCCATGATTTTCCAAACAAAATGGTATATAGAACAGTAGAATTAACATTGTTTTAAGCTTTTCAGATCCGTTTTAATAAAACTTTGCAAGTGCGCCAAAAATAGGCGGACATTAAGGCCTAAACTATGGACACTCGGAGGGTTAAGTTAGCTTGGATAGGTATCCGACTCCATACTTAACTTAAAACTTAACTTACCGGTACTTAATCTGGGTAGACTTCCTTATCTGTTGGCACAAACAACCGAATGAAAATATCGATTATTCAATTGTTTCATTCGATATATATATCGTTTGGTTAGTTAGGTTAACCTTACCTACGTAACTAACCAAACGATATAGGCTAGGCTAGGCCTATCGGTAATTATATCGATCACTGACGTCTCGCTAAAATTATATGTTTTTCACAATTCTTATGCTATAATGACGTCCTGAATTCTAAAATGATTGTCATTTTCCCCAGAAAAGTGGAAAAATAAAAAACAACAATTTTGCGGAAATGAGTCATGAAGGTAACTTTAACTTACTCAAATTAAGTAGGCTAACGGGTAGAGTGAGCTGAACAAGAATAGGCTATGCAAGAATTTTCAAGATCCGATGGATATTAGTGGAGATACGGTCGGTAAAGCGCTGTTTCTTTGGAAAAACAGAAAAACAAATTTTTTGCAGAAATGGGTCATTAGGGTAGCCTACGGTAGCCTACTCATATTAACTGGTACTTAGAGTGAACTGAACGAGAATAATCAAGAATTTTGAAGATCTGTTGGATATTAACGAAAATATGGCCAGAAAAGCGTCGGTAAATCGAGTTAGCGCCAAAATGACCAAAATAAGGTAAGGTTGGGTTAGGTTAGGTTAAGTTAGATTAGGTTATATTAGATTGGGTTGGGTTAGGTTAGGTAAGATTAGATTAGATTGGGTTAGGTTATCTTATATTAGGTTAGGTTATGTTGGGTTAGGCTACTCAAAACCTATTTTATTGATAACATAACCTAACCTAACTCAAACATTACCTAACCTAACTTAACCCAACCTAATCGAATCTATCCGACACTTTTCCGGCCGTATCTCCCTTAATATCCAACGGATCTTAAACATTCTTGCATATTCCTGTTCAGAGTACTCTACCGGTTAATTTGAGTACCCTCATGACCCATTTCCGCAAAATTGTTGTTTTTGGGTTTTCCGCTTTACCGGAGAAACGGTGCTTTTCCGGTGAAAATTACAATCGTTTTAGAATTCAGGATGTCATTTAGCATAAGAATAGTGAAAAAATATAATTTTAGGGAGACGTCCGAGATTGATATAATTACCGATATATCAAATAATCGATATAGGCCCTATCGATCTTTTCATTCGGTTGTTTGTGCCAACAGAAGGAAGTCTACCCCTTAATCTCATCAAACATGAAAAGTAGGCCTATCCATTCGTTTGCCATAATCCTATCTTTTTATATAATCCTAAGTAGGGTATTGTGACAATTGATAACCTGGGTAGGCTAAATTTATATTTTCGACTTAGTTTCTGCACATGATTGCTGCATACCTGGTTAAGTTAGTTTTAGGCCTTATTTAAGTAATGTTCCTAGAGGTAATTTTTATTAAATGTGTGATTTGGCATTAAGTTATGCCTCTTGAACAGCTAACAGTAGGCCTACTGAAGTTAGGCCTTAGGCCTAGATAAGTTTAGCCTCGATATTCCAGGGCAGGGGTGAAATAGCCTACAAGTAGCAGAATTTAGGAAGAGGCTGGACTATCTAGAGACCAGGGTAAAGCTCTTCAGAGAACCTGTGATAGACTGTAGCGATATGTGATCATACAGTAGAACCCGGGTTAACCGAATTCTGGTTAAACAAAACGGTTCCATAAAATAATAAAGGGCTAAAATATAAATAATATGGGTAGGCCTAATTATTCAATATGTCTACATTGGGATAGCCTATGATGTAATTTTTTGATGTCTACTTAGGCTAGGCATACGGTTTTTTTTCACGCCTATTCCAAAAATGCAATCAGTTTTTGTCGGAGAGACTTATAAGTGGCCGTACAGTTTAAATAAGTTATTACCATTAGTTCTGCTCAATGAACCTTTGATTCGTAATTTCAACCTTCGTTTTACAGCCACTTGCCCGTTGCCTCATTTCCTTGTCCCTGTTCAAAAACTTAAAATCTTCTGGACAAATCAAGCAAGTTGAGCGAAGCACCCCTTACTTATCTGCTGGACTGTGTCAAATTCCCCTCTTCCTATAATCTGCAAAGCCCATTTCAAATTCAAAATTGAGCATTTTTTTGGGTGTGGAGTTTTTGGGTGGCAAAGGACCTTTGTTTCCCTGTCATTTTGGGAGCGAGCTTCATCAAACACACTGGCCTAATTTTGGACTCAGGTAGAGGTCAGTGTTTTTTTCAGACTTGCAAGGCGGGTTTTTAATTTCTTTTGCTGATGAAATTGGTGGCGGTGCTGCAGTGGTCGAGCCTGAGACACCCAGCAAGCCAACAATTGATCAGTTTAGGCCATCTGAAACTTCTTAAGAGGCTGAAACTATCAGAACCTTGTGTTCTCTTCCCTGAGGTGCTGACGCCAAAGCTCGGGGTCACCAACCTGTTAGAGTATGAGATTCGTCTGACAGACACCCGTGCCGTGTGTTCTCGTACATACAAATTAGCTCCACCCAAAATGGAAACGCTTAAAAAATCATTGATGAGCTTTTGGCAAATGGTGTCATCGGACCGTCCCGTCCTAGCTACGAGAGTCAGGCATTTCTCGTCCCAAAGCCCAATGGCAAGTCCCGAATGGTCCTGGATTATCGCAAATTGAAATCGACTCTGTGCTTCTCCCCGATTTGCATTCGGCGTATGATAGGTTCGGCGGTGTAATCACGCTCTGTTACCATCTGAACCACAACCTCGCACCTGCACCCAGGCAAACGACTTCGAAGCGTGATTCCATGCACAGGGACGAGGAGCGGCTAACAAAAACCTACCAAACGACGAGAAAAACGGTGGAGGAAGGTTCAAGAACAATGCTAAATTTAGAGAAACAAGCTGTAATAAACCATTAATAAACAAACATCAAACAAATTATAAACAATAATACATTATTCTCAAAACTCAAAATAATTTAGAATTACCCATCTAACCTACTAACCTATAGTATTATCATGGCCTACAGCCATTTCTTCAATTATCCAAAAAATTATCAGTGAAAGAATCTTAAAAAAAAATATATAAGTTAAACAGAATAAATTACCAAAATTAAGTCACAACCTTGAACTGTGCGTTTAGGTAGTAGTAAGTACGGTAAGTGTCAATAATGGTTCGATTTAGTTCAGTAGGTACCCCGACCTAAGTTTACACATTATTGATTTGATTTGATTTGATACTGTATTTCATCCAATTATTTATCATCTAGGTTCTTTGCAGAACCTTACCTAGTTGGATTTATCTAGCAGTTATTATGCTGTTTATTATAATTTTTACTTGACCTAAAGAGGGTATTCTTATTCCAGCTGACTATGGAAGCTACGGGGGCTACATTGGGATACCAGACGACTCAAGAATGTCAAAGTTACCTGAAGACTCCAGAATATCAAAAGTGCTAAGACGAATGTCAAGGGAAGTAGATATCCCGAATTTCACCCTTCAGTGTAACCAGTTACAGGTAAGCCGAACTGAATCAAGTACACAAGTTTCATAGGCCTAAGTGTTATAATTTATTTTATAAATTGTTACCAAGTAGACCTATAAAACATTTGGTACTTTCATATTATACGGAGGCCACCCTTATACAGCGCTGCGGCGGTTATGTTAGGTTGGGTTATCCTAAATATGTTTTTACGACTTTCCTCGTTTTGTCATGAATCAAACGATATCAGATGAGTTATACTTTATAACTCATCTGGTATCGTTCGATTCACAACGAAACGAAGAAAGTCCTGCAAACATTTATGATAACCCAACCTAACATAACTGCCGCAGCGCGCTGTATACCAACTTGGCGGAGTACATGTGGCTGCTAGCGGCGGCAATGCATTCAACTCAATCCTTGCCGACTTTGCTGCCTTCTAGGAGGCGTAACTCAAAGGCCGCTAATTGTTATCATATCAAATTTGGACAGTAAGTCAATTAAAGTTAGTTCTTTTCACTGATGTAGTTATTTTTAGTATCTGGTAAAAAATCCTTCTAAAATAATAAAAAAAGGCCTGCGTATGATAAAAAAGTAGCCTACCTAATATTTATATCTTACATTTTTGAAAAAATTTGTAAAATAAAAATAAAGCTATGCTGATACTACAGTAAAACGAACCAGATGGTTACTGTACAAACACCTACCAGTTTATCTAGGCCTTCAGAATCAGAGGAAATATCAACTTCCCGTCCACTACATCTGTAGGCCTAATCATTAGGCAGATATCTGTCATCCAATCTGGCTATCTTTCGCCAATAAAGTGGATAGGCCATCTGTCAACGGTCTAGGGTTAGCCATGATGTTTTTTGTTGTGATCAATTCTGTTAGATGTGTAACCATTAGTATGAAAAGTACCTAAGTTAAAGATGTAGTATTAATGGTAAGTTAATAATAGTTTAAAATGGTAATATCTCAGTAATTATGTACCTGCCTGTAAACATTTCAGGAAGCAATAGTGTCTGTGGACAATGCCAGATACATACGTAGAGCGTTGGACCTCATCTGTGATTCTTTGCTGGACATGTTACACAGCGCACCCGGCGGCCCTGTGGAAAAGCTTCATGTGGCCAAGTGCCTCGGTCGACTTGGCTATACTCTTGAACAGGATTTTAAACGGTAAATTCAACTAGGCTGCTAATTCCTTAGGTGAAATCGTGGCTCTGTGAAATTTTGACTAGTTTGTACTGCTGGTTTATATTTTCCGATCATATAACCAGGGTATGGACTATAACCTTAAACAAAATGGTAAAAGGCCTCTGCATGAATCACAATACAAAACAAAAATATTTGCTTTCAACTATAAGGTACTCGATTCCACAGTCACCGTGCAGTACAGTTCTTATGGGAGATGTTAGTCATGCTAAATTAACACTAGTGAATAGTGGAAAAATCATGTTTATCATGCAGGTTGCCTCAACTGTTCTCGTTCCATCATCCATTGAAGGCACTAAAGAAAACTTGACTAGTTTCCATACCTTTATGATTTTTTTTAGTTATATAAAATCACTATGTCATTTACCCGCACGAACCTCCAACCATATTGAACCTGTATTGAACGGTGAAAGTAGAATGGAGTAGGCTATAGAGTTTGTGTTGTCTGAAGTTTCATCTCACAACTCTGCATATGCATTCTCATAATAATTTAGCACAACATGATCATACATTTTTGATCATGCCCTACTAAGGTGGATTATTCTTTCAAATCAAATGATTGTTTATCTACTCTCAGCCTACATCCAATGTTATGGATACCTATTATAACAATAATGCTGTACATTTCAGGTTCATGGACTGGATATTTTACACTTACACAAGAGAACGCAATGATGAAGTTAGAGCACTGCTTCTACAAGGAGTTTTAGAGGTAGGTCTAACTCCTCCAAAATAAAAAGTAATTCTTGCAGGCTAGCCTAATCATACTGCATACTTAAAGCAGGCTTAAGATTTTGCCTCTTGGTAATTGTGTGTGTTGCTAGCCTAGTGGTTAGCCTCTCGGACTTCAGTGCAAGAGGGACAGGTTCGATTCCCGGTACACAAGAAAGCAAATGGGTTTGGTCCACTTTCCCAAAAAAGCGTTTGTGTATGTCCTCTACACCTCCTTAAAAAATGCCACAGTCATAAAGATAAAAAAAAGTATTTAGGCCTAATACTGTTATATCAGTGTCACCATCCATACAAAAGTTGTTGATTAACTAAGTACCAGTGATTTTAAACTTATCTGTGTATCCTGTTGTAAAAAACATCTTAAAGGTAATTTTTTTCAGACTGTACGATTGGAAAGAGAACAGCCAAGGTTGAAGGAATCAGCTTCGGTAAGTTTATCAAACCTATTCAATTTGATAACTCTAAATAATGTAGATAGCCAAGAAGAATTTACTCTTTGTTTAATATTAAGTGAAAGTACTGTATAAAAAATAGGAAACCATTCAATTTTATTTTGGGGGTTTAAGTTTTATCTGTAAATCACAAAAAGACTAAAAATAGTGATTTTTAGCTGTAATCAATCTTTCTGAACATAAAGCTATACAATTCCAAACGACTGCCATTCTGAAACCAAATAAAATGTTTCAATGATCATTTGCTGTTAATTAGTTTATTACTACTTCGTATACTGAAGCTCATAAAGCTTCACTTTACTTTAACAGCTTTAATGTTTTTAATTTTAAATACTAAAAATTAAATTGTGGGAAGTCGCTAACAAGGTGTTTTTGGAAAAAAATGTTATTATTGTCCTGGACAACGAAGGTTTAGTATTCTTTTGTTATTTCGGCAGTGAACTTGTTAGGCAATCACTATTTGTTTTCCCTAAATCGTCTATAAACGTTTCGGTTTTAATGTTTGCTCCTTACATCGTCACATATTTCTGTGATGCAATACAGTAAACATTTTTGTTGTAAAGAATAATCAATTTAAATGTTTGATTCTTTTCTATAATACTTTTCTACATTGATAAAGAAATCTTCAGAATTCATCTTCCCTCCCATCACTATCCTTCACCCTGATTCCCCGTAACAACTTCTAATCCATCAATGTCATTTATGAATAAGAATAAGAATAAGAATAAGAATCGTTTATTGCCGTTAAACATGTACATGCAATGGGCAAAGTCACATTTTTACAATATCTTAGCCTACTTAAAAATAAACAGATGTATAGGCCTAGACCTTAACACAGAATGGTAACATTGAATCGTTGAAAGTCATTTTCAAGAACTCGTTAACACTATACATGGGGTTTTCCACTAACCAATCTGACAAAACTCTCTCAAATTTACTATTACTAACTTCTTTTGCGCTATGAGGCAGTTTGTTAAACAAATTAATACTAAGAACATTGAAAGACTTGAGGGTTTTACTTAACCTACAATGTTGCCTATAAATATGATGACTAGATCTTGTGAAATGGTTGTGGATTTGGTTTGACAAAGTGAGGTTATCTAAATTCTTCTTAACATAACATAAACACACAAAAATATATACATTTATCACAGTTAAAATCTTGGCTTGTTTGAACAAGGGCCTACAGTGCTCATCAGGGTCTACATTAAATAAAATCCTCACAGCCTTTTTCTGGATCACTAAAACTTCACTTATTTTTGAACTATTGCCCCAGTACAAAATAGCATAGAGCAAAACACTATGAAAAAAAGCAAAATAACAAGATCTTAAGTAATGACTAGGTAGGCTAAATCTAAGGCGACGCAACATGTGAACAACTTTGGACAGCTTTGAACAAACCTTAGTAACATGAGTATCCCAAACTAACTTAGGATCAAGATGGACACCTAAAAGTTTAACGCTACTGTCATCATCTGCCTCTTTCGGTGCTCTTACGTCTAGAGAGAAAGTTATATTCTGTGTCTTATTCAAGTTAAGGAGAAATTTGTTAGCTGCATACCATTCAGCTGCCTCTTTAAGAACTACTTCATTCATGGTGCAACAAAGGTCATTAACATTTTTCTCGCTTCTAAAAAAGGTCGCATCATCAGCAAACATGACAGTACTAGCAGAGACATTATCAGGCAAGTCGTTAACCATAACCAAAAATAGGAATGGGCCCAGGACCGAGCCCTGCGGTATACCGTACTCAACCTGGGTAGCGACTGACATTGAACCCTTAACACTAACTTTTTGTCGCCTATTTGTTAGATAGGATTCAAAAATTTTGATTTGAGGACCGACTACCCCATAATACTCAAGTTTTGCAAAAGCTTACCCTGGATATAATAGGATACCTAAGATACAACTATTTTCAGGCCCTGATGAATAATCTACATGCAACTTTGGAGGCTGTGGATAAGCCTCAACTCCTCATCGTTGCCGCAGAAGTTATTTTAGATCTTGCATCCATCTATCCTGATTTGTTTACTAAATATTACAAAGTAAGTATTTGTACAGGTTTGTACTAGTGTTTTGTTCACATGACACATCTGTGGTGTTTGTTGTTCTACAATCTGTTCATTATAGTCTCATTGTTGGTGATCTTTGCTTGAATTTATCCTCACAATACCCTTCAAATAGTATGTGAACTTTGATTTGTACTCATTTATATGAGTCATTTTGAATATACGACAATAACTATTCATCGATATCATTTGTATTATTTGGCAATACCCAATACATCTATACTATTATAAAATTGAGGTGGTGTCTGTCTGTCTGTCTGGGCAGCTGTTGATGATTAAAATACTAAACCGATACAGACAAAATTAAGCACAAAGATGGTCCACATATTTAGGAATGTCTTAAGCGTATTCACTTCCCTGAGTTCCTTCTGGGCTACACCCCTTATTAATAATGATAATAATTTGTTAAAGTAATTTAGTAGGCCTATGTGAAGGTATCTTAGTGAATAACGCTTACAACTATTGGTCACAACTTTTTTTTCAATGTAATTTTTTTCTTTTTCCATTCATTATTACCTGTGTAGGCCTACTCACCAAAACTTGCATTGGAGTACCCAAAGAATATACCTTAGTCCTTAGAATATACACTACATTTCCAATAATCTGAATCGCTGATTATCCAATTTGAATGAATGAATAAATGAGATAATATGTTAATTTTCCACAGAATTACAAACTAGGCCTACATACTTTTAATACATAACCATTATAAAATATAAACTAAAACTAAAATAAAAAGAACATTTCTGTATTCACTTATTTTTGATTTATTTTTTAAGAAAATCAGCAGACATAGCAAGAGTGCTGCCTGTGCGTTTGCTGGGTTGTTATAAAAAAAAATAAAGTAAACCATATCATAATGGAATTAATAAACTGTTGCTTTAACACATTCGCTGCTGAAAACCTTTAAACAGGCGCTCGCCAATTGCGGCGAGGCCCGGGCGGAGCCCCGACGCGCTAACTGAATCAGCGATCGCTATTGGTATTGAAATATCTCAGTAAGACGAATCACAAAAGAGCAGTGGTGATTGTTCTGCGTTACTCCGAAAGTGGACGTACTTCACTGAAACACCCAAAGGTAGCAGCAGCACTGCCTGGATCAATAACCAGAGTCTTTGTAATACAGCTCGAACTGAGAAAATCCCCAAAAACGGGACAAAAGCATTGCCAGACGGGATTTTACGGGAAATCTTTGTACCAACCTACACCAGAATAAAGCTCGCATTATAAGCTACAGGCTGGTAAAGATTACAACGTTCCCCCGACAATGGCTGAACCACACTGATCCGGCAAACAATGCAATGCGCGCTCCCCCACCGGTGGACCCGCCGCATCGAAAGTGTTAAACATATTAGTTTAGGGAAAAGACTTTAAGACTAATTACGAGGGTCGTCCAGAAAGTAAGGAATGTTTTAGTCTGGTTAAATAAAAACAAAGATATCAACAACAAAATTTATTTACACAACCATCCAACCACAGTACTTTATTCAACTTTTCTATATAATCCCCATTGTTGTCGAGACACTTGTACTTTTAAAGTGTAACCCGTTTCTCTATTCCGATGTTATCTCATCAACCGCAAAAGATTTGAGCCATATTATAACCGCTTCTTTTAAGTTCATTGTCATTTTCAAACTGTTTTCCACCGAACAAATCCTCCAATTTTGGAAACAGATAAAAATCACTAGGCACTAGGTCAGGGCTGTAGAGACGATGACTAAAGATTTCCCACTTCATACTTTTGAGTTCTTGCTCTTCTTGCCACGTTCAGTAAAAATTTAATTTTCAAAATTTTTGATTTTCTGAATGTAGTACAGTATCAATTGATTTGTATGATTGGAGTTCTATTTGGGAGAACAGATTTTCTCCACGCTCTGACCATATTGTGATGTAGGATTCCACTTGGTGTTAAATAATAGGTATATAGATCAAACAAATTTTCTAGCAAAAACTTAGATTTTCAACTGGTATTTAATTGTGTTAATTGTTCTGATTGTAGGACACAGTTGACATCCTGGTAGGTTGGCACATAGACCTGACCACTCCGACCAATGTAGTCAGTTTTGCCAACCTGTGTCTACAGCGCCTGGCCCCGTACTGGGTGGCTGACATTGACTTTTCTCTTCTCATGCTGGGCCACTTTGTAGAAGACAGTGAGGGCTATTTAGACAACTCCATCGAATCAGAATCATCCCCCAGCGACGACTCGGCTAGCGGCTTTACTCAAGAGCAGAAAATTATCAAGATTACTGCATTTATCAAGTAAGTACTAGAGTTTGAAATCCGTCTACAGTAAATTTTACCTAACAATTGCCACACTTTTCTGTATCTCAGACCATGTTTAGTCCGCACAGAGTTAAACGTTTTCTTTGACGTACGATGATTAATCATTGATAAAGAAAACACCTCAATATTATATTCTTATTTGTTTGCCAAAAGACTGTTTTCTTATATAGATAAATAAACAGTCAGATGTTTTTAAATTGTTTTTGGTTAAAAACAAATAATAGTTTTAGTGTGTTGTTTGATGTATGAAAAAAAGAATAGGCTATGGTTTGGTTTTTGTTCACATTTATTTTTGTCATTTCTGATATTTTATATTAACTGATCGTCCGTGATATCGAGTTGGTTGAATCACGCATATTGACGATGACATCTTCTAAGTGTCACTTTGCACAATAATTGTTTAGTTGGTATTGGTTTTATTTAAGTAATAATCAAACAAATGTTTTTTTTACTAAAAAAATTTGCCGTTGCGGAAAAAAAAATTCTGAGACCACAAGAGATGACAATGGGATGACTCATGGATGTTGTTACAATCACAGAAGACGATCACCATGCTGCTGCAATTCTTGTGTAAACAGTTTTAAAAATCAATAATGACTTTCAGAATTAATTCTAAATCAGCTAGATGATAGTGAGAATTGATATACATTTTGTGGATTCGTTTCCAATGTTGTATTTTATACAAATTGTTTTTAAATAAAAAGTTAGGTTGAAACATTGTTGTCCTGGGGTGAGCCAGGGCCGCCTGATACAGGAAGATAGCCCAGGGGTATGTCTCTGTAGCAGCTACTGTTAATGACAATGTGTTCAGTAGTAAAATAATAATTTTGGTATATATCATACAAGTATGCATGAGTTGGTCTTTTGCTGGTATTTTACACACTTGATTGTTGTGCCAGAGTGTTCAACGCTGTCATGAAAAGCCTCGGACAACATCTTAGTCCATCGGTGACCCCAGATGTGACATGGAACTTCCTCTACGACTGTCTGGCGCGCATACTGTCCATTCTGCTCAAGATGGCACACTTTGAGGAAATGGAGCTGTTCGTCACAGGTACGACTACCATTGGTGTTACGGTACCGCCAAACTGCAAATTGTGCTGGATTTATGTTGGAATTAGAATTAGAAAAAAATTTTGCTAGGGATTTTTTGTTGCCTTAATTGTATGTTAGTCAGAAGCATAGTATTAGTTCAAAATAGAAGCTTAGATTGTTTATTTGATCAGAACGTCAAATTTATATAAATTAATTAGAGTTTAGACATTAAGTAAAAATGGAATAATTTCTTACCCAATACTGGCATAATGCATTGTCGTTTATATCTAAGCTTGTTTTTAAAAGGGTTTGGTATTTTTACGGCCTTCATTGTATTGCTGCAACTTACTTTTTTCTTTTGATTCTGTATTATTAGCGGTTTGTTTCATTAGGTAAATGATCACCACCATTAACAATATGCAATATAATTTGTGTTACCAGGTAATGAATGCACCTGGCTGTTGTTGAACCTGCTCCAGAACAAGACCTGTCCTGCACATGACGACCTCTACCAGCTCATATACTCTGAGATAGAACTGATGGACAAGATGAACAATGTTACACTGTCCTCCCTGCTACAGCTGGTTGCTAAAGTGAGTTTATGAATAATTGTAGCGTTCTGCCAGCTTACCTGAAAAACTTAACCAGGGTTGTCAGCGGCCGGGAATTCCGGGAAAATCAGGAATTATGCGTGAATTTTAACAGCCGTGAAAAAACCGGGAAATATGCGTGAGAATCGTATTATTCCGTGAATTTAATTGATATCGTTAATACAGTTTTTTTTCAAGTAATTTTAATAGTTATAAACCGTTTTGCAATACTTTCTTGATTGATTTTATAGTAAACCAAAATTTACGGTTTACTGGCGAGTGGCGATGGTTCGGAAGAAGCAGAAGGTAAGTTGGGTGTACACTACCTACCACCATGAATAGGCCTACGCGGGAAGCCGACGCCTATACTCGCAACTCGAGTCGAGTAGTAGAGGTTAAGCCGATTTCGTTGATGTTTGACAAGTAAATAATAAGAAAGGAAAATGTTTGAGTTTTATTTAATCCCTTAACCCCTTTCAATATTGACATACTAGGCCTAATAATAATCGGCAACCTAGGCATCGCTTGCGTCATCCATTTCACTGACAGCAACAGCTGACACTGGGTGATGGTGATAGTGATAGGTAGTGGTGTGCAGCGAGTGCGATGTATTGAAATTTCAATTTGATTCTAAAAAGGGATGTATCGATTATCGTCATCGATACCACCATCCATTGGTTACCACTTGGACATTGGTATCGGTTCGGTACCAAGACTCGATTGTCAAAAGTCGATTCCGATAACACCGGGCACCCGACAGGGATAAATATTTTTTTTTTTACATTTATTAACTTTATAGCTACAGTATTAGTTTTGTAATCACGATTAGTTTTGTAATCACGGTTAACAATTTTCATAGCCAACATAGAAACTATCTAGTTCAAAACAGCGACGGTGCCGGTGACATTGTTGAGCTTCAGCTCATTGCACAACACAATCTACATTTCAAGATGTCAGACTCAACTCATGAGACAACCGGCGCGCGAATGTCCTGCCAACACGAAATTAATTATACTAAACAATGTCTGTATCAATAAGTCAGACATTTAGATGTATTATTTTTATTTTTAGTACAAAATAAATAACCTAAACACGGCGAAATGTTCAGTTTCCTCCCTGCAATATTCAACCATTAAACTTTAACATCGTCATCGTCGTATGGTTAGGCTTGCTTTATATTGCGCCAAAAAGTAGGTCCATATTTATCTGTACTATCTACCTGATTAAAGAGTTTAGTGAAGTTTTAAGTGCTACTATGACACAATGCATTTATTGAAAAATATCATAAGCCTTAGTCCATGTAGATTTTGTAATGTTATAACGAATGGTGAATGTTGACAATAAAAGTATGTAACAACAGTTCTCATTGGTCAGGAGGCGACAATGCACTACCATGTCAGCCAATCGACTTTCGTGTTTCAAAGGAGCAAATGACGATTGCTAGACATCGTTTTATGTGCTTTGCTTATTGTGGGTGGGAAGGGATAATTTATCGTGATTCGAGATCCGATATGTAGTACGTGTTCGTTTATGCATAATGAGTATTTAAGTATAAAAAAAATTAGGTTAGTTACAGACAGGTTCAAAACATCGATTGTTACGATCCATTTTTGACACCCCTACACGGAAGTTATAGTGACGTCGTGCATAAGGGCCAGGCAGGCCGGTTCACAGTGAATCCACTCTGCCGAACCTATACTCTTGGTATCATCGGGAACATAGTCAAACACTTTTGTTACTAAATAAAACTATGGCATGTTTTATAAAAGCACTCTTTTGGAGATTCTAGTCCCTAAACATAACCTTTATTGTAGGCTAAAAGTAAAACTTATCTATTGCCATCCTTTACTCCACAGACGTCGACTTATTCTACAACTCTTTAAAAAATACCAGGTTTCAGTCAAAATACTTTTGTAAAAATTGACAGTGTGCTGTTTTAACACAGTCATTCCTTGACCACGATCGTTTTAGCGAATTTCCCATATAGGGAATAAGCTATTACCGTAGTACTCATGGTAAGATCTGGACGCGGGACCGATTTTTTTTTTCGTTTTGAGGTCCCTAGAGGCTAAAAACACCATTCGTTCAAATTCATATATATATATATATTTATATATTTATATATTTATATATATATATATATATATATATATGTGTCCGTTAGCACGATAACTCGAGCAAAAATGATCCGATTTTGATGAAATTTGGTACAAACGTGTAAACCTACGTTTATTCGAACGAGTTCGCGATCCAGCATGATCGGACCATGGGAACGGGGGTTTATGGGGGGTTTTATGGGGTAAAAATAGGTTTTTCCCATTTTTGACTCAAAAAACATAAAATTTTGCAATTTCTTTCTAAACCATTTTGTAGAGCTTAAAAAAACAAATAATTTAGTATATTGAAGCGTTATTATGCGCCTAATGGTTACGGAGAAAATTTCAAAAAATTGTAAATTTAAAATACCCATGTTATTCTTATGGAGAATAAGTAAACTGTTGTAGTTTGCTTGTTTATGAACATATTTTGATCAAATTTGGAAAATTTTTTATTTCTTACTAACTATTAACATTTTACAAAAAAAAACAGTTTTAACCTCCCTGATGCAGCAAACCTAAGTACTTTTTAAACTAATTCTATTTAAATCGGGAATAAATGTTATATTTAAGTAGACATTTCAGTGTAAATCCAATCAGTCAAATGGAAATTCGCTTAGTCTGCAGGTTTGCTGCGGCGGGGGTATTTACTTCTTATAGAAATCAGAAATCAGAAATCAGAAATCAGAAACGTTTTATTGTCCTTCAACATTTACAACAAATGCAATAGACAAAAGTCAAGAAAATTCAGCTATTACATAAACAGCCTATTTTTAGGCAAAACAAAACAAGCCTAAAAACAAGTCAAAATAGGCTATACTAATACATATGCTTACAAATAAAAAACAATGTGGAAATGTGAGGACATTAAAAGTTAACTTCGTCAACCTTAAAATATTCTTCTAAGTCATAAAAAGGATTTAAAAGTAACCAATCCTGAGCTCTTTTTTTAAATGACTTAAGGTCCAATTCTTTGGCATTGATGCTAAGCTTATTAAATAATCTTAATGAAATAACATGGTAACTATTTTTACATTTACTTAACCTACAATAAGGCACGTCTAATAGGAACTGATTACGTGTGTTGTGTGAATGGATATTAAACCTATAAACATGGGAACTAGTATTTTTCTTAACCCTAAGTAAACACATAAATATGTACAGATTAATCACAGTCAATATTCTACTTCTTATGAACAATGGTTTGCAATGCTCTTCAATTGGAGCTTTGTTTATTATTCTAACTACCTTCTTTTGGAGTATTAACACTTCACTTATGTGACTACTGTTTCCCCAAAGAATCAAGCCGTAGCTAATTATGGATTGGAAAAATGCAAAGTAGGCTACCCTTATGTAGGTTTCAGGTACAACACCCATAAGATTTCTAAGCAAACAGATTACTCTGGACAATCTTGCACAAACCAAATCTATCTGAGGAGACCAGCTTAAACATTTATCAATTTTTATTCCTAAAACTGTAATTACATTTTCATTGTTTACATCTTGTGACTCTACTGGAATGTTTTTAAGACTACACAATAGATTTTGAGTTTTATTCTTATTAAGACAAAGGCTATTAGCATTAAACCACATATAAGCTGAATCAGTTGTGAGCTCAGTTACTGACATAAGATCATAAAAGTTGGGATGAACACTCAAAAAATTGGTGTCGTCCGCAAACATGATGGTAGAGGATCTTTTAATATTGGCTGGTAGGTCATTGATGACTGTGATAAAAAGAAGGGGGCCTATAATCGAGCCTTGTGGCACACCTGAGCTAACTTTCAAGCAGCTTGACATCTTGCCTCCTGCATCAACGAATTGAGTTCTCTCTCTCAGGTATGAATCAAAAAACTTAAGCTGTATACCGCGGATGCCATAGTACTCCAGCTTAGTGATGAGTATGTTGTGATCAATACAGTCAAATGCTTTACTCAGATCACAAGCTGTGATCTGAGCAAAGCTCGACTCCTCAAAAGCTCTCAAAATCTTAGAAACAAGGTGGTCCAGGGCATCCACGGTAGACAAACTTTTACGAAAACCAAATTGAAAATTTGAAAAAATTTTGTTTGTGTCAAAAAAAGAACATACCTGAGGTTTGATGACAGCTTCAATGATCTTGCCAATTATAGGGACCAGAGAAATAGGACGATAATTTTTAATCTGTGATTTTTCCCCTTTTTTGAAAATTGGGATGACTCGAGAAATTTTTTGGGAGGTTGGGAAAACACCTTCTTTCAGACATAGGTTGATACAAAAGACAAGGGGCATTACTATTTCAAAGATAATGTGTTTAACAATATTGCTTGTGAGACCATACACATCTTTGCTTTTTGAGGATTTCATTTTTGACACTGCACTGAGCACATCATCACATGACACTTCATTCCACTCAAGTTGGGTGCTGGGCCTCTTCACTTGCTGCAGGAAGTGATCCGCAGGCAGGGGACTCACAGGAATGCTGGCTCGAACATCGTTTACGGAGTCGATGAAGAATCTATTGAAGTCCTCGGCAGAATGGTTGTTGCTGACCTCCTTCTTCTCTCCAGAAACTCGCCTTACTATCGTCCACGCTGCTTGGCATTTGTTTGCTGATCGCTCAATGAAGTCAGCGTTTGCGGCTAATTTTGCTCTGTTCGCAACGTTTTTATAGAGGTTTCTTAGTTCTTTGTAGGCACTGTACGAGGCATCAGTTCTAAGGTTCATGTAGACAGTACGGTAAGCCATAACTGTTTCCTTAAGTTTCTTGAGGTCATCACTATACCAGGCCACTCCACTTTTAGGCCTATTGTCCTTACGTCCGGAAATCTTCTTTGCGGTTAGGTAACTAACAGGACAAGTTAAGTTGAAAATATCAATCAGCTTGTTAAAAAATAAATTGAAAGTCTCTTCAGCTGACTGATCGGCCGCACGGTTACTGTTCAGGATGTTAGGCCAGTTCACATTCCCCAGTTCAGCTTTAAAGTTGTTTAAGCACCTTGGGGAAAGACTGCGGTGCATAATTTCCTCAATATATGGTTTAGCAGCTTCTGATGCCGTTATTAGCCTCAACTCCAGGCCTTCGTGATCAGCTATGTCAGGGTGAACGATGTGTGTGGAGCAGGAGTTGGTCGGGACATTTGTAAAAATATTGTCCAGACAAGCTTTTTTGCGAGTAGGCTTGTCATTTAAGTAAACACAATCAAATTGCCTGAGTAGGTTAAGTAATCTTCTAACACTAGGCTGATCTCGGGTAACATCAAATCTTGAGAGAAAAGACTCTCCTTACAAAAAGTATTTATAGGTCAAGATGTATGTAGTTTTTTAAAAGTATAACTGCAATTGCTTTTAAAAATAAATACAAAAACTGTCAAATGACTTAGATTAATACTTGTAGGCCTAAGCCTATTTATAAATTAGAGGAAACTTTATTAGACCTCATCACAGTCAAATTCAAACATTTGCAGTGTTTTAAAAGAATTAACACTCAGAAACGTTTGTGTAATGGAAATCTGCAAGCGACTGACGCCAAGGGTAAGGGAGGGAAGGGAGGGCATGTCAACCAGGCTTTAGAGCAAACTTTCTCCTTTCCTACCCCATGTCCCGTTAGACGGTGGGCGGGGCTTCACACTAAATAAACACTCAGTTCATTCATTCACATTAGAGAATAGTTTTTGTGGCAGTGACGTATGTCTCTGTAATACAACCTTATAGTAACCTTTTATAAGCATTATTAAACAATTATTACACACAAGTAAGAAGAAAAATGGCACCCATAATGACCCACCGCGCTACCCCTTACCCGCCCGACCATCAGTGCGTCACTAATTAATTATGTGTCATGAAGTGTTCACCGTTTCATCGGTCGGGGCTTACGTAGTCCCTTGGGCAATTTGGCTTGCTTTTTTTAATTTACTGATAAGTGTAACTTGTGTTGTGCCGTTCATATAAGTATAATAGACGCCGGGAATTCCGTACTTTTTAGCTGGGAAAACCGGGAAAAATGCGTGAATTTTGTTTATAGATCCTGCTGACAACCCTGTTCACTGATATTTACTTTAGTTCAGAGTTATTCATGAGAACAGGTGTAATCATCAAAGTTGCCAACTGTTGTTGTCATCTAGTCAGCCAGCTTATTTATCCCATAAATCTCCATAATCAGCTATTTTTGGCTTTTCCTACAATAAATTTTTTGATCAGTTTTCATCGCAATATTTGTTACAATTAATTTTTATTCTTTAAGCTGTACACTTAGATCAATCTTCCATTCTTTAAATTAGTATCAAGCTTTTATGAGGGGTATGAGCCATACAATTTTATTTTAACTGTATATTCATTTGTATTATAGTGTTCCTTCAATATACAAAGACTTTTTTAGTTAATCATAAAATGTTATAACACGATGTTGGGTGTTGAACTAATTGGGGCTGTAAAAACTTAATAAGCATTGAAAATATGAAATACTGCGCAAGATGAGTTTGACTACCTTTACACATCCAAAAAAATATAAAAGATAATGTAGTAAAATGTTCTGCTCAGTAAGCTGTCTTCAACTAACCGTATTCAGATTTCTTCATTTATAACTCTAACCAAAACTTTTCACATGGAATCTTCAGTTTGTACAGCTTATCAACTGATTTTCAGGTTATCAAGGAGTTGAGTGCCAACTTACCGCTGGAGTTGGTGCAGCGTATACTGCAGCCTGGCTCACTGTTCCTAGAGCTGCGACTGTCGTCATGCAGCACTGTACACCAGGGCATCGTAGCCGTTTACCACAGCCTGCTCAGCTTGAAGAACATCCCTCTACTCAAAGAGGTCTACAGGTCAGTGTTGACAAACAACAAATCTAGACTTTAAAATAGTTTTTTTGTTAGGTATCATTCTAGCCCAAACTAATGTTCTTAAGTGAATAAATATAACTCCGCAACTGCCACTATTTCTGTAATAATAAGTGAAAAAAACTGAAAAAATTCTACTTTTTATCAATTGTTGTTTGTGCTACAGACTAATCATGGCGGACCTGGATTGTGCTTTCCGTGTGATTCTTACAAACCTGGAGCCTCTGTGTGGCGCGCAGGAAGTCTGTGAAAATTTCACCCACGACGCAGCTGATTGCGAGAACATAATCTGTTTCCACCTGAAGGCACTCTCAAACATTGGTGAGTATTGTATATTTTACTGTAATGTAAAGAAATTGTATAATCTATGCTGTCCTCTTTATTCTACAATTCAAAATCCCGGCCAAGAGCCTCTCCTTGACCAAAACTCTATTGTATAAAGTAGGGGTGGGTTTGTTTTTCGAGTTGGTTGTAGGCTTTTAGAAAAAAAACAAAAAAAAACAGAGAATGTCTGATAATGTAGTACAACAAGGCAAAACAATTTCACTCGGCCTATGTTTTTATAATTTTGGAAATTGTATAAATATTAACAAAATTAGGTGCATAAAAAAAATTTTAATGATCTTTCACCGCAGAATGGCACATGGTACCAACCTTAAAGTGCTGAAATACACACTTAGTTATGGGTGAGTTTCAGCACTTCTACTAGTTAACATCGGGGCGATACTTTCACAACGGTCACATCTTGATTGAGACGTAACTACTTACACTTTATGAAACATTCACCAAGATGGTTGGATAGCTGTGCCAGTGACAATATGGATGTTAATGTTTAAGTATTGTCTGGTTACCTAAAGTTTTCTTTGTTTCAGCCAATGCCAGCAACTCCCTGATAGGCATGTGGTTGCTTCAACCGAGCATTCTTGATCTGCTAGCTACTCGACTGATCCCCCAGTCCATCGGCCGAGTCAGTCCTCCTGTGCTATATGCCGAGCTGTACCTCTTGTACTCTCACTGTTCAAGGTAAACTTTAGAGATTATAGAGATAACTGCTTCTTGCAGCTTGGTTAAATGTTGGTTCGGACATATTGCAACACTCCATCTATGAGGCAAGCTACAATTCGACTGAAGAGAGTTGTTGAATTGTAGCTAGCCCAGAGGATGGACTGGTGAAATATGTCCAAAGTTCAGTATTTTTACCAGTTAAACGGTTATACTAAGACAACTAAGACTTAAATGTCTACTCTGACCATAGAAACCTACCTTCTAGTTTAGCAGATATTTCAGTTATTTATTTGGCTTTTTTTACCCCAGAGTAAAACAAGTAACTTACACCAATATTAACATTATCACCAGTTTAACATAAAGAAATATACAGTTTGAGCCGTTGATTGATTTTTCTGTCGTCAAATAGTGTTTTCAGTTTTATATAGGTACTGTACTAACATTTCAATCATGCCAAACTAAAACGAAAACGTTAAACTATAACTTCTTTCATGTTACACCAACTGCCGTAGCATCAAAGAAAAAAGATTAAATAGGATTTGATTTGAATAGTACGAGGGCTATTTAGAAAGTAAAGAATATTTGAGTCTGATTAGTACGTTTAAGCACAAACCATTTGTCTACTTGGTGACTGTCAAGCTGTCACAGCAGAAGTGTCATTGTGTCTCCTGTTATTGCAATATTCCAAGTTAAAAGAGTGAGCTGTGATTTAAAATCCCTATAGTTGTGATGTGCAATGTGTAATACGCTGGAGGAGAATAAATTAAAAAAACGGTGAAATGTATTACCAAAAATGCGCCAGTGTTAAAAATTGCTGTCACTTGTTTTATTTTAGAGGACTGTGTTAGCAACACAGAATGTCTACTACAGTATCCAGTATTTTGGTTTGGTTTTTCAGACACAGCCACTTCATCACCACTAGTAGCCTTGTTGGAGGATCTCACGGCCGTCCTACAGTAAACAGTCTACTGTCTCAGCCTTCCCCTAACTCTGGACACTTCTCTGTCATATTGACACTGCTCTCTGATATTGTAGCTAAGGTAAGTTGTATGCATTATTTACTCTTGAATTTTAACATCTGTTTTATGAGTTTAAAAATAATAATGAAATGTATAGAAAATCTGTGGAGAGGTACCAAAATATGGAAGTAGTTTTTTGCTGTTTAGATAGGTAGTTGGTTCCCTTGATGAAGTATACATGGTTGAAATATCAGTAAAGTGTTATGTGTCAATGTGACCTTTTATTGTGTATCTTACTAGCCTTTGTACTCTTATTTCTCAAAGTAAGAGATAAACCATCTCAACTCCAGCCACAACATCTTAAAAAATATTTCAGATATAATATAATCTGATTTAACATTTGCTTAGGTAAAATGAGGATTGAATAGACTTTTGGATTTTCTAGAAAGGAAATTTACTTAGACGTCCCCTAATTGTGGGGTATGCTTATGAAATTCCTAAATTTAGATTATGATCTTTTTAGAAAAGGAAATAACACACATCTTTAGGTTTTTGCTCATAGCATTGTTTTGTATACTTTGTCCACAGGAGCTGTGCGAAGAGAGTATGCTGCTTGTGATGGCTTGGTGTTGTGAACTGTTAGGCCAGTCTCGTCCATACTTCTCTACACTAGTCTCTACCAAGGAGATGATAGGTCTAGTGCTGGCCTTGTGTACTGTGGCCAACCTGTCATTCTCACACTCTGTACTGTTGGCCACCTGCACATGTCTGGAGCAGCTACTCATTGCACCCTACACACTCTACTGGAATGTAAGTAACTTAGTTGGCTTAGTACATTACTATGATTAGGAAGGTTTTCTGTCAAGTGAAAGTTCTCCGAATTCCGACCTGACTTACCCAACTAGTTTTCATCTGACACCAGTGTTGTGGCCTTTCTCCACTATTATTGCCTGTAGCCAGCTGGAGCCTCTATGTGTTGCTCAACCTTGTTATTGCTGTAAAGGGTCGGAAACCACCAATACTCCCCCAGAGCACCCTTGTTGTTTAATTACTTTATATCAAGGCAAAAGCTAATATTAGTTCATTACATAATTTTTGATTTCTTATAGGTAGTTAATTTATGTAATTTATGGCTAGCAAAGTTCCACTGAAACCTAGTTCATATTCTTAAGCCTAGTTTTAATTTAATGTTTGATTAATTATAACGATACCAATAAAAGTTTACATCAGATTAAATTACATTTTTTTTAGTTTTTCTCACTTTATATACCAACTGGATATGTTTCAGAAACATGTTTTGGAGCAGTTGGCTGATGTGTGCCTGCTACACGCAAACTCTAGCTATCCTGCTGTAGCTGCTAGATACTCAGCTCTTCTGTTGAGACTCCCCTGGACTATAGTCATACCCAGTCTAGCTCAAGGAGTGCCTGTAAGTTGTAAACATAGCAAAGGCCTTATTTGGGCCAGTTTGCTTTCATTTATTGACTCTCGGATGCTTGTTTTAGACAGTAGCAAATGAAAGTGAGCAAAGTTAATTGATATGAGTAATTTCAGCTAGAAATTTAACCAGGATCGATATTAGAGCAAGATCTACTACCTCGATCAATTACAATTGGCTCATTTTGGCAGTTGAAACATTTATGGTGATGGACAGGCAGTAGTGGACCAAAGGGTAGGGTTTGTATCCTAAGCTGGATATTGTTCAGATCACCGGTGAACAATACCCAGCTTAGGATACTTAGGATACCCTTCTTAGGACCCAACTCTTAGGTCCACAACTGCCTGACCCATGACTTGCACTGCAGACAACTATTTTTTATTGGTACACAGTAAAATTGCTTGCTTCATCACACATTCTGAATTTGTTGCTACCTTTTCCCCTTTAATATTCATCTCATCATAGCTTCATATCCCCCCCTGTCTTAAGAGGATGTCCACTTCAATCGACTTTTTTTTCCTTCAGCAACAACATTTCGAGCTATAACCAGATTCACAGGTTGCTTCTCTATTATTCCTTAGTCTGTCAAAGATAGTACTGACTACTTTATTTAGAGTTTTAGCAGTATTTTAGTTGACAAAATAATAACATGTAATTATAAACAAGTTGTTCCATTTTCAGAAACTGAAAAGTGGAAGAGTAAGGCTGGACAGAGCGCAGCACACATTGATTACACAGGACACCACGACAGGAGATATGAATCCTCACAACTTCAAGGTGTACATGGCTTATCTGCTGAAAGGAGTCAAGTGAGTTGCATCAATTTTGAAAGTGTTGTATTACATACATTAGGCCTACAAGATACGTTATAACACAGATATTATTACACTTTTAGTATTAGAGATGTTGTAGAGCCTGTAATATTAAAAAACATATTACTGATAGCCTGACTACTTAGACTCCTCATTGTCTCTCGGATGATATTTTATCTTATGAAGGAGCTTTAGAAAAGGAAAATAGTATGTTTTATGTGTAAACATTTATTGTTTCAACTGTTGTTAAAATTTATTCAGATAGGTTACTTGGGTTCACTTTATCATTATTTCAAATTAAAAATCCAAGTGCTCTTTCTTAAATATAGTTCTATTATACCACCTCCTGGTATTGTTCAGCTTTTTCATCTTTTTGAATTTTTTTGGTCTCGAATCACTTAAACATATAAATAAAAGGTAAAAGTCACAACAAAATCGTAAACATCTTTTGCGGTTATGGCGAAATCGAGAAAATCTCTGTTTGGCTCCACCCGATGTGATTTCAACCCAAAAATTATTTGTGGCCCAAACCGATTTCTCTGGCCAATTGTTAGTTCGACTCATATGTTGGAGACTTAATTTCATGACTTGTCGCAGACATGACCCCTAATTTACACATTGTTTACAGGGTGGGATCCCTGGAGTGGCTACAGGACATGTTTACCAGCTGCTGGTCACTGAGTCAGTGTGAACCTCACGACTATGACAGTGTGAGAGAGTTGTCACTGACCTCCACTACTGTGTTGCTACAGTGGGCCACATGGGGCGCTGCGCAACTCTGTGTACACAACAAGCTACGCACTCCACTCGGCAAACCACTTGACACCTTCATGGCGTTTGAAGGTAACTGTCTAGTTATCGTGGGCGAAGTTGAACTTTTGTTATTGACATATTCTGTTTCTATTAGAAGTGTGTGAGCTGTCCTTGTTTGGGATAGTCTCTTGACTTAAAGCCACTTTTAGACTTTTTTACCACAGGAATTCTAAATTGGTGTGACACTTTTACAAAACCTATTATTCATGATATATTAACATTTGCTGATAACACAAACGTTTTTTTCTGTCCCACCTTCACATCCTAGGACGCTGGGATCCAGCCCGTAACCGTTTGACACACTACTTCAAGCTAGGCCTAGAGGGTTGCAGCATTTTGACATTAGTAAAATCCATTGATGATTGGCGGGATTAGAACCCGGGACCTCAGTAACTGAAGTCCAGCGCTCCATTACTAGACCAGCTTGCTCCGCAGCATGCACTTTACCAATACTTGTGTTCTAGGTGCGATAAAATCCCTTGCAAGGCAGACAATTGGGTCATCCAAAGCTGATTCCGCCGAAGAGTTTGATGTCAGTAGAGTCCGACTACTGCTGGAGCTTGTTGAACAACTTGAGAAAGCCATGTACAACGCTTCTGACGGTACTGCTACTGCTCTTGTACCTGCTACTAAGGTACTTGTAATGCACTTTAATGTACTAAGGTACTTTTTTTAACGTCATTATGAATTTTAAAAGGGGAAATTCCTAATGGCGAATTGATAACAGGAAATTGATAACAAATTGATGAAATTGTCCTTGAATGTAATTATTCTGTGTTGTCTAGCCTGTGCGCACATTCTTCCACACCAACAAGAGTACGTGCTGTGAGTGGTTGAGTCGCAACCGCAACGCTGTCGTAGGTGTGGCTCTACACGCAGGCATGGCCAGTGCGGCTGTGAGGCACGGACACGCCTTGCTGCAGGACCTGCTGGACCTCGGCAACACCAAGGTAACGACCCGGTTGCTATTTGCATCGGTTTGGCTTTTGATTGATCAATATGGTTATTTGGTTATTTTAGGTTTAAAATAGATCAAATAACCACCCACTTATACTCTAGCCTAAGCCAGACTTGATGATGGTAGGTTTTATTGTAAATGATCTATACATTTGGTGTAGTGTGCTTTTATCATAAGGTCAACATGAACATAATCCATGATCGTGGGAAATCTTTAACATCCCCTTGATCGTGAAGACATCGTATAGTCAAATTCCATGACTGCAAAAAAACCTGTAATGTACCCCAAATATGTGTCTAAGTTATCATCTTTGTCTTTCACGATTAAGGCAAAATTCTGTATATCCCCCACGATCATAATGAACATCACCATTGTCTTCTGAGATCACGGTACCTAGTATCATGAATATCCGCTGCAATTCTGTAGACACATCAACTTCTGCGACCACAGCAAAATCCTGAATATCCCGCACAGTCACGTAACATAGTCATATCCCACATAATCTACCCATGTTTTTACATTAGATGTTAAGAACAAACTAAAATAAGTCATTTTGCTCCCTTTGCTTTGTGTTCTAAACTTTACTGGTTTAACAAGATTGGTAATGATTAAGTTGCTGTTTGCTAATTGTTGTGCTGTTCAGGGTCCAGAGTTTGAGAGCGCAGTTTTGCAAACAGCTTGGGCTCTGTTACAACTGAAGCAGTCCAAGGCTATTCATGGACTGTACGTGTGGTGTCGCGACATCATCGGTCTCACACTGCCGTACCTCAAGGCTTTGGCTGACGAAGCTGCTGGGAAGTGAGTTTTAATGTCTTGTCAATTGACGTTGTGAGGTGTGAATCTTTTAAAGTAAAGGTAAAACAGTTCTAATCCAATACATAATTTACAAAAAAGGTACCTTTTACATTTACACTATAAAATTAAAACACAGGGTGTCTAGTAGTCGGGAAAATCGGGAAAGTCGGGAATTAGTATTGAATTTCAAAATGGTCTTGAAAAGTCGGGATTTAGTCTTAAATTTGATTTCAAAGTCGGGAATTTTCATGATTTTGCCGCGATCGTCGTCTTGCGTTTACGTAACCGCGAAAGCCGATGATGATGTCTACACGGCCTCGGGAAATGTTCACGATTTTGCCGCGATAGTGGACGACGACGATGACGTTTCCGTGACCGCGGGAGATGACGATGACGTTTTCGTGACCGCGGGAGACAACGATGACGTTTCCATGACCGCGGGAGCCGACGATGATATCTGCTCGGCCGCGGGAATTTTTCATGATTTTATCGCGATCGCGGACGACGACGATTACGTTTCTGTGACCGCTGGGGACGACGATAACGTTTCCGTGACCGCTGGGGACGACGATAACGTTTCCGTGACCGCTGGGGACGACGATAACGTTACCGTGACCGCGGGAGACGACGATAACGTTTCCGTGACCGCAGGAGATGACGATGACGTTACCGTGACCGCAGGAGATGACGATGACGTTTCCGTGACCGCGGGAGACGACGATGACGTTTCCGTGGCCGTGGGAGTCAATGATGATGTCTACACGGCCGCAAGGAATTTTCATTATTTTGTCGCTATCGCGGACGACGGTGATGACGTTTCCGTGATCGCGGTAGACGACGATGACGTTTCTGTGACCGTGAGAGACGACGATGATGTCTACACAGGCGCGGGAAATGTTCATGATTTTGCCGTGATCGCGGACGACGACGATAACGTTTCCGTGACCACGAGAGATGACGGTGATGTCTAAACAGCCGCAGGAAATGTTCATGATTTGGCCGCGATCGCGGACGACGACGATAACGTTTCCGTGACGTATTGAGGTATGGTATAATCTTATGGGGTCAGGCTACCGGAGTCAAATCAATATTCAGGCTACAAAAACGCATTATCCGTATTATGACCAGCTCTCATCCACGTAGTTCATGCAAAAACCTTTTTCGAAATTTAAAAATCCACACCCTAACAGGACTGTACATCTTGGAATCACTAAACTACATTCATTCAGCTAAAAACGACCTCCCAGAATCAATTCAAATCAACCATAGATATAATACTCGAAATGAAAACATTTTTAGATTTCCAAGGCACCATTTGACCCTTTATGAAAAAAGTCCACTATATGCTGGGCTGAGGCTGTACAATGTGCTGCCTGCAAACTATAAATTGCTAAATGAAAATAATTTTAAAGATAAAATAGGTGAACTCTTAATTGACAGAGCCTTTTATTTAATTGCAGATTTTCACAATGCCCCTTTAGTTTAGAATAGTTTTATCATTCAATTTTGTTAATTTATATTATCTTCTTGATTACTATTTTATTTTTTATATTCTGACAATTCGAACTCTGACAATGCACCTATTCTGTATGTAACACATGTAAAGAATGTTATGTGCAAATAAAATATGTCTATGTCTATGTCTACCACGAGAGTGCGGCGGTGATGTCTAAACAGCCGCAGGAAATGTTCATGATTTGGCCGCGATCTCGGACGACGACGATGACGTTTCCGTGACCGCGGGAGATGACGATGACGTTTTCGTGACCGCGGGAGATGACGATGACGTTTCCGTGACCGCGGGAGACGACGATGATATCTGCTTGGCCGCGGCAATTGTTCATGATTTCGTCGCGATCGCGGATGTTGACTATTGACTATTACGTTTCCGTGACCGCGGGAGATGATTATGACGTTTCCGTGACCGCGGGAGACGACGATGACGTTTCCGTGACCGCGGGAGACGACGATGACGTTTCCGTGACCGCGGGAGACGACGATGACTTTTCCGTGACCGCGGGAGATGACGATGACGTTTCCGTGACCGTGGGAGATGACGATGACGTTTCCATGACCGCGGGAGATGACGATGATATCTGCTTGGCCGCGGGAAATGATCTTGATTTTGTCGCGATCGCGGACAACGACGATGACGTTTCCGTGACCGCGGGAGATGACAATGATGTCATTGATGTCTACAAGGCCGCGGGTAATATTCATGATTTTGCCGTGATCGCGGACGACGACGATCACGTTTCTGTAACCGCTGCAGTCAATGATGATGTCTAAACATACAGTACGCGGAAGATTTCATGATAAAAAAAAACAAATTTGCTAGTTAGAATTTTTTATTGCTGCATTATTTCTTTACTTGAAAACACCACATTATCATAATACTACTTTATGACAAAGACAGGGGTTGGTGTAGTATTATTTAGAAAATTTGGTTAAGCTATAAAAATTGGTATCGGTATCAAGAATTGAGAATCGATAAATTTTGGTTTCAACACCCACTAATTGTTGAAAAACTAGTCTTGAAAAATTTGAAATTAGTCTTGAAAAGTCTGGAATTAGTCTTGAATTTTATAATGGAAATAAACTAGACACCCTGAAAACATTTTAACTTAGCGAAAACATAGTTTTGCAAACACCCCCAAGTCTGCTTACATAAGATGTAAAGCCATATAATCACCAACAAAACATGCCTTTAAGAACAGATTTTGGAAGCTATTGCAGTAAAATATCTTTCCTTAAGTCAAACCGTTTTGTAAATGTTACTTTATTAAAAAAATAAGATCATCAATTAAGTTCTGCGTTTGAAGCTCATTTTTCTTGATGGTTTGTTTATGTTATTTAGGTATTATTGTACATATTTTTATTTTCATCATGCTATAGTTTTCCATTGTAATGGAAAATGTCCGCTATAATTTCTCAAATAAATGATGTAACTGTTCCAGAATGGAAACTGCTGTAGAAACGTACACTAAGCTGATAAACAATGAGAAGATAGAGTCTCCCACTAGACAGCTGGGGTCTGCTAGTGTCTCGGACAGTCATGACACACCGAGGCATTGCCACTCAGTCAAGACACTGTTGGCAGATCAGGTAGGCGTGACCTATGTGGTACATTGAAATTAAGCTTTACATAGGGGCATGCGGGCCAGACTTTTTAACTTTGGGTCAGGTCAAAAATGGGCCCCCGGGTCTCGGGCCAAAATCAGGCCGGGCCGGGCTCAGTTTTACTGGTCAAACGCCAAAGAAAAAAAAGTTAGAAAAATTACAAAATGAATTAAGACATTAATTTATGTTTTAAAATTCAAAGTTTAAGTGTTTTTTTTTTTATTGTATGCTTTAGTCTGGATTTTGTTGTAGATAACGGAGTGCTACTTGTCTCTGCAAGACTGGACTCAGTTAGCCAGATGGAAGGCTATGGAGGCCGATATCATGAGTAATCAAAACGGAGGAACATCACCTCGATATGTAAGTAACTATTTGAAATATTCTGACCAAAGCGATATCAAGAAATATATGATTTGATTGATGATGGAAATGGTTTAAGTTTTTCCATTACAATAAAGAAAATTATATTATACTTAAAGCTTCCATGGTCACACCTAATAACTCTACTGTGGTCCACAGAGTAAAACTATGCCGCATAACTTTAACTTACATGGTGTGCTGACACCAGACTTGTGCTGATGGCCTTCTTCAGAGGAGTATCCAAGCAGTACTAATCTATACTTATTTAATACGCAAGCAGGATTTTTGTGACAATTACTCCTCCGAAACTACTGAACCGATTGACATGTTTTTGGTCTCATTGCAAAGAACGTAACGTGAAGTTGTGCAGGAAACTTTCTTTTTAGGGAAATTATTAGAGAGTGAGGCCCTGGAGCCCTTTGAAGTTTTGTATTTCTCCATAAGATTAACATGGGAAACAACAATTTTTATGAAACTCCAGCTGTTGTCAGAAATTAAAAGTGAGAAGAAGAATATATGTTAATTGTAAACAGTCAATAAGTTTGCTAATTTAACAGTTTGTTACAAACATTTACTTACTTGGTTGAAATGAAATAGTTACTCTTTAAATTTGGGTTGGCGTATATTACAATGGAAAAAAAGCGAGAGGGCCTGGATAAAATGATATACTAAAAAGAAAACTGAATTAACACTGTGCTGCTTTTAAAGTAATCATTGAAAGAGCCGATTAATTTATAATCGTTATTATGGACAACCTAACGCAGCTATGAGTAAGACTATTTGTAGAAAACACTAAAAAACAAGATCAGCTTTTGAAAAATGATAAGTAAGATATTTACAAGAAATTATGATTATATCGATCTGTTATGTACATCATGAATATTTCCAAAATCTTTGAGTCGAATCTATTAAAGTCATAAGAAATTGCCTCTGTTATTCGTTTTAAAATAATGCCTGTAATAGCCTACTTAGCAATTGCTCGAATTCGAGCAACAGGGACACTAGTAACATATTAATCTGCAAAAGAAAGAACTATACATAATTCTTTCAGAGATACTAATTGTAAAGTAGTAGTAGTGATGCTTTGTTATTCTTCCGTAATCACCATATTATGAATGTTGAATGATTATATTAGTGAAATTTTAATTCCAAACTAAAATATGTATTTGTTTTGCGCCAGAAATATCTGACTTCAAAAGACACTGAAGCCTACCTAGAGTTCGACAGAGAAGATTATACAGCTGCTAGCGAGTTGTTGGAATGGTCGACAGAAGCAGACAACAAGACGCCGATGTGGGACTGTTATCAGCTGTTGGGAAACACCAAACGCAAGTTGGCCAACATTGCCATCAAGTCCGTGGCCAGTGGCATGATAGAGTGAGTAAAGAGTGGTAGCAAACTTTTTTTTTGTACTTTTGAGTTTTCAATGCTTTCAGCATTTTCTAATGTTTTTGTAAGTGAACAGTACAAATCTTGGTTTCATTTGTCAAATAAATGCTAATGGTATTATCCAACTTAGTTTCAGTAAGGGATCTAGAAGGTAACAAAATAGTTAGGTCTCTAATACAGAATCATAACTCTTGGAAGTTCTTGGTCATTACCGTTTGTTATCATAACCAGTGCTCGATCTGCGGGGAACGCGGTGGAATGGAGTTAGGGTGCCTCTCTTTCAGAAGATAAAATATTGGCATAAATAGGTACTAATCACATTAAATAGATTACAGTTCTGGCACCTCATTTTTTACAAATTGAGCACTAATCATAACCACAACACACTAGAATGCTGTTGCTCATTCAAGAACATTTGAAGTTACAAATACAACTCTTTTTTTTAAAGACAGAGTTCCGCCAGCGTACCTGGGAAAGTTTACCGGAGAAAGGTCCAGGAGATATACAAAGAAGGTCACAAAACATAATGTTGATATAAACTCCTGGTGTAGGACTTCTTCATAGTATATAACGGATGATATCTGCTCTTGTTGAAGCAGTAGAGATGGGAATTATCGTTGTTTTCCGGCAACGGTTATAACGATAACGCAGCTGCCCAATAACGTGTTGCGGCAACCTGTTATTTCAATAACGATTGCCAACTCGTTTCCGCTGTAAACCTTTGTCCGCCGGTCGGTGTTGCGGCGTTCAGTTATCGTTGTCGGTTGATCAGTTCAGTTTTCAGTTGTAGTCGCGAGTCGGACGTTGCCGCGTTGTCCAGACAGGATGCGTTATTCTAATTCTAGTTCGTTTCAGAAGTTATCGTTGCTCTGGTAGCGTTGCGGCAACGTCACTAATGGCAATGCATGTTTTCGTTTTCGTTGTCCGCACGGCTTTCCTGCAACATAGTGTAGATAGATACGTTATTATAACAACAGGGAGTTCTCGGCAACGTGTCGCCGCGATAACGTTGGCGTGGCCGCAACACATCCTGCAACATTCATCCTGTTATGTTAAATAACACATGTTCTCTATGAAGCAGTGGTACACTAAGACAACATATCAATACTTTGTATGTCCTTTCATCATGTATCCATTTGCCGCTGGTACTTTTTAGGTAAGCCAGCTGAACAACATTTCCGGTAAAACCTTCTTAATCAGCCACATAATTGTCATTTAAAATACCGTAGCCTACTTTAGTACAACTTGTGTGTTAACAATCAGTTAATAACAACTTATGGCATGACAGGGAGAGTAATAAGGAGATGTTACAAGAGTGTCAGGCTGCTGCACACTGCTACCTGGTGGAGGGACTGAGAAACACTCCGTCGGAGGTGGTGCAAGAGGCGGCCATCTTGGAGTTTGCAGCCAACGCCTTGCTGGGCAAGAGTGACGTACTGATAGACTATCAAGTTGTAAGTGACCATTGTTTGGGCAGTTTAAGTAATAAAGCTAGAGTTTTGCCGTTGGTTTCTCACTGAAATGTGATCTTTGTGTTTATTTTTACTGTGCTTCACTTGTGATATTTTAATTAAAAATGGTTTAAATACCTTAACTATCAGGTGATCATTGGAGTAGTAATTACACTACTGCAGTATCAGCCCTCAGGGGGCATTCTTCAGGTGTCAAAGGATGTCAAAAGTTGTCATTCATACGAATACTACAAATACTAGACTAGTTCCTCGCACGCGTGGCGCTTAAATCATCAACCCATGGGAAATGTTTGTGACAATTACGTGTGTATTCGTGTTCATGTCCGTATTTGTGTTCTCGTAGTTTAAATGTGACGAATTCGTATGAATGACAACTTTTGACATCCTTTGACACCTGAAGAAAGCCCCCTGAGGGCTGAAACTGCAGTAGTGTAATTACTACTCCAAGGATCACCTGACAGTTAAGGTATTTAAAGAATTTTTTTTTAATTAACTAAAGTGATTCGGAGGCTAACATCATGTGATATTTTACAAATGATTATATTATATATTTATATTAATGAACATTTTGTAAGTTACTTAAGTCAGGCTCACCCCAGTATTGGAAGAAGAATTTTTTCTTTATTTTGACTAACTTTTTCTCCCAAAAATTTTGCTTATCTGAATTTTTGATTTTCTGGTTAGGGTCTGGTGCTAATTGGGATCCACATAGTTGGAGTTCAACTGCATTTGTTGACTTATTAATATAGCTATAACTTTGAACCTCCTCAAAATATGTAGTGTAGTTTGAAAAAAAAATATTATTGATGTTAAACAAATACAAATCATTTATTCTTTGTCACCATAAATAATGGTTGGATCTATTTAAAAAATCAAGTGTTACCAGTTCATTTAGAAACTAAATGGCTTTTTAACATAATTGTTTTAGAGCCTACTTCAGTTAAAAAAAATCGGTAGTTGACAAAAATATTATATTTAATAAGCAGCTCTACAGTAGTTAGCCTATGTATGTTATGTTGTAGGATGATATTATCGGTTGCACCAAAGGTGATGTTGACAGTCAGCTGTTGTCTCGTATCTTGTGGTGGGGTCAGGTGTTGGAGAAGCTGCAGATCACTACACAGCCTTCGCCTCAGCTGAGCCTACAGGTAACTTACTGAGTTGTCAGCTGATTATGTTTAAGGTTTATTTTTACTCAGTTTTTATTTGTTACTGCTAGGTTACTTATTTATTATTTGCTCCTTCTAACGAAATTTCAATGTTTCGCTCTTCAGTGTAGATAATTCTGTTGTAAAACTAAAAGAGTAACGAGTCAAAATTCTAAATAGACACTGTTGGCTTTGCAAGATATAGTTGTTAAAAAGATCTGGGGGTGTTAAATCTGGTTGCGCTTTGGGATCTAGTAAAAGCAAAAAAATTTAAAAATGTGAAAAAAAAAATAGTAGGACTAGCCTTTCCTAATAACAGTTAAAAAATCAAGAACATTTAAAAACAGATTTTGAGCCTTATAAACAATTTGACAATACCACTGACTTTTGCATAGATTCTGAATAGAAACAAACATTTTCCTGTGTTATATGCCAGTTTTTACCTTAATGTTGGTTTTGCAACAAGAAGCGTTTTAAATTATAGTTTGTTATTACAGAAGTTAATTGGTCATTTTATAACCTGGCTTTTGCTAAAGTTCCTAAACACACTGTATCAGTTTAGGTTCCAATACTTTTATAACTTTTAAACACACAGCTATGTATTTGTGTTAATTACAGGCTGCAAAGCTTGCTCGCAAGGAGGGAAATCTAAAGCTGTCTCTACGCCAACTGTCACATCACTTGAACCAAATCCTACACCAAGACAACGGACACAGGACTACTCTTGTGTTGACGGAAGATATTCTCGGAGACATGGACAAATCTGCCGTGCCTTGGACTTTGCCTCATGCTCAGGCATTTACCGAAGTTTCAAAACTCCTTTATAGGTGAGTGCTTGTTAGAACCAAGGTTTTATAAGTAAAATAAAATGAAAGCCACTGTGGTAGTCATGTGATGCAAACAACCATTGGATAACTAGTTGAAATATTATCTTTTGGTTTTTTCTTTACTTTTACAATAACAAATTGTAACTGAATAAGTACATTTGCTGGGTTCTCTATGATTTTGGCTTTGAACTTACATGGTGCTTGCATTTTTATTCAAACTAGGGGTCTGCGGGTCCTCGATATTTTCAAGTTGGTACAAGCCGGAAATGATTTTTTGGCCAAGCTCGAGTTGGGTCTGGGCCGAGCCAAGCTTCTATTTTTACGAAGCAGAGAGCGCCTGCAAAGATGTACAGTCTAAAACTGACAATTTCACCGCGATTGTAGAAAACGATAATGTTGTCTCCATGACCGTGGAAAATGATAAGGATTTCGTCGTGACCTCTTGGAAGTTCTTCTTGATTTGAGGTTCATGCTATGACTTCAGAAGATACTCACAAGTTTTCTGTTACGTGTAAGATGTCCAAGAGCTGTGACATTAGATTGTTAATTGTTTCACTGTGATTGAGGCAGATGTTGTACAATATTGCATAACCAAACTGAAGTTAAACAATTTTTTAAAATTAATTCTTTAACAACACAATCCAGTTTTGGCCCAAAGTAATTTTGGTCCCTACCCAATCCTACTCGAAGTGAAAAAGTCTAACCCCGTGACCTCTAATCAAATGTATCGTTGTTGATCAACTGATGTGTTCTGTACAGTGTGGGACAGCACCAGCTGGCTGTGGAGGTGGGTGTCAAGACATGTCTGAGACTGGTGCAGTGTGAGCAGATGGAGGTGAAGGACAAATGTGCCAGACTGTTGCTGACTCTGGCTACCTGGCTGCCCTCACTGGACCCTGCAGTGGTGCCAGTCATCACTGAACCTCTGGCTGATTGGCACAGAGACGTGGACTTGTCTCACATGCCCAGCCTATTAGACATACAAGGTAATATCCTGGGTATCAGTTCACTTACAACAGTACTATACTGTTCCTCTTACCTTCTCGTTGTTTCTTAGATTTTATTTCCTACCCGATTTTCGGGACAGGGTTTTTTTCCTGTGCATAAAAAGGGTTTGTTTTAAAAGTATTGAGTATTACAGTTACCAAAAAAGACAAACAAAATCAAATTTAACCATTTGTGGCACTGATCTATAAAAACAAACAAAAAATGGGTAAAAATTTATAGGTATAGAAACTTGTGACTCGTGGTTACCGTGCGATGGTTGAAATGATTTGGCGGTCACAACGCGATTGTTGGTATCCTATACTCTAATACGAGCAATGTTTGCTTGTATGTATGCTTGCACCAAGATCTCGAAAACGGCTCCGACGATTTTCTTCAAATGTTGCAAATAGTTTATTCCTGGCCTAAAAACGAGTTTACTGCAGTTAGAAGTGCCAACAAAAATCTAATTACCTAGAAAAATGAAACTGAAAATCACATTTTTTTAACATTAGTCTTATGGGTTGCTAGGTAACCATGTTGGATGAATTAAATAACAAGGATAAAGTAAACAAAAGACTTGAAGTTGTTGCATGTGTTCATAATAAGCCAACTACCCACAGTATACTAGCAAATTACAAATACAGTACAAGAGGAAAAACATCACTTGTTAATATTTAGCAAACATTATACTGAAGATTACTCGATACATTGTAGTCAAGGGTAGCAGTGCGAAGTCTGGGATCTTTGTTTATGACGACTGGATTAAGGTATCTGCAATCCTAAAATGCTATGGGAAGAGAAGGAAACAGGTCCGTGACGTAGGAAGTGGTGAAGGAAGTAGTAAAGGCAATTATAAAATGCTATGGGAATAGAGGGAAACAGGTCCGTGACTTAGGAAGTGATGAAGGATATATTTAAAAGGCGAGCAGTCCGGAGTGTGGGGACTGTTTATGACGATAAGATTGGGGTACCTGCAATCCTAAAATGCTATGGGAAGGGAGGGAAACAGGTCCACGACGTAGGAAGTGGTGAAGGAAGTAGTCAAGGCGAGCTGTCCGGAGTGTGGGAACTGTTTATGACGATTAGATAAGGGTATGGACAATCCTAAAATGATATGGGAAGGGAGGGAAACATGTCCGTGACGTAGGAAGTGGTGAAGGAAGTAGTCAAGGCGAGCTGTCCGGAGTGTGGGAACTGTTTATTAGATTAAGGTATGGGCAATCCTAAAATGATATGGGAAGGGACGGAAACATGTCCGTGACGTAGGAAGTGGTGAAGGAAGTAGTCAAGGCGAGTAGTCCGGAGTGTGGGAACTGTTTATGACGATTAGATTAAGGTATCTGCAATCTTTAAATGCTATGGGAAGGGAGGAAAACAGGTCCGCTAAGTAGGAAGTGGTGAGGAAGTAGTCAAGGCGAGCTGTCCGGGGTGTGGGAACTGTTAATAACGATTAGATTAAGGTATCTACAATCCTAAAGTGCTATGGGAAGGGAAGGAAACAGGTCCATGACGTAGGAAGTGGTGAAGGAAGTAGTCAAGGCGAGCTGTCCGGAGTGTGGGAACTGTTTATGACGATTAGATAAGGGTATGGACAATCCTAAAATGATATGGGAAGGGAAGGAAACATGTCCGTGACGTAGGAAGTGGTGAAGGAAGTAGTCAAGGCGAGCTGTCCGGAGTGTGGGAACTGTTTATTAGATTAAGGTATTTGCAATCCTAAAATGCTATGGGAAGGGAGGGAAACAGGTCCGCGACGTAGGAAGTGGTGAAGGAAGTAGTCAAGGCGAGTACTCCGGAGTGTGGGAACTGTTTTTGACGATTAGATTAAGGTATTTGCAATCCTAAAATGCTATGGGAAGGGAGAAAAACAGGCTCTCGACGTAGGATGTGGTGAAGGAAGTAGTCAAGCCGAGCTGTCTGGAGTGTGGGAACTGTTTATGAGGATAAAGTTAGGGTATCTGCAATCCTAAAATGCTATGGGAAGAGAGGGAAAAAGGTCCGCGACGTAGGAAGTGGTGAAGGAAGTAGTCAAGGCGAGCTGTCCGGAGTGTGGGAACTGTTTATGACGATTAGATAAGGGTATGGGCAATCCTAAAATGATATGGGAAGGGACGGAAACATGTCCGTGACGTAGGAAGTGGTGAAGGAAGTAGTCAAGGCGAGTAGTCCGGAGTGTGGGAACTGTTTATGACGATTAGATTAAGGTATCTGCAATCTTTAAATGCAATGGGAAGGGAGGGAAACAGGTTTTCGACGTAGGTAGTGGTGAAGGAAGTAGTAAAGGCGAGTAGTCCGGTGTGTGGGAACTGTCTATGAGGATTATATTAAGGTATCTGCAATCTTAAAATGCTATGGGAAGGGAGGAAAACAGGTCCGCTAAGTAGGAAGTGGTGAAGGAAGTAGTCAAGGCGAGCTGTCCGGGGTGTGGGAACTGTTAATAACGATTAGATTAAGGTATATACAATCCTAAAGTGCTATGGGAATGGAGGGAAACAGGTCCATGACGTAGGAAATGGTGTAGGACGTAGTAAAGGCGAGCCGTGTGGAGTTTGGGAGTGGATTTATTTATCTCCAATACTAAGACTGCTTTCAGAGTGAACTGACGATTTTTTCCGAGCAAAGCTCGGTCCCCAGGTACTGTTACTAAAATAACATACCAATCACCACGCGATCGTCGAAATGACTTCGCCTCCTGCTTTGGCGGAACTATCATGAACATCTCTCACAATAGCGGCGTAATCGTCACTCATCGTCACTCATCGTCACTCGCAAAGCAGCAAAATCGCCGACAATCAACTAAAATCCTGTCCCGAAAAATTCTCAAAATCAAATGTAATCCCGTTCCGAAAATCGGATTTCTTCTTCTGTTCCTTCTTTTTGGAAAGGAGACAGCAGTTTTTATACTAGCTTTAAATATTGATAATTTTATATTTTGATGTTTTGTGCAGATTTCAACGTGGAGGGTGACTCAGTAGGCTTGGTCCTGCAGCTAGCAGTGTCTCATTGTCAGGGTCTAGCCAAGGCGTGGACGTCGCTGGCTAACTGGGCTTACCGCTGGGGTCGTAAGGTCACAGATCAGGTGTTCACCCCTGCTGACAGAGAGGTCATTGACACCCTGATACCCGAGGGGGTTGACAGAGAGAAGGTGTACAACGTATTGACCCACCACGCTCCACCTGTAGATGATGATGACATCGAGGTGAGAGCTAGTAGTAGTATAGAAAATGTTAAGTTTAAGAAAAAAAGTGCAATAGAATCTATAAATTAATTGCATTGTGTGTATCACAGGAGGAAGGAATTGTTGATTAGTGTATTTAAGATGTATAACTCATCAAACGGCCAATCTGCTCTAAATAGCTAAACATTTGGAGGTCAAGGATTTGTTTTGACACTATGGTGACATCAACCCTACTCGTGCCATTTCAAAGTTCAGCTGATAAGCACAATGCAGTTTAGTAAGAGTAAAGGAAACAGGCAAAGAGAAAATATTAGGAATAAAACTATTAACATCAATAGAACAGACTTGTTGTTGTTGGTAGCCTTTAAAAATTGAAAGTTTGAATTGAAACCTAGAATGCTTGACTAGTTAATTAAGGCCTAATTGGATTTGGTTGTTTTGTGTTTTTATATGTGAGTTAAGTTTCATTAGTAAATATTTACAAGATACTTTACATCTCCTGTAATTTAGGATGTCAAATTTATCATCGTCTACATCTAACTATTTTACCTGATGAAAAACTAGTTTATTACGTCTGATTGTGCAGATGGAGAATCTCAACGTGAGTGACATGGTAGAGTGGCAGCTGCAGAGTTTTGGTAGTTTCTCATCTGACCAGCTGACCAGTCTGGTGGAGATGTGGCGCAAGTCTCACGCCCGCACTTACAACTTCTACCAGCTCTCCGCTCATTCGTACTTCAAGTACCTGCAGCTCTGCCGGGACCCTCAGGTTAGTCACCTTGCCCGATCTGGGACTTCTTCAGACTCTGAGACAAAATATTAGTGTTATGTTTTGTGATCTTTGTGTGTCTCTTAGCCCCTGGAGGCAAGCTAGCTGAACCTCCCACTTTAATAAAATTCCTTATAGTCACTGTTGTATTGCTAAAGTTTCCTTAGATTGGATTGTTTTTTTCCAGTTGAATGTTTCCAACACGAATTATTTTTAATCAGGTCGAGTATTAATTCAGAAAATGATTTATTGATTTGAATTTGCCTTGTTTTGCAATTGCATTAATTATTTGTGTTTTTATTAATTTGAAATTAAATGAAAATCTGTTTATTTTCCATATTAATGAAATCAGCACACTATGACGGTTTCTCAACTCAATACTAGGCATATGTAAATCTTTTACTCTAAAAATGGCTACAACTTTACCATGGGAATTGGATTGGTTGACTCATTGTCAAAGGTGTAAGTTTCTTAATTACATTGCTGTATGTTTGCAGGAGGACAGCCATGCCATCACTGCCACGCTGAGGCTGCTGAGGCTCATAGTGAAGCATGCCCAGGAGTTACAGGGTGTACTGGAGGTGGGACTGGCCAACACACCAGCCTCACCGTGGGTCTGCATCATACCACAACTCTTCTCTCGTCTCAGCCACCCACAGGTATACCAGCCCCCGGTACATCATTAATAACCAATGATAGAAAGGATCGTTAAGAATGGGTCTGTGATGATTAAAGCATCTAAGCTTAGTTAACAAGTGTATGTATATTATTTGTATACATAGGGTGGAGAAAGTCAAGGAATTATATGTGAATTTTGAAATTTTAATGGGAAAACCTGGTTTTAGTGCAATTTCTTGTTATATGGAATTAAGAAAACTTTATAAGGTTTAACACCTAGCGACGTCCTGTATTTTTCTTGCGTATACGCTCATGAAACACCGTTTTAACCCGACTATTTAAACATCGAGGACATCTTCTGCGGTCCTGGATAAATCAAGAACATTTGCGGTTAAAATCATGAACATCTTCCATGGTTACAGCGAAATCAATGATATCTGCTATGGTAACATGATTTGATCCATGATCAGGATAAAACTGTTAACATAATTGCGATAACATTTTCAATCACACATCTTCCCAATTGCTCTCTTTGATAATGGGATTTTACACTCAGCTCGACTTCTGGTAGTCGTTTTCGGCCTAAACTGATCCCTGAGGCCACCTGTTAGGCCCACCAGACCTGTAAATATCGGGGACCCGTAGACCTAGGGTAAAAAGGCACACTTGGCAACCAGTAATTACGACCGGGAAAATACAAGAAGTTTTTGCAGGAGTTTTGTGGCTGCTAGGACATAATTGTACTATTTTTGACAGGAGTTAGTAATAGTGTGTAGTGTACTATTCTCCCATGTTTTAATGTTTTGTTACCTGATTACAGCCGTATGTTCGTCGCCGCGTGTCTGAACTGTTATGTCGGCTTGCTGAAGACAAACCTCACCTCATCATCTTCCCCTCAGTTGTGGGCAGTGACTCTGGTGCTGCAACTATAAGAGATATGCCGCATACCAGTAAGTTGTACTTGGTTGGAAGACAATTAGTATAGATAATATTTCTCTTCTATATTTCATCTCGGAAATATTGATAGCAGATAAATTTGTTCCTTATATGCAACTGGTTTTATCACTCGATAGACCTTTTAAGTTATTCGTGTACCAATCGAGAGAAGAATGCAACAACTGGGTTACCGCTGCTACAACTACTCTTTTAGCTAAAGAAAATATTAAACTTAACAATAGTTAAACTTCAGCTAAGGTTCATTGTGGAAACATTAAAGTTTCCACTTAAGTAAACAATAAACTGTGAAAGTTGTGTGATATGTTAATTAATAACCAATAATGTCGACAGTACCAATGGGTGATTCGAGAATAATATCTTGATTACAATGCTCGAGTTTCTCCCTTTCATTCCGACCAGTGACGTAGCCAAGATTTCAAAATAGAGGGGTCAACTTACCGGAAAAAGGGGGTCCGGGAAAATGTTTTGAAATATAGGCCCTAAAACGGTCTTTTTTAGCTCTCTTGGCATTGAAAATAATCAACCCCAACGTCAATACAGTATGATTATATAATTTTACATTTAATTTAACTAAAAAAATTATATTTAAGACCCGAAGGGAGGGGTCCGGACCCCCAGGACCCCCCCCCTGGCTACGTCACTGTTCCGATACTGGATCAAGTAATCTCAAATCTGTTTTTTTTTGTTTTAAACACTTATATTGAAATCACATGGTTTACCTAAAATCATACAAGCCTAAAGGTTGAAAAAAATTAAATGACTGATTAAACATAACTTTAAAAACCTTATGGACGGTGACACACTTAAGTTTTTCTAGGCGCGGTCTCGAAGGGTAATTAACTCAGTGTGTTCTGTAGATTTTTCAAAATATCAACCAATTAATGCAAACCTGTCACCAAGTTCCCACAACCCGTATTTTTATGTTGCCAGCCACGCCTATCCCACCATTTTGTAGAAATCCTTTGTTTGACTCTTTTAATTATTTACTGCTAGTGGCTTTTACAGATCAACCTTTCCCTGTACGCATTTGTTGATCAGTGCACATTGCTGTGTCAAGTACTCACTTGTAAACTTTTCTAAAACATTGTAAAACGTAAAAGATAAACAGATCTTGTGATTTGTCGCAGAGTTGTTCAGCACTGGCAAGAGAGTGGCCGTGGAGGATCTGGACATTGTGGAGGATGAGGACGAGGAGATAGAGGAGGACGAAGATGAAAGTCACAATGGAGAAGAGACTCAGGCCATGGAGAATTGTTTTCAAGCAATGGTTGACATCCTGGCTAAACAGGTCTGTCAAACATTAATTAATAGAGACCCACCGTTGATTGTTATTTTGAAAACAATATTAATTAAGTAAGGATGGATATGATTGTACTTTAGCTTTGCTCAGGGATTTCTCTTCCTGAGCAACATGGGTAGCTTTGGTTTTTAAAATCTTGAATTTAAATCCATACAAATGGCAATAATGTAACAGTATCAATTTTCATCATTGCTATGTTCTAGATGCAAAGCTAACAAAAACCATTTAACAAAAATAAAAATGTTATATACAGTAGGTACTTAGTTTAATTTTACTGTTGAACATCAGTCTTAATCTAAAAAAAATTGCTAGTTAATCAAAACAGGTATTTAAATGCCAACTTAATATAGTTTTTAAAAATAAAGTTAGGTTTTATTTAGCAATCATAAATGTTCTTGTCATGACTATCCATGATTGTTACTATCCCCTGCATCCTTGCAGGCATAGTAGACATTAACATTGTTGTAGATACAAAATCGCTATAATCACTCGCCATTAGCATCATTGTCACTGGTGTTTAAAGCAAAATCACTGACAATTAGAAAAAATCCCATCCTGATAAAATCCTGAATAATTGTAATACCGTCTAAAGATAAAGATTAGGACCTATAGGCCCTACCGTTCTAAAAATTCCCCAAAATGTCAGGACCTGTCTATCCAAAATTAGAAGAGAGCAATAATATATTTTAGATATTTCTTGGCGAATTTATCTAGAGGGAGCGAGCTGGTCAAGTGGTTGGAGTGTGAGACTTCGGTCCCTGAGGTCCCGGGTTCAAATCCCGCCAAATCACCAATGGATTTTATCTAAGTGATAATGCCACAACCCCTATGTCTAGCCTGAAGTAATGTAAAAAACGATCCCGGGCTGGTGCCTAGCGTCCAAGGAAAAAAAAAACTATTGGCGAATTTATCCAGTTCAGAATGTCAATACTAGGTTAGCACAAACATAAGAACGCTCTCTATTAGTTGCAATAACAGCTGACTGTTTGCAGAACTGCGAGGCGATCACACAGGTGCAAGTGTTTGTGAGAGAGTTGCGCCGGATCACTCTTTTGTGGGACGAGCTGTGGCTGGGCACTCTGGCGCAGCACCACAGCGACATGTCCCGGCGTATCACTTGTCTGGAGCAGGAGGTGGCCAGAGTGGACGACAACCCGGACCTGACGCCGGCTGACAAGGACCGGCTGGTGGCGGAGAAACATCGGATTGTGTTGAAACCGGTGAGCTGATTAGTATGACCAAATATTTGCTATTTTATTATCATCTCATTTATTTTCCCTACGTCTGGTAAACACTCAAAGATTATATCTCTATGGAGGATTAAGACAGGCACATTGATTAGGACTTTCCTTTAGTTTTTAGAGGATATCCTTTAGTTTTTAGAGGATAAAGAACATGGTTTAGGAATGTGTTAAGAAAGGGGGAACGAACACACAGATAGTTACCCAAGAAAAGATCTTCATGCTATTAACATCCCACAAAAAGTTCTCAGCATAATTAATTTGATGTTTTGCCCCTATAAGGGGGCTTCTTCTAATGGAAATAGTACAATGTGACAATGACCATCACAATATTTCCTTCCCAAGAAACCCCTTGTCAGGGCTAATAGTTTAATTTAGTTATAATCATTTGGAAAGCAGTACACTGTAAGTTTGTTTGAATACTTTGTGATCAAAATACATTTACATTGCAATTGATGTTTCAGTTACTTTTTGTCCTGGAGCAGTTGCATGCCATTACATCTGTGCCTGCGGAAACACCTCACGAGATATGGTTTCAAGAGAAATTTGGTAAGTTTGAGTTTGACCAATCCAAAATATAAACATATTTACAAAGTATAAACCAAAGGGATTTTCACTTTATTTTTGTGTTACCAATGTTTGAATTTTATGGAAACTAGCTGTTACCCACGGGCTCCACCCCGTTTTACTACATTAGTATTAATAAAACTATTGATTGGTTAAGTTAAGATGAAATAAACAAAACAGAATACAGTAATGGTAATACAAACAAATAATAACAGCTGAGGTATTTTTAACATTAGGTAAATGGAAAGTTCCCTTTGGAAAGCAATTACGACCTTATAGGGCAATTTATGAAATAATGGATAATTTTGCGCAAGGTTTCACGTCATGACGAACATTTTAAGTATGTTAAAATATGTTAAAATATATGGTATAAGGTTTATGGGGGTGTGACTTGTAGTTTTCTCAAAAGTTCATGGGTACTTTTGGCTTTATAAATAGATGGTTTATGGGGTGTGACTTGTAGTTTTCTCAAAAGTTCATGGGTACTTTTGGCTTTATATATAGATTAATGATTTAATAAAGTACATATACAACATTAATAAATGAATGGTGAATTTACTTTATAGACAGTGTCAACAAGATTAATCAGTAATTTACTTGGCATTTTATTCAGTTTTGATTTAAGTCAATTTATATCTATGTTTATATTTCAACTTGTGGATTCTAAATGGTTTTAGTTGTCTTGTAAGCAAAACCTCTTGAATTCGGGAAGAATTTCTAAACCAGGACAACACGTCAGTGAGTTGTATACACTTTTTTAAAACATAAGCTTGTGGACTCCTAATTGTTTATGGTAAACTAGCTGTCATTAGTTTGAGACCTCTGTAAGGTTCTTTTCAAAGTTAGAAAAATTGTGACATTGTTTGTATTCCAACAGTTTGATACTTGTTTTACTGTTGAAGGTGGCAACATAACGGAAGTGCTAGAGAAGCTTCAAAGCCCAGCTGATCCGAGGAAGCCAGGAGATGTGTGGTCGGCTCTGAAGGAGCTGCATATGAAACTGCAACAACGGGTGACCAAACGGTCGTCGTACTCTCTACGTATGCGGGAGATCAGTCCCACTCTGGCGGAGATGAAGGACACGCAGATCTGTATGCCAGGAATGCGCAGCAAGCTGACCATAGCTGCTATACAGGACCACATAGCTGTGCTGCCTACCAAGACCAAGCCCAAGAAACTGGTGTTCCAAGGCTCTGACGGAAAGTCGTAAGTGTTTTCAGCTACTTTGGTCTGCCTTTAAGGTTTACTAAGTATGTTTAAACCACTTTTAATAGAGCTGTGCAGTTTGAATGTTTTGCAAAACCTAATAAGGATGCTGTGAATTATATTTTCGAGTTTGAGTGAGGACCCTGTATAACAATCTCCGGGGGTTTTAGCTGAAATATTGAAGAAATTATATTTATTTAGGTTAGTTTGAACATTACATTGACAAAAATGCATTCTTGATACTGCATTCACTCACTCTTTGAAGAGATAATGTTAGCGTGTGTGATACAAAACTATCTTTCTTTGAAGAGATCACGGATATTAAATGATTTATTTCAAATAAAATGTGTTAGTTAATAAAGTTATTATTAGAGGGCTCATTATTTTTCAGGAAATCTAATGTTTTTAAAATGTATTTTCTGAAAGGAAAATATTAAGTTTTTTATTGCCAGTGGAAAAGGAGGAGCTTCGCTTAAAGAGAGATACTAATTAATTATGGAAGAGGCTTATCAGCACACCCGTGTGACTAGATAATCAATTAATGATGATAAATAAAGCTCTTAATAAAACTGTTAATATTGATTCTCTGTTGCAGGTATACCTACCTGTTCAAAGGACTAGAGGACTTGCACCTGGACGAGCGTATCATGCAGTTCCTCAGTATTGCCAACACGATGCTGCGAGGTACTGAGCCAGGGCTGCAGGCTCGCCACTACGCCGTGATACCTCTGGGTCTGCGCAGTGGACTGATCAGCTGGGTACAAGGTGTCACTCCTCTCTTCTCACTGTACAAACGTTGGCAGCAGCGACAAGCTAGCATCACTCAGAGTAAGTAGATATGTGGCAAACATTTAATTTTATGTTATTTTAGTATACTTATTTTGAATGTTGTCATTACATAATTGTTTCGATCCCTGAACCCAACCTAGGCTAGTGTTTCCATCAACCAAATACATTGTAGTGATGTGTCAAAACCAAATTTTAAATCTCAAAACCAGCAAAACTTTGAAAAAGTTATAGTTTTAGAATTCTATCAACTAGTTTTAAGATGAAAAACTAAGTATTGATTTTATTATGTAATGATCCCATATTCATGTAATTATTTCAGTACCAGTAGGTAGTTAAATTATTTCAGTGTTTGTTGTTTGTAAACAATATTTTTTACTTTTGTTTCTTGTGTTGTAGTGGTACTTTTCCATTCAAGCAAGCCTGCTATCCTTGTGCTCTATGTAGTGTCATATCATGTTTGTTTGCAGGCACTGTTATGAGGCCCTCAGAACTATTCTATGCCAAGCTGACTCCGCTGCTGAAGGACAGTGACACTAAGCCTGAGAATCGCAACAGCTGGCCACTGGCTGTCCTCAAACAAGTGCTTACAGAACTGATGCAGGAAACTCCCACTTACCTCCTGTCCAGGTAAACAGTCTAGAGTAGTGTTTAAAATACTATTGCTTGTTTTATAGGATTTTTGAGCGAATAGCAGGGAGAGTCCAAACTGGGACCCAAAACTCAAAACTTGACACTATATAAAAAAAATTTGAATATTTCACTGTCACTGATAGCATGAATTCTCTTTTCCTTAGTTGAAACATTCTAATTTTGTGTGTATATAGTGTAAAGTTTTGCGTTTTGTGTGCCAGTTTGGACTCTTTCCCATTCAAGTAAGCCTGTTATCCTCTGAGAAATCGATAAAAACCTAGACCCTTGTGCTCTAGTTTGGTATCGAGTAAATCAGTGTTTAATTTTTTACTTGATTTAGAGGTAGATTTTTTAAAGGAAAAAAAGCAGCTTGGCTTTAGAATTATTGTTAGGAGAAAGGAAAGATACACAACTAACACCTGAATAAAGAGTCCTAGGGGGTTAATACAACACATTAAAGTTACACATTAATCTTTTTATTTAAACTTAAACCGTTTAATGTGTAACTTTTTTGTGTTCTATTAACCTCCTGTGACTATTTATTCAAGTGAGTTAGTTGTGTATCCTTCCTTTTTCCTTGACAAAATTACTTGATTTAGAACAATATTTTGACAAAGTAGAACTGTTTATTGTTATTGTTTTACAAAATACACCACCTTATTTGTTTATTTAATGTAGTCTTAGCTGTTTTTAAATGTAATGGGCTAAATTTGTGTCTCCCGGCAGTGAGACAGTGAAAAATGTTGAGATAGGCCTACCTATAAATAGCTGTTTTGACTTACTATTTCAGTGCTATTTTATCAATACTCTCTAAAATTGTCCTTAATAAGGTTTACTTGTGGACGACACTCAGTTTTTTGGTACTGCTGAATTCCCTATTGTGCCAGATTTGTTTACTTGTACAATTTCTAAATTTACTCTAAGGGATTAAGATTAAAGTCTATGAAATGGATAAGTCTTGAAAAGACACTCCCAGTGTCTAATTTAATTTTAAATATGCTATCAAGTCTCTCTCTGTGTGCTACTATTACTTACTGTTACTATTTTAAGTCAACATCTGTTTAAACATGTACCCTTTGTTGGTTATTTGTTGATTTCTAGTTTTTAATTCAATACTAATAAAGGTGTTTGTGCGTAGAGAGCTATGGTGTGACAGTGTCAATGCCGGGGGCTGGTGGCAAAGCACCAAGTTGTATTCTACATCGTTGGCCGTCATGTCCATCATCGGCTACATCATCGGACTGGGTGACAGACATCTGGACAACGTCCTCGTGGATCTCACCACTGGCCAGGTACTTAGTTAAGGCATTCTTTCCCCTCCAGCTCTTTCCATCATCTCTTATTTCATTTCCATTGTCCTCCAGGTATTCTTGGCCTTCCTCTTCTTCATTGACCCTGAGTTCCAGTCCTGCGCCTATCTATGCTATCCTGCTATCCCCGTAGGGTATGCCATATCTGTTGCCACCTCAATCTTTTTATTTGCAATATAGATTATTTGGTTATGATGTCTGTTAGTAAGTGGTGATAATAAACTTTCTGAATCAAGAATTGATGATTTTTCTGGTTCCAGGTTGTTCACATTGACTACAACGTGTGTTTTGAAAAAGGCAAGAGCCTACGAGTGCCAGAGAAGGTTCCGTTCCGCCTCACTCCCAACTTACGAGCAGCTCTGGGAGTTACTGGAGTTGAGGTCAGTAACAAGACTTCTCCTTCATATTGCTTGCGTGATATCTTAACTAACTATTTTTGTGTGTATAGTGAATCATCTCCTGCTATTACCGAGTACTTCGTAGCATTAATTTGTTTGACTAGTCGTTACAGAATCCATACTGTATTATTACAGTTAATCTAAAGAAGCTATCCTAACTTAAAAAAGTTAGAAGCTAAACTAACAATGATATCCTTTTGACATCGTTTTTTTTTTTTTTTAACTTGGTGGAGGTAATCAATCATTGAGTCAGCCGTATCAATTCTATTTTTCCAACACTAAATATTAATTTAGAGACACTGACAATCACAGTCCCAACCACTCACTTATTGTTTAATCAATTAAATTGGTCTTAACAGCTGAAAAGTTAACGTTCAAAGTATTACAACTCTACTTCTTTTCTCCCAATTCTTGAACCTCATTGGTCCAAACTTGTAAAGTTACAAAACAATACTGTTAAGTAATTAAACAATAATGTAAAGTGAATCTTTTCAATTCTAAGAACTGCGTTGAAAAGGATAGTTAAAAAAACAGTCGGTTACATTTGTTTATGAAGTTGATTTTTTCCTGTCCCACCTTCACACTCTGCGACGAAGTGTTTCACTCATTACTTCAAGCTAGGCATGGAGGTTGTGGTATTATCACTTGGATAAAATCCATTGACGATTAGTGGAATTTGAACCCAAGACTTTGGGGTCCAAAGTCCTGAGCTCTACCAATAGTCCAGTTTGCTCCCCCAAAATGAAGTTGATTTGGATAGAAGAAATTCAAAAGAGGCCTTTCTGGGTATTTTTTGTATTGAAGCTGCAACTGTTGTACTTTAGACAGGGCTTAATATGTATGCATAATGAGGTTATTTTGAAATCATAATTATTTATAGTTGATCTTGTCTCCCAAGCAAGTCAAAGATCACAACACAATACATCTCATTTTGGATCTTTGATTTTGAATTATTTGACGAATGGCCGTTGTTGTACTTTGATTGTGATCATTTGTGGCAGTTATTGATTCTTCGACATTAACTTTCCCTTTTTTTACTATAATAGTGTAAAGATTAAATTAACTTAAGTTTTTAAATTAAAGAGTAAGAAAATTCTGTAATATTGATTTCTTGACAACAATGAAAGAAACTCCTGAAATAGTTTGCAAAGAAGATAAATTATTTGGACTCTAAAGGCACAAGTTCAATTATATCACTGCAATAAAAAAAAACCCAGTACACTTTTACAACATAATTTATTTAAATTATAATACAAATCAATGACATAAAAAGTAAGTTCAAAGCTGCTGCAGCTCTTGGAATAGTCCGCTGTTGCGGTTTGTTTGAATTTCAATAAAAAGACTGTTCCGATTTTGTTTCTCACTTGAGCGCTCGTACTGCAGTGAGTGACTGGCTGTGCGGCAGCGTAGCATGTGGCCGAACGTACGCTTGAACTCAGCGTTCTTCCAAGCATAGATGAGCGGGTTGACGGCCGAACTTGATATGGCAACTGAGAGCACCACCTGAAATTTTTTTACTCACAGTTAAAATTCTGATCAACTGTAATATTTAGTTTGCCTTAACAAGACATGATTATTCGGTTTCTCATGAGGAAATTCAAACTCAAACTCTTAATTAATTTGTCACAAAACATATCTATCTTCTTTCCAGCTCAGCTGGTTAAATTGTGCAAAGACAAAAACATAGAAAATAAAGAAATCACTTGTCAAAGTAGTTAAGCTTTTTGACACCATTAACAATGATTTACTAAAAAATTATTAGTGAGTGATAATTGAACCAAAAGACAGTAAGTTACCCTATTCATTTGTAATTTAAATGTAAGTGACAAGACTGTTTACACCAATACAAATTTTAATTGCTCTGTTACAACAAACTAGTAGGCTATACTAAGCAAACTAAGTTTTCTAATTAATGTATTATCACATATGTTTTTTTATCAAAATAAGCGACTCATTCTTTTGATTTTTAACAACAATTTGTATCCAGAGATGATGTGTATCTTTTACGAATAAAGATCACAGGATAATCCCCTTGGATATCCATGTACAAAATCTAGTCTTTTTGTGATTGTTAAACAAATTAAATAGATTTGCTGAAATGAGCAGAAAGAAAATTCGGTCCCAATCAAATTTAAATCAGTCAAGAATAGAGAAATACATAAAAATCTTCATAATAGGTCTAAAAGTTAGTGAGAATAAATGATTTATTTTACATGTGAATTTAAGAATCAATAATGTCAATGATACCTTGTACATTGTTGGGGAAATGAGGTCAGGGTGTCCTGCTGCTTGTATACAGGCCACAGCGAGAAACGGAAACCAGCAGAACGTGAAACATCCCATGATCAATAGGACTACCTGCAATGTAATCATATGGTGGATTAGACAGTGTTGTGAAAGTTGAGCTTTTGTCAATTTACAGTTTTTACCTATTTGTAACACTTGCATTGTAGAGCGTAAAAATACATTTGAATCAAAATATTCTGCTATTAATCACTAAGTTGTAGTATATAATAAAGAGTTAACAAAAATATGAAAAAAGGTACCTTAGTCTGTAAAAAACCGATAAGGAATTAATTATTTAAATACCTTATATATAACTACACCGGTCAGTGAAGTAAGAAAACTAAGGCTTATAATGATAGTGACATCTATTTCCCCTACCAATATTTTACAACCGACATAATTTAAACATGAGGACATTCAAACATCAAAGAAAGAAGGAACACTAACAATTTCTAAAATCACCTGAAAACACGACTGGCGCAGCTTGCATATGTTGACGTGTTGCCGGCGCATCTTGTTGGCCTGGTTGACAGCCTCGCGCCAGATACGCCAGTAGATTGTGAACATGATGGCCCAGATGATGGCGAAGGCTGGTGTGATGACTGCAGTGGTGTAGTACCTGGGCAGCACTCGGCCTAACTCACACGGCTGTTCTGGCCGCCAGCTGTTCCAATAGAGCGGAACTGTGGAGAAGATGACAGCATGGAGCCAGCCACCACACAACACTACGTGGGCCAACCTGTTACAGAGAAATGTGATGGTGGATGACATATTATGATCACACCTAAACATGAGTGAAAAATGGAGGGAGATGCCTTTTGTAGCTTTGTCACCAACAATGATCAGCGTTTCTTTAGACAGGACAGTCTATGAAAGCCCAATGATCCAAGAACAGTTGGGTCTAGCTGGGATCCATCAAAGAGTTGTTGATTTTTCTCAGGATCCAGGTGGCGACCTTCTTGGCTTTATTCAAGACTGTAGCTCTTACGTGATTGCCTTGACCTAGTAGACTTAAAAGTACTGGTGGAATGCAAAGAAGCACCACCAAAATGATAGATTGTTTGGTCAGTTTACCCAATAAATAGTTACTGTTTTAGACATACTTAATATCAATAGACGTCCACTGGAAGAGGCTTGTCTATATACTTGGAAAATTAGTGGAACTAAATTGATGGCTGCAATGGTAATAGTGGTGATATAACCTTATGAAATCCAGTACTAACGGGATATGATAGGAAATAAGAAACGTTTTGAGGTTGAACAAATAGTATACAATATAGTCTAAGGCTTACCTTGCGTTCATTATTCTCTCATACTTGAATGGATGTACAATAGCAAAGTAGCGGTCTGCTGCAATGGCTGTCATGTTTAAGATGGAAGCACAGCATCCGAACAGTATAAACACAAATCTGAAACGGTAAAGAAACATAAAACTCTCATTCAAACACATGAGATACAACTACAAAGTGAAGAAAAGTGATTTGTCAGGAGCCTGAAATCCTCCAATTGGTTTGATATTTTTTATTGGTGCTGTCTAAAGAGAGGTACAGTTTGTAATGTAGAAGATATAATTAATGTTTCCCATAAAAGTACTCGTAGAATCCTTGTTACTTTTTCTCCCTGATATTTATTGTAATTGTTATTTATATATCAATATTTTTTAAATGAGAGAGGCAATAGTGTGTTTATTATGCCATGTTATGTTTTGTATTGGACTAAAACCCACTCATATTTTCTCTAGGATTCCAGTTAGGCCTACAAACCATAAAAAATCACAGAATATTCTCAGGACCAAATCAGCAAGCATCTGTTTAGTAGGCAAGCACAGCAACTACTTAGCTAGCTAACCACTTTGAATTTCCTTATTAAAAAAGAGAAGCTTTTACCTACAACCAAGATACTTGTGGATACTAACTTGAGCACACAAGTGACTCGGTTGGCTGCCATGCTAGGCGTGAGGTTCATGGCCATGTGGTAGGGGATGGTGAGGCCGACCACAGTGTCAGACAGCGCCAGACTCATGACAAAGTGGTTGGAAACGAGCGGAGAAAACTGCATACTGGATCGCAGCACATAGAGTGTCACTAGGTTGCCGCTCACGATGAACACAAACAAGCATCCGTCGAGAGCCAACCACAGCACGACGTTGGCTGCGAGACCTGCCACGTCACTGTCTGCGCCGCTCGTAGTGTTACACATGGCTGGTGATCATTGTGCGCCGGCGCACCGCTCACCCTGCCGTCTGAGAACAGTTGTGAGAATCGATCAGTTGTTGCTGTTTAAATAAAAGTGTGTTCAATTCATAGGCCTAGTAAAAAACTACCATTATAATTTTAATTTACTAAAAGGATTTACTAAAGGAGCATTATAATTAAGATATGAAACTGTTGGTTAAGCTGTAGAGCGCAGGGCTTCAATTCTAAAGGTCCTAGGTTCAAATCCCACCATTCGCCAATGGATTTAGCTGTCTAATATTACTGCAACTATAAGCTTGGCCTGAACTAATGTGTAAAAAATGGGTTTTTTGTTGAAAGATATAAGTAGTCTTTAGTACATATAAGAAAAAATACATCATTGTATATAATGCAGATATTTATGGTACTGCTAGTAAAGAGAATAATTGAGGACATAAATACCCTACTAAACTGGCATTCGATACTCCATTAGATTAAACAATCTAGCATTAGTGTTTGTTTATTTTAAGCCTTCTGAGCGCGTGTGGTAGAGCTAAGGGTAGGTATACAGGAAAATCACCGTTGAACAAGGAAAAATTTAAAATAGTTTTATTTCATACGTTTTCAGGTTTATCACTTTCTGATAATCTCACAATTATTGATATTTTTAGACAGCGCTCAGTAGTCCAGTACTGCCGAAGTTTTTTTTTTTATTTTGTTAATCAGGTTGTGTTAGAGTTACAATGTTCATCTGCTTAAATTATATTTCAACTATCTAAAATTTAAGAGGTTTCAATGGTTAACCAAAAGTAGTAGTTCACCGACGTAATTTTAATTTGCTCAACTGTTTTCTATCAATTGATTTGTTACTCCAGCCATTTTACCACAACCTTGACCAGATCTTTGAACTATTTACAGCCTCTCTGTAAATAGCCTAATGCAAGGCAGGTCTGAGTGGTTGAGATGATTAGTTCTATCATTAATTGAACCTGGATCAATAAGTGAATGATGGCGCATCGTAGCTTTGCACACGTCCATATATCATCTAGTCCCTTGGTAAAATCTTATCTAATGAAATTGCCTTAATTGTTCTGCTTTACAAAAGGGCACTGCCGCTCCTTACAATTCATAAGACTTTTGGTTGACTTTTTGTAAATGTATAAAGGCAAAATTTTAAATAGATAACACTTCTTTAAACTTCAAATGCTAAAAAAAAATAGTATGGAAACCTGATAGGAGAATTAAAATGAAAAAAATATATTTTGTTTATCTAACACATTTTTGCTGTTTAAACATGTCCCACATCGGAACAGAGTTCACAAAATTTGTGCTTGATGAAAAATGGAACATTTCTATCTGGCAGTTTCAACCTGTTGTCAATTTTTGTATTAGTTAAAAAAATATAGAATTTGTATGCAGGAATGTATGGCACCATGAAAGTCTGTAAAATCGGTTTAGTGTTGGAACAGTCAAAAAAGTTTTGAAAAGAAAATGCCCAAAAGTTAGGGATAAGATGCTAAGATTATCAATTTGAGGAATTCATGAACATAAAGAGTCTGTGTGTTTAATAATAATGGGTAAAAAAACCTATTTCTATTTTATGTAAAAATTGGATTTTCTATTTTGTTATCCAACCATGTTTCTTGTTATTTGGCAAATAAGAGTAAGTAAAAGTAAGACACAGACACAAGTGAAGCTATCATTTAAATAATTTTGATAATTTTAATCAAAAAATAAATATTTATTTATAAAAATTGCATTGTAACAAATATGCAAAATTTATAGCAAAAGGCCAGAGTGTTTAATGGACTGGGAAATCAAATAGGAAGGGAAACCCTGTATTTAAAAAAACACATTTTACAACAATATGTGATGGAATTGTCAAATATTGAAATTAACTGGTTTAACCTTGTGATAGGTTACACAAGTTCAGGGTTTGAGACAGGAGGAAACGGCTGGCTATGTGGAAGCCATAAACAAAAAGTGTGTAGTGCCCATTATCATAGGAATAGTGATTTAGCGTCGTCTGTATGCGGTACAGCACCACGGCCCATTGTTGTGGCTCTACACACACAAACATTGTCTGTCAATGTCCAAGATCAAATAGGTAACAATGAGAATGGTGTGTTGAATTAGTACTCATTGCTATTTGGTTTTGGACAATTTGTAAAATAAACCCCAATAACCAAAATCGTAAGTTTTTTTATATTTATCAGACCAGCTTTGAAGGCTTTGACATTTTTAAAATTTACTTTGAATGTACTGATAAAGAACATTTGTTATATCAAAGTCAGGAAGTGGTTTGGTAGGAAATATTTGCCAATTAGCAATTTAGTGAAGTAAATCAGAAATATCACAACCACTTAGATTGCAAAATAGTTCATTTGACATAATTATTTTTGTAAAAAGCATCAAATCTTTGGATAAATTTCCAAAATGTTACAAACCATGATAGATGATTTTTTACCTTATTTTCAATACATTTTTCAATCATATCTATGAAACATAAACAATGATCAAAAGATCTAAGTTTGTAAAAATGCCATGCCAAGGAAAAATACCTTAATGTATCTAGTATTTTTAACAAATATAAAAATAGTCTGAATCTGAGTCTCGCAAACCAATAATTCAATTCGCACTGAGGAAAAGAGGAAAGCTGGTTGGGAATGTTTGTTTTGATACAACGGAGCAACACGGAAGGTTGGCTGGTACGATGCACTCGCTGGTAGAGTAACATTGATCGAGACCAGAATAGATGTACATCTGCTACAATGACAGGGTCTTGGCTCAATCACTCCCGTCTTATTACTAATCAATACTCATTCTTTACCTCTCCCAATACCTTTATAGCTGGCCCCAATCTAGTTACTAGTTTACAAAATTTCTATTTTGTGAATTTTTGTAAATAATATAATATAAATATATATATTTTTTAAATAACTTAAATGAGTTTATATTCAGGTTGATTTTAAAAAAGGGAAATTCTTTTTCACCTCTTAAGATTTCAGTTATATTCATGCTGTTGTAATATTTTTGAACAGATAAAACACTGGTTATTTATATAAAAACCATTAAAACTTCCTTCCCGTTGTCAGATCAGGTTGGTTTTCAACGTGTGAAAATGATTTATTTGTTTGATTCTAATTTTATTTAAAATAGAAGAGTTTTCACAAAAGTTATCAATCCCTTGTGCTTATGTTTATTTCAGCACAAACATTTAATTTCTGGTGATCCCGAAATGTACAGTGGAACCTAGGTCTTATCACAAAGTCCACATTAAGGAATTTTCTAAAGTTTGTTTAGGAGGTCCTGAACATTTCAAAAACTATCTAACTAAACCAATGAATGCACTCAACATAGCTGTGGTTTCAACATTATAAACATACTGGGTTACTGTTCTAAACAAAATCGATAATTGAACAAATAGTTAATTCAATGGAAAATATATAGGTTGCTCTAGTAAAATTGCATAACAGTAGTGACTCGAGGTGTAAAAAAAATCTAGTTAAATAGAGATTAATCTAAACTAATGTTTAACACACACTAACCTAAGTGTAATTCCTAACATCATGTAATTATTATTTTTTACAATAATCTGTCTTCCATGTATAAAACTATGTAGCGATGACTTGTGACTCAGTTTACTGTGAGCGTCATGTTCATAATGTTACCTAGGCTGTAAAACTGAGCAGACTTTGTAAACATAAACATCAATTACTTATCTTGAAGACACACATCTTCTAGATTGAAGGATAGGATATAAATATATTATGTCGTGTTATTTACAGCACTAAACTAAACTATCCTTGTTCAAGACAGATGAACTAATAAATGTACAATCCAAAAGTAAAAGAAGAGACAACTAAATTGATGTGTCTGCACTCAATGGTAAATTTGTTGGATTCAAATGATTACTATTTACCAACAAAAGGAAAATAGGACCCTATAATTGTTGAGATGTTTTCAATTGGTTTGATTTGTATTATGATTCTGTTTAAGAGAGCAACTGGTCAAACATATGCGTTTTTAAAAGACATTTGATTATATACTTACAACAATAAATATTTCTCGATATTTTGTAGCTTAAAATGTGCTTTGAGGGATTGTCGTGTACATTTTCCAATGATGCCTGCAGTAATAAAATATATTATTCCACTATTTAAAATCCACTAATATCCAACACGACTATGGTTTAGTATCTTTGTTGTAAAATTATTATTTAAAAATCTTTTCCGGTACTAAATATTTGCATAAATCTATCATGCAACATTTAAGTATGTAACATTATATTTGTATGTAAAATAATATTAAACACCTTTGTTAGTAAATATTGTTTTAAATTAAAATACATACAAGTTTCAGTTGGCTACAAAGTGTATTGTTAGTGGCACGAGACTTACAATGTCAAGTCCACATCCATCCCGGCTCGGCGACTCAACTGCCTTGTGAGCCGTCCCCTCCCCTCCCCCTCCCACCGCTACATGAACCATGCTGGTGGTCTGTTATGAGTTACTGCTACAGACGATTGGTCCGTCATAAACCTACCTCCTGCACTCACAATTAATTAAACTCTACTTGTACTCACTGGCAATGAATTAATCGTGGTTATTGTTTTAACTATAGCTTTGCTTATAAGTTAACAATACATTATTTAAAACATGCAGTACACAACTACTGGGTACACGTTAGTAATTGGTGTACTACTAATAGAAATAAGATTAAAGAATTGAAACATATTCTTCAAAAAACATTTAACTCTCAAATTTTAAGTTTAGAATGGCCTTAACAAATGTAACATGTTTAACACATGAATTGGATGTAAATTCATTCATGTAATTCCTTTATTAATCAAGGTATTCAATTATGTTGGTTAAAATTATGTTTTTTAATCCATACTAAACCTAAAAATGCTTAACTTTTCATAAAAAATTATATTTTTGAATAACTCTATATTAATAACTTATATTGTTAAAGGAAAACTTGTAATTGATTTATCGCTTAGGTCTCGAAGTGTGTACAGGACCAATCACTAAGATTTGCTTAAGTTTGAAGATCATCAGCAGTACTGTACATTACTTTACAGCATAGTGACAAAGCAAGCGTATGCATATTTAAAAGAAGGTAGTGGAATTAATTTTATTCTTTCCAACTGAGACATCTAAAGGGGGCAGGTGGTTTAGTGGTTGAAGCAAGTGTCTTTTGCCCCGGAGGAAATAGGTTTAAATCCTACTAATTGCAAGGTCTCAGCTATGTGATAGTGATGTGATCCAATATTTAAGAATCTTTGTAGTTGTAGATCCGCCGATCTAGAACTAGAATGCTAAAAAATTTAGTCCTTTGGGGGAGAAATTTCTGTTTAATACATGAATCCATTTTGGAGAAAAATGTTGTATGGCAATGTATAGTACTTGACTAAAGGTTTTTAAAACTCTCTACTTATTCTGAAAATATATAAAATCTAAGAAATATTTCAATAGTTCTTGAAAAGTTTCACCTAGAACTTCATTATGCTGAAACCGATGATACCAAATGGATAGGAAGTGATAATTTATAACATGCAGGATATGATAGAAGCTGATTAATGTGTTGTTGGTGATGATAAGGGACAGGTGTTGATAACAGAACATCACCTGCACATTGTCATTATTATGTTGGTACACTTGAGGTTCATTCAATAAAAATATACCAAGTAACAAACTGTAACAAACATATTAAAATCAAAGTGTTGAAGATAATCAAAAAGTACTTGTTCTCTATCATTCCCTGTAACTCTGCACTAAGTATACAGACTAACTATTTCTACAACATGATACTAAGTTTGCTATGTTTAACATTAGGTAAATATTTTGAAACAAAAAGTATTTAAAAACTATAACAGAAAGAAAAATATGTTAACTAACCCTTTAACAAAAATCTGTTTTTATCTGCTGCTTACAATACTGTCAACTCCAATGTCAACAGTCGGAAATTCCAGTTTCTTCAAGATGTAAACTTAACCGTAACATTTAAGAAATTAGCAGTTTTCATCATAATCAAAATCATGTAGAAAAATATTATGCACCAAATTGTTTAGGTATGATTGTCTGATTAAAAGAAATAAGAGAAGCATTGTGTATATAGACCTTGGGTCGTTTAAAGTGCAGAGTTTAAAAATGTTCTTTGAGACTCCTGAAAGAGATTTGTTGAAAATCACGATTGTTTAACATGCAGTGAATATTATTTAATACGTACACATCGTTTGAACAAAGATTTTGAAATGTTTTTCCATTGCATTTATCTTCTTATGTCAATAACAATTGGTTAATTTTTAACTCATGTATAGGATATTAGTCACAAGTATGTATTAGCTATCTTACCTATAGCAATATTTTTACAGTAATGTAAAAAATTCCTTCATACATTATACTCACACACTGACTCAACCAACATGACACTGATCCCAAACACATTGTAAACGTAGAATGAATCAGTCTGTTAATAAATGGTAATGTATTACAACGTTTATTTAATGCAAGCCTTCAACCAAACAAACGAGTGTGCTTGGTTTCCTAATCATAGGGTAAAAATAGTCTGTAACTTGTGCAAGTATAACATTAAAACATTAAACAAAAAAACTAGGAATAATGTAGAATCTTATGAAAATTGTTTCATTGTATTTAACATTTTTTTACGTAAAATTGACAAGATGTTTGATGTGTTTATATAAATGTTTAGTGATCATTCTAGGAGATATTTTATTTGAAAATATCCAAGGTACTATAGACACACTATAACAGGTTAATTCTTTTGTTTCAGGGTATTTTCCGTTTGACGTGTGAACATGTTTTGAAAGTTATGAAGAAAGGACGGGAAACAGTTCTGACTCTGCTTGAAGCATTTGTTTACGACCCTTTGATTGACTGGACACCCGGAAGTGAAACTGGATATACAGGTATTTGTTTGGCATTTAAAAGTTGTTTTACTGAATTGTATAAAGCAATAATACGGTATCTATATCATTAGGCCGGTTGACTACTGGTCACGGAAATCACCTAAGTCATAAAAAAGTCTCTGATTTTACAAGGAAAAGTCACTGAAAAGTAACGGATTTTCATTTTTAAGTCCTCAAAGTCATTTTGGCAACCAGCTCAAATCTTAGAGCTCAGTTCTTTCAATTTGTTATTGGTTGTTTCGTCGTGTTCTAATTTCAAAATTGTTCTAATTGCTATTTTTTTAAGTTTAAGTATCCTATCCTAATTTGCAATTGTAGTTGAACCATAAAGGCACAAACCATAGGATAAATGTGAATGAACATTAGCATATAATAGACCTATAGCATGTTTTGTTTTAAATAATTAAAATAAATATAAAACAAAAAACATAGTTATTCAGCTATTTATTGGGTCATATTATAAGCAAGCAACAATGGTAATTACAAAGTAAAAAATCCATAGGCCTATTATTATTTTAATAATTATCATAAATTGATTCTTAAGTTATGGTGTTTGTGAACAACTAAAATCAAAGTGTCTTTCAGTGAAGGATAGTTGAAAAGTGACACTTTATTTATAACAAAAAAAATAGGTTGTTGTTACAACTTTAAAAAACCATTGCAACACATTTAGTAGGTAATTTTTAATTCTTTAAGTTGGCTGAGTGGTGATAGAACCTGACAATCAGAAGTCAACTGGTTCAATCCTGAGAAAAGTCATTAGTTTTTTGATGGTTCAAAACCAGCTTTCCTTCATTCTCGGTTTTAAATGATTCTGACTAAAGAAACATTTGAATTCAATTTAGTCCCACACTTGTCTACCATCTGATAAGTGAATTGTGTTTGCAGGGGCTGTGTATGGCGGAGGACGAGCGGTAGCGCTGGAGACCAAGCAGAGCCGCAAACAGCTGGAGCGAGAAGTCACTGTGGACATGTTGGCTGTGAGATTGACGGAGATCAGGCATGAGTGGCTGGACAACAGGTCAGTTAAACTGTACAGCTTGTCTTAGCCAGTTAAACTGCACATCAGTGTTGGTACCAAGAACACAAATTCTTATAATTACATTCTCAAAAAATGAGTCTTGAATTTTTGATTGAAGTACAGTAGGAACATCTTTTGATAAATGCAATAAAACGTCTACTGTAAAATTCAATTGCACCTTTATCAACTTTATTAAATGAATTAATTCTGAAACTCGGTTGATTTCAACACTTTTGGCACAATTGAAGCAATGTCTTGGTTATCCCTTGCGACTAAGAGTTGTCAAGATTCCTGTACTGATCAAATCCCTAAATTATTTCAATTCACTCCAACAAACGCCAATAAATATTTTACGAAAAATTTACTAATTTTGGAGACTATGTCATTCCTAACCAGATTGTTCCATAGTTACCTTGTCTACACAGGTTGGTTGATATTTTGTTAATAAATGCAAAAACTAACTAATGTTGTGAAAAATATTGCTGGGTGTTAAGAAACAAATTTTACGGTTTTAATGGTTTGTACTAAAAGCTACATTGTACCTTCAGTTACAGATCTTGTATATCAAATTATGTTAGTTTTAGTTGTGGCATACTCCCATAAAGTTACATGGCTTTAGATCAGATGAATGATGAGGGCATGCAAAACATGACTTGTCTTTAGATAGTCGGGTACAGTAAGTTTCAATCAGTGCATACTTGTCTACCACTGATCATTAGAGAACACCGTCATCAGACGATACTGATTGAGCTGCTCTTGTATGTAATAAATAAAAGTGTGATTGAAGTAATTGTAAGATAAATATATGTATGTGTCATACCCTGTGATATTAATTTTAAAACACCTTTCACTTTAATTACGATCACAAACATCATAAGTCACAGTCTACAGTCTTAACAATTTCACTTCCTTAGATAAGATTATAATACATTTTGATTTAAATGAGAATTTATTAGTTAAAACTATTGATTACCTACTGCAAGTTCTGAAAAAATCTAAAATATATCGACTTTTAATGCTAAACTGTCTTAAAATACTACTTTTTTCTGTGATAGAACATAGTTCATTCAACGCTGATGGTGAATTATAATTTCAGAGATAAACTGGTGGTAGAACTGCCTGACTTGGGTGGAACCTTGGAGAAATGGATGAATTCTTCAGACAGACTGAAGAGAACAGAGGAAGCATTGCAGGTAACTTGTCCCCAGCCAAGCTTAGATATGTATTAGCACTCAACATTTTGTCCTATTCAAATTACACTGATTTTGTGAAATTGTGTGGAAATAAACCCATTCATTTTTAATAAATAACATGGATATTAAGTTTACTCCCAAAGAGCACAAAATGATTTCTATACTGTATTTAATTTTAAAAATCAAGTCACTGATCTCGACCAATTAATATGAACTAAAAATACGAGAAGAGAATGCTGAGTTTATGTAACCTTTTTGTAACCCAATGCTTTAAAATTTTTTTTGCTTTCTTTCAGGAGAGACATCAACAGATAGCACTGGTGAAGGAGGCAGAGGCGCATCCCCAGCATGCATTGTACACACTGGCTGTGAGATACGCATCTAACTGTGCGGCCACAGAGGCCAGCAACAAGGCGCGGGCAGCACTGCAGGCCAGACTAGACGAGAGTGCTCGTAGCATCCAGCAGTATAAGGTAATAGAGCATCTATTGGTTTTGGGCAGCACTTATTAAAAACGTCATAATTTGGTTCAGCAATAATTGCAAATAATTCGAACAGTTTCCTGTGTGTTCTTTAATAATATGTGTTGGGATAAAGCTGGTGACATTTGAAAAAAAAAATACTCAGAAAAAATTTAGACTGACAAAAAAACCTGTTGAATCTTGGGTGTGTTGCGTCTCAGACTTCAGTACAAGAGGGATGGGTTTGAATCTTGGCATTCCACAAATATGTTAAGCGGTTTGGACCGCTTTACCTTAAAATCATTTGAATAACTTTATACAAAATGCTACTAGTGTGGGAAATAACAAAAAATAAAGTTAAGACGACAAAACCAAAACAAACACCAAAATACTAATGCTTATCTGCAAAGGTAGTGTCAACAAACAACATCGTGCTCAGGAGGTATACTTGCTATAACATACTATGATTTTGATAAATATTAATGTCAAAAAAAGAAAATGTGGTAACCAAGAGAGTAAGTATCCTTGTTCTTGAAATGAAAAGGTTTAAGTGTTTCCAAGATAAAAGTTCAAACTAATTCTCTTAATTGGCCTTTCTGTTAGTAATTATTTAATTATCTTGGCTACTACAACGAATGGTTTTCACATATTGTTTGTAGCCTATATTAATGCGAATTTTGATTGAAAATAAAGTTTGTCGAGAGTGCTAAGAGTTTAACTTACTGAACTACTTCTACACGATTTAAAAAACTATAACTGTAACCAAAAATAGACTAAGTAGCTTACAGCTGTGTGTTTTTACTCACCTTATGCACACATTAAGAAAAACACATTAGTGATGAAATGGCAAAAAAGTGCTAAAATTAAAACTGTTCAAGTATAACTGATACTGGTGGAGGAGTACACATCTGTTTGGGTGAGGCAAGATTGTGACCTTGACCTTACTATCATTGTGTGATTGTCTCCATTACATTAAACTCCGATAGTGTTACAGTTCGACCTTCAGTAGCTCACCTGTATCTCTCTATACTAACACTGACTCTAACACAATATCTGGCAACACTGTCTTCTTAACAGATTTTGTTTACAAATAGATTAAAATCATAATTATTAACAAATCAATTGGGTAAGGCATTTATTGTAATTTTTCTAATAAAAAATGAAACAATCATGTGTTATTGCTGAGAAATTCAGGAGGAAATCGACTAGGTGTATAAATTTTTGTTTATCTTTTTAGTTTAGTAACATGCTTATTTCTTTTCTTTGACTAATTTGTTTATTTCACTATGCTTTAGAAATGTTCCTACTAAATCTAGTCAACCAAAAATGTCATTCACTATGTACCTGTACTGTATGCAATATTTCAATTTGTTAGTATCTGTAGCCTAACTCAACAATTTGACGTGGTCTATAACTGTATTACTGTTCAATCGACCAAATAAAGAATCTTGAATCTTTGGGCTATAATTCAAAAACTGGTTTAGGTTACCTGTGTTCCTATTGGATTGATCCATCGTGCAGGTAATTTTTTCTGTGGTAAGATTCCCAGATCTGGGAAATCAGAATATCACGTTGAATAACAATCACTTGTGGAGTTAGTCAGAAGTTTTTCAATATAATAACATGTGTACAAAATAAACTAATTATTTAATTCTAGTTGACTAGTCAATAAGTCAATACTTACTTGTTATTGGTGTTATGTCTTGTGTCTAATTGGTAACTTTTATACAAATTAATTTAAAGTTAATCAACTTTCCAACACCTGAAGCATCTGATAGTAACTCCAATCTCATTCCTTGATGCCATCCCTTCTACCATGTTCTAACAAACGCAAGTCATCTGTCTCGAGTTATCATCTAGTGCAGAAGTGTTCATTCCTTCACTGTGTTTACCTAAGCACTATTTGTATTAATTTTCTTTCAGGATTTTTTGTTTTGGCTACTATAGTGTATAATTCTTGTTAATGTTTTAGGTTGTTTCTTACCTAAAAACGAGATTAAATTCTAGACCCCAAAATGTTGTAAACAAATTTTTTTTACTAATTGTGATGATACTGTCCCCAGTAATACCTCAAACAACCCAAACCTCAATTTGTTTAACATTTTCATACCTGAAAATTGTCTTCTCACTTAAAACCTGGTGAAAAAAAGTACTAGTTACTCTTCTTTTACATGATCTTATCATCTACAGCCACAATGCCTCTGTAAGCTGTCGCTCATTTCCACCTGCTGGTGTTACAGATGGCGTTGTACTACTTCTATGGACCGCAGATGGCTCAGTGGTTAGCAGAGGTGAACTCTCGCACAAAGGTGGATACATACCTCGTGTTCGACCTTATCAAGGAGTTCCTGCAGAATGCCGGCCAGGGACAGATGGTGTTGCAGGTAACAAATTTGTTCAGCTTCAAAACTGTCAAATATATAATTTTGCACTGTGTCAGGGTGTTTATAGCTCCAGCATATTCAAAATATCTAATTAAAGTCTCTTTTGAGATGGGTCCCGTGTGTTCTCAAAAACCTATGGAATTTTATAATGTATTGGAATTATTTTGTATTGAAATGCGTTCCCCGGAACTTAATTTTTTTTTAATAGCAAGGTACCCCTTGTGACATATCAAATGAAAGAGCATGAAAAAAGAAAATTTTTGGTGAAAAAAAAATTTTAAATCGGCTCATGAATTTGTGAGATAATCCCTCCCCTTTTCCCCTACCCATAACTTGTTTTTTAATAGCAAGGTACCCGCCCTTGTGACATATCAAATGAAAAATAAATTTCACCAAAAATTTTATTTTTTCATGCTCCTTCATTTGATATGTCACAAGGGGTACCTTGCTATTAAAAAAAATTAAGTTCTGGGGAAGGGGGGGGGGAATATCTCAAAAATTTATGAACCGATTTTCAATTTTTTTTCATCAAACATTTTCTTTTTTCATGCTCTTTCATTTGATATGTCACAAGGGGTACCTTGCTATTAAAAAAAATTAAGTTGGGGGCAGGGGGGAAAGAGGGGGAATGTGAATGTAACGTTGAATTCAAAACAATTGGGCCCCCTACGTAAACTGCATATTTCTATCTATTGCGGTTTTTACATAAATAAAGATGCAAGTTAAAAAAAAAACACCCTGTATATATATTTTAAATTTTATTTCAGAATTGGACTTCAACACAAGTATGTTCCTACTTGTTCATTTTACCATTCATTTCAGCTATATTTTTATTAAAATTTAAAACCTTCGTTTGGAATTTAATATTTCAATGTTTCCGCTAATTTTCTCTATAACTTTTTTACATTAGTTTAATGCATTAGTTATTAGTCAAATACCAAAGTAATATGTATGTTATTGAACACTAAAAGCATACAATTACTATATTTATTTGACAAGTATTGGTTTACACAGTGTATCCAGTCAGAGAAGGAGTTGTGTGAGTTGTGTCTGCAGCAGACTCAGCTGACGCGTACATGTCTGGACCTGCTAGAACAGTACGCTGCTGTGGTCAGGTATTTCCCCATGTCTCATGTCAACCATCACCGCACCTCCTTGTACCATCGCTGGGCCTCCACTTTGCTGGACAACTTCTCCTTAGACAGGTAAGTTACCTTGGTGTAACCTTGGTGTTTACAGCTCCTGGATATTCCCATTTTTTCCCAATCTCCCAATAATTCCCTGATATTTCAGTTTGGTCCTAGATGTCCTTTGTAAACCAATGGAATGTAAAAATCTGTTCCTAATTTGTATTACTTAAAATGTTTAAAATTGTTACTAAGAAATTTATAAATATCTGAACCATGAGATACTTTTTGCTGATCTGAGTAACTTACATATTTTGTCAGCTAAACAGTGCTTCTTATGATATGTACGCAATTTAGTCCTACATTACATTAGTACATATCGCCGAATTTGCTGGTCCATCAATGCTGCATAACTTACTTTGATTTTACTCTTTAAGTATACTTAAAATTGTTTGGTAAATTTCCCAAAATCCCCCCAAAACCACTAATTTTTTTAGGTAATGAGTGGTTAATTGATCACCGTAAGAAATTTGCTAATAAACCCTGGGTTGCAGCTGTGAGCTGGTGATTGCGGAGGCCAAGGTGTGTTTAGCCCCGCCGCAGCTGGCCAAGGCCCCGCTGGTGGTCAGCTACAATCTGGCATTGCAGCGGCTGTTGGCAGAGGCACGGGCGGGGGTAGGCAAACAACTGGAGAGAGCTCCTCCCGCCACTGTGATAGACCCTCCCCTGCCTGACAGTGTTTCTCCTAAAGCACTGCGCTGCATTGTCGTCACGGCGCTGAGCAACCTCAACAAGCGGTTCTTGATGCTGGAGCATGCTGCGAATAGTGAGTACATTACTTACCAGACAGTCTTACCAGACTGTCTTACCTGACTGTGTTATGGGTAATAGATGTTACCCTCAATAGTTTGACACTTGACAATTTGACACACTGGGTAAACTTTGTAAGTGTCGATATTATTGAGAGTCAACTGTATGACTGTATGTCCAGTAAAATTGTATATCATGAAAAAGATAGTAGAGCGAATAACATTCATAATCTCTTATATATTCTTTGAACAGCTCTTGATTTTGAGACCAGCTTAGAGGAAACTTTAACCTTTTAAATACATTTTTTAATCATAAAAAATGTTTCACCTCAAAAAAAAAAAAACAACAAAAAACTAGCCATTGTACTTAACAAATCAAACAAGCAACAGTCTATGTTTTGGGGCGTAAAGAAATCTCAAAGAACACGTTATTGTAAATCCTTTGTGTGAAAAACTAGTGTTGATTTCAGGTGCAATGGAGTGTTTGGTGGACTTGACGTCACAGAAAGGTGAATGGTTTTTTGATGAAATGTGTATGACAGTCAGCATCATGACAAAGCTGTTGTCATTGCTACCACCTGCTGAGAACGATTCTCCGCTGCAAGCTGCCGTCAAGTGCCTCAATGCTGCTCACAACCAGTACAAGACATTACAGGTCAGTTTTTCTTATAATGTGACAATATGTCAATTGCATCTAAATGTAAAATTAGTGTAAGTTTGATCTGCGTATGAAAATACAATGACAAGTGATTTTTTATGTTCAGGAATTGAATCTGAACTTCACTTCTATCATCTTGCCAGAGGCTATCCAGAAGATCCACATGGAAGACCCGAGTGTGTTGGCAATGGTTGGAGAGCTGGAGGCTATCATAGCCTCGGTACATGTACCACTGGAGGAGCTGGTAGCTCAGTTGCAGGCACACTTGCATAACGTCATCATGGGAATGGAGGTGAGACAAATAATATTGGTAACTGTTTCAGTTGTGAGTTTGTAAGCAACAGGCCATTCTCCCCACACAAGTGGGGGGGGGGGGGGGGGGTCCAAAATATAAATATATCTCTAAAAGTAGTTCTACAGAGTAATTTGAAATAGGTGAGCCCGAGTGTGAGAACTTAAAGAACCTATATATTGGTAAGCAACCCGTGTTTTTCAACGGCCTTGGTGAGAGTTTCCATTGTGGAAAATTATTACTACACCTTCATGGTGGGCCCATAAGAGGGTGTTTTAGTGCAGCAATTCTACTCAAAGTTTTTTACTGTGATGGGTAAACGCAACTGAGAAGAATTCAACATTAATATGAGCTATGGAAGTGGAACTGTCCTTTAATCTATAAATTAAATAAATTACCCTTTGGATTGTTTGGATGGAAAAGTTGGTTACATCAAAGGTTTATTTTCTCCAGTACTGGGTTAACAGTGTAAATTTCTTCGGTACATTACTTATTTACTGGAATAATTGGTCCCTCCTTCTTTGACAGCTTTGGATTGAATGTGTCAAATGTTTACACGAAACCACATTTACTATCTTCCTATTCTAATTCAAATACATGGCGGATGTTATATTGTAGTGTGATGTTACTTGATGGCAAGATGTTAAAGATTATAGTGGAATAGTGCTCACATTGTGGCCTCTGTTGCAGTCTCCTCATGCAGCCAGCCAGGAGGTGGCCAGACAGCTGCAGGCCGCAGTAGACACTCTGGTGGTACAGACAGCCGACCCCCTCACCCCAGGACAGATGTTGTTCATGGGCTTCAACGGACTGTTTGTCAACCTCAGCTTGGCCAGCAGCAGTATGGTGTCAGCCCAGACAGCTCTCAACACACCCACCGTGTGGAAGAAGATTGACCAACTCAGGGACGCCAAGATACTCTCTGTGAGTATACTTCTCATACGATTGAATCATCTGAAGCGGTTTTATTCGGTTTGTGGTAGTTTCAAAGTTAGTAAAATAACAAGACTTGAAGTCGGGATAAATTATTGTAGACTTAAAGGAATTTAGATTTTATCAGACATTAACAAACTTAAACCATTTTTAGTTGATGCACAAGGATGATTTAAATGTATAATGAAGTGCTTAATGCTCTATTCTATTCTATTAAGCGTCCCATATAGATGGGATGTTTACTTTAGTATCCAATAGTCAATGGTATTTTTAATAATTTGTAATTGTTGCATGGTTTTGCAGGCTCGAGTACAGGAGCCAGCACCACGGGCTGTGCTGGACAGTATATTCCTGGTGAAGAGGTTGCAAGCCATGCAGGAGCTGTTCAGCATGTGTCATGCCAATGTGGAGGCATTCAAAGGCCAAGGAGTGACACTACCCTGTGATGACGACCGGTTCCATCGGCCAATCAGATGCTTCACGGCAGACTACGTCAGCTGTCAGCTGCTCGGACTGTTCTCTCACACACTGGCCATCACCGTGTGTCACTTGCTGCAGCAGATTGGACTCAACGTTACAGGTGAGCACTGAAAAGCTATGGGTTTTTTTCTTCAGAAAAGCCAAAATTAAGATTTTTTTAAAGCCTGCCAGATAATATTTAAGTTCAGTAAGAGAAGGCTATTAGAGATTTAAACAAGCAAAAGAGTCACATAACGTAGTACCGATTTTGTCTCAGATTGACAAGATGATTAGTTATATACTGCACAATCTATGAATTCCTATGCTACAGACAAAATCATCATTGTCTTGCAGCAAAATTGTATCAACTCTTGCAGTTGAGTGAACATCATCATTGTACCCTGCAATAACGGCAAAATCCTGAATATCCATCGTCATAAAATGATTAACATATCCCACAGTCGAGTAGACATTATTGTCTTCTTCCGCGATCGCAGCAAGATACTGATCATCTACCACAGCCTATGGACATTATCGTCTCCCTTAGTCATAGAAACCTCTTGCTCAAACACGGCTAAAGAGGTAGTTTTTGGATTGTGCGATCTTCGCAGTCATGTACAGCATCGGTATCAGCATTAACTTAATCGATCATGTCTCGATACGGTACCGATACCAATGTCCAAATATTTGAGATATCAAGAATCGATATAGAAAATCCTCACATTCATAGGTAACATTTGTACTGTTTTCACTTCATGATTGTTGATGTTCATATTTGTTCAATAGGAGAGGTGGAGCAGAGAGAGGTGGGAGCTGAGAGTCGAGTTCCACTGGAAGATTTGTGTAGATTGGCCATAGACCAGTGTTTACGTCAAGGTAGGAACAACCTGAGAAGTGTTTTATCTTTAGGGTAGTTTTAATTTTGTTTATCAAGAACAAGAAACCAAACACTAACATGGATAGATATGTTTTGTGAGTAAAATTTCTGTCATTATGGTAATCTTTCAATAATGTGATCCGCTATTTTTGTTTTAAGCATGATTTAAGCAAACCTTGCCATCATTGGAGATACTGAAGTAGACATCCTATCTATACTCAGCTGTGTGTGGATCAAAAAAGTTAGCAAGTTGAAGCAAGTTTTTGTTTTGAATAGTGCTCCTATTTTAAATCTAATTTTTCAGCAAGATTTGGACTAAATGATATAGCTAGTGAGTTTATATTGTACTTTAAAAACACCTAAATGTAATAAACAAATAAGTTCTTATATTACCTAAAAGTATAAAACATTTTACAATATAAGACTTTTTACTTACAAGACTCTGCTTGGAATAGGGATAGTTTTTCTATAGATTGATGATGAAAAATCAAAAGAAAAAGTTCATTGGTATTTAATGTAACATCATTTAATTTTTTTCAAACTGCACTTCTTTCACTAAAATATCTATTAAAGTGTTAAAATACCCAAAATAAGAAGATCTATTTATGTGAAAAATAACATCACCACTCCTAACCACATATATCACTACGCTCAGGTGGACAAGGATTTTCAGGAAATAATTCTGAATTCTGACTTCTAACTGTGACGTCACCTTGCAGAGTTTCATTCAACTTCACTACCTGGAGTTTGACCCCAGCCATGTGATAAGAGATAGCAATTCAGCTGTGTTCCTCTAATATGTTCCATTGAGAATATTATTATCCTTATATTGGGAGATTTAAATAATTTTCTCCAGAAAAAAAAAATATTTGTTAAAATTACAGTAAAAATAGTTTCTATCTATATGTATATATATTTATTTCCTTTAAATAAATTAACAATTTATTGATAGAATACAAGATTTTGTACAATAGTTTGCTATTTAAAGGATCTATTCAATAGAAACTTGATATTAGTTTTACCATTTATTGTTAAAATGGTAAATTATGCTGAATCTAAAGTGAATGAAAACTGTTTACCTCGTGGCTGGCTGAGAGAAAAAAAAAAATTCGAAAGAATGGTCTCAGTAAAGGGAAAACTGATATCTACATTAAGTCCCCTGGAGGTAAAGTTTTTCGCTCAAAAAAAGAATTAAAAAACTATATCTCAGAAAAGAACCTTCCATTTAAATTAGAAGATTTTTATGACACTAAAATTAAATTAAATAGTAATAATTCATCTTTCTCAAGTTTGAATGAACCAGCAAACCAAGCACCACCAACCAATCACAAAGATCTTCATTTTCCTCTGTATCCTCAAATGAAGAAGCCAAGTTAGTAGACCAGGCAACTGTAAGCAATACCAGCTGTAAAACTATTTCAATGTCAGATATAGGGACACAAACTGACCACACTCTAATGAAATCTCATCAGATTACCTACGAACTTTTAAGTAAAAACTGGCTCTCTGATCTTACTATTCAACCATACCTCCAACTGATTAGTGAAAAATTTTTACTGACAAAATCCAGCATAATAATTAACCCTTTGATTTCCCATGCGGTAAAAAATCTGCAGGACTACAGCTTTCTTCTTGATCCTTTAAACATTCGCTCAATTAATACTATTATTCTTCCTATAAATGATTCGGAGGAGTTGAGCAAAGAAAGTGGATCTCATTGGAGCACCTTAGTCTATGACAAGATTTCCAACAATTACCTGCATTTTGACTCACTAAAGGACCACAATCTGACTTCAGCAAAGAAGGTAGCAGACAAACTTACATTGTATCTTGGAGGTACTTCATCAGCTGCAACATTCACTTCTGCAAGCTGCCCACAACAACCTAATTCTTACGATTGTGGCATCATCACATGCTGGGTAATTGAATCCCTTGTTGAGGATTTGGTCACTAGTAATGAGCTAAATATTAAGTTTATTCAAGAAGCTAGTTTAAGCGATATAGAACTAATTGAGAGACGGTCACTGATGGCATATTTCCTGTTAGCTTCACATTTCAGCGACGCTATTTTGTATTCTACAATGATTAAGAAGAGGGATAAAGAATACACATCCTCAGTCACTAGGGCTGAAAATAGGAAGTCCATCATTCAGCCCACGGTAATCCCTAAAGAGAAGAGCAGCACAGCTGAATCACACCACTGGGTAAAAATTAAACAAAAAGGTAATTCTTACAAGGGTCCTAACCAACACATTACAGAGCCTACAACTGCAGTGGAAAATAGGTTTAACATTCTTAATGAATTAGATGACAGTTGTGAAGTTCCTGATAACATTCCAGAAAAAAACCAGACCAATACCAGTAAAATAAATCGAAAACAAAACAAACAACGCAGAAATCCACACTATAAAAAAACAATCACAAGAAAGTCCAAACAGCTATACCCAAACTTAAAGCTAACCCTCTGCTCGGATAGCCAGGGCAGAGGAGTAGCTAATAAAATTGAATATCTAAGCCATGGGAGAATCAAGGCTTTTGGCTACGTAAGAGCCAACACCACGTTAGCCCAAGTCATTGACTCTACAGCCATTGAAGCCTCCACCCCTGTGGTTATCATTGGTGGAACAAATGACAGCCTAAATTGCGAGTTTGGCGATATCTATAAAGACCTAGAACATAAACTTAAACTCAAAAGTGAAGAAAGAACCATCTTCATCACAACCATACCTATTAGATATGACAAGCCCCTAATGCATCCTATAAATGTTGATCTATACACCGTGAATCATTACATCGAGGAACTAACACAGAGGATGGATAATGTTTATTTGATTAATCTAACCCAGCTTGAGCGTTGCGACTTTACAAGACATGGTCTTCACTTTAGCAGTCGAGGAAAGGAGAAATTGGCTGGAATCATCATTGATGAAGTAACAACCTGGGCCCGAAACAAACTAATTACTACTAAAAAGGATATTCAACTAACCGATGCACATATGAGCGATGTAATTAATAAATTTTGTCATGACCCACAGGTAGCCTTTGCACACTGCATATCTGCTGATTTCAGTGATGGAAAGCAAATGAGTCAAGGAGTAGCCAAAGTCTTCAAAACTAAATTTGGAAAACCATGTGAAAAAGATTTCTGTGCAAAAGATCTAACATTTCAGAAAACTAAAAATGGCGCAGCAATTTATGGATTGGTAACGAAACCTAAATATTTTCTTAACTCAGGGAACTACAGCAACTATCTTAATAACTACAACCAAGCCTTCAAACAGTTAGAACAAGATTTCAAAAACAAAAACTTCAAGAAATTAATTTGTTCTCCTATGGGATGTGTGCGGGATCGCATACCTCCTCATCACTTTATTGCTAATCTTAAAAAATTCTGCAGCAGAACTGGTGCATCCATCTTAATTGTCACATTTGATGAAACCTCAACAGGAAATTTACGTAATGGACTGACACACCCAGTTTTTGTACAGTGTCTCCGAGACCTAATAATTTCATCTTCACACTTGCCCCTGACTTCAGCTGCTGAGGAGTCTCCTACAACACCTAATGCTCAACCAGGACCTGCTCCAACCAACCCACAACCTGCACCTGGCACTACCCACCACCAGCCAACTGTAACAGTTGTAGTTGACCTCACATCTGATGACCAATCATGTTTGCAGTCCACTGTAGTTCCTGGTCATCTTGCCTATAGTGAAATAGTGAAAGTGTGTGAAAAAAAGCAGAGCAATAGTGAGAGTGTAGTCCAGATCATTGGTAACACAGAGTCTAGTGATAGTAGTATTGATTTAGATGTAAGCCTTGTAAATACTAATGTTGAAATCCCACAGCTTGTAAATAGTAATGTTTTTTTAGACCACTAGATAACTACAATAACAGACCTACTAGAAAAATCCCTTTTAAACTCTCAAGTAAGTCATCAGACAGACCAAAAATAGCTAAAAGTTTTTCAAATCTACTGTTATTTCATCAAAATGTGCAGCACCTATCATCCAGATTAGACATCTTAAATTAATCTCACAGAAATCCAACCTACTGTTTTGGCAATATCTGAACACAAAATGACAGAACCAGAAATATCAGTTTTTAGTATTCCAGATTACAAAGTATGTTCATATTTTGCTAGATCTATAAAAGTGGGAGGTGGAGTAATGATCATGATAAAAGATAACATTAAAAGTAAAAAAATCCTAATACCTGCTGTTGAATCTCTATTAGAAGAGAAAGAATTTGAGTGTTGTCTTGCTGAGGTCTCTTTCGCTGATTTAAATTGTGTAATAGCTTGTATATATAGGTCTCCCAAAAAATGTTTGATTAAAAATTTTCTGAATAAATTTGAAAGTTTATGTAGTATTTTAAGTAAACGTTTTTCAAATATAATTTTAGCAGGGGATTTTAACATAAATGTGTTAAATAAAGATAGAACATACAAAGATTTTGTTAATATCTTAAAGATATATAATTTGTCATACTGGGTAAATTTTCCAACAAGGATAGATGTAAATTTAAATTCACAGAGTGCTATTGATAACATTATAAGTAATATAGAGAATAGAGATTGTAAAATTACAGGTATTGTAACTTGTATTTCGGACCATGATGCTCAACTCTTTGAAGTTTCATGCTCAAACAAAAACAGTAAAAAAATAACAAAAAAACTAATAAGGAAATTTTCAACAAATAATTATGATTTTTTTGAGAAAGAGTTATTGACAGAAACTTGGTTAGAAGTCTATCAGGCGCCTATAGATAAGAAATATGATGTTTTTTATAGTATATTTAATCATTATTTTAATGTATTTTTCCCTAAAACTTTAACAGCGATAAATTGTTTCAAAAAAAGTAATTGGATTACTGAAGAAATAATATACAAAAAAAGACAGATTAAAGAATTAGAAATTTTATTTAGATTAAGTAAGAATGAAAGTCTTAAGGTAACCATTAAAAAGTTGAAAGCTGAACTAAAGCAATGCATTGACAAGGAAAAAAAATGTTTTTTGATAGAAAAGTAAATAATGCAAAGAATAAAGCAAAACAAACTTGGAAATTAATTAACTCAGAGGTAAACAACAAAAAGATTTCAAAATGTAACATTGATATTTTGAGAGATGGTATATTTATTACTGACCCTCTCCAGGTCAGTAATAGTTTCAATGATTTCTTTGTGTCTGTGGTTGATAATTCTGGTCTTCCTAAGATTCTTCAAGGAAAAGATAGTGTGGTGCATTCTCAGCATTTAATTTCCATTAATAAATTCAAATTCAAGCAAATTGATGAGAAAGATCTTGAAAAATTAATATTATCTTTTGAAAACAAATATTCTACTGGCTATGATGATGTTTCAATTATTACTGTTAAAAAATTTCTTCCTGCTATTTTAAAACCTCTTTTACATATAGTAAATTCTTCTCTCATTTCAGGCATTTTTCCTAATAAACTCAAAATAGCCAAAATTATTCCAGTTTTCAAAAAAGGGGAACCAAACGATGTTTCCTGTTACCGACCAATTTCACTTCTTCCAGTTTTTTCAAAAATCTTAGAAAAAGTTGTTTTTATACAATTGATGGATTTTTTAAATGAACATAACTTAATGGATTCAGAACAACATGGATTTCAAGCAGGCAAATCGACAGTCACTGCAGTTATTGAATTTATTGAAAGTATAATAAATGCAGTGGATAAGAGAGAAAAAGTAATTGGCATTTTTCTTGATTTAACAAGGGCATTTGATAGTGTATCGCATGAAAATCTTATCGACACTTTATCAAAATTAGGTATTCATGACAAAGAATTAAATTGGTTTAGATCCTACCTATTTCTTAGGCAACAATATGTTGAGATAGAACATTATAAATCAGATTTCTCAAGTAAATATAATTACATCCAAAAGTTTAATTCACAGATGCAGAGGGTCCGCCATGGAGTTCCGCAGGGGTCAGTGTTGGGGCCCCTCTTGTTCCTAATATACTTGAGGGGTCTGCCGGACTTGATGCCTGTGGGCGGGGCGGCCTGTTTGTATGCTGACGATACTAATATTACCATTTGTGGAAATTCAAAAGAAAGTATTGAGGCATCATCATTGGTCAGTCTCTCCATCATAAAAAAATTCTTAGATAGCAAAAACCTTCTTTTAAACCCTGAAAAATCTAATTTTGTATCATTTTCTACAAAACAAAACAAAAACAAATTAAATCCAGACATAATCTTAGAAGATTATAAATTACAACAGGTAGAACATACAAAATTTCTTGGTTTAATAATTGATAAAAATCTAGCCTGGGACAAACATGTTGATCATGTTATCAAAAAAATGTCGTCAGGAGTATCTGCTTTAAGACAAATGTATAAAGTTTGCAGCTTAAAAACATTAATATCAATATATTATGCCTTAGTTCATTCTCATTTAGCTTATGGAATCAGTATGGAGCAACTACATCAAAAAACTTAAAACAGATTTTATCGTACCAGAAAAGGGCAATTAGGGCAATGTTTAATTTGAAAAGGAAAGATTCGGTAAAACATATTTTTACCGATCTTGGAATACTAACTGTTCATGGACTATATATCTTGGAAACTATTATTTATGCAAAAAATATTACAAAAACTCAGGTATCAAACAAAATTAGTCATAATTATAACACTCGTTCTCAATCTCAAATTGATAGACACAATCTAGAATTTTATAAAAAGAAAACAAAATTCACAGGAAATAAATTTATGTCCCATCTTCCAAAAATACTTCTAACTGAAAATGATACAAAACAGTTTAAAAATTGTCTGAAACAGTATTTGATTAAAATTGCCCCTTATTCTCTTGAAGAGTTTTGGGAGAACAAATAAAATAAATATTCTGTCTTATTATTAGTTCTTAAATGTAAAACATTTTATTTTGTAAGATCTGACTCTATTCCTGTACAATTGTACTTAAATGAATAAAGGATATTTTGATTTGATTTGATTTGATACTAACCAGCTGCTGCTATTTTTTTATTTTTTAAATAGTACATAGTTGAATTGAACCACTCACAGAGTACTCTACCATCAACATTTTATTTTTTCCATTATTTTTTTATGCTGTGATATTTTATGTATTAAAGATACTATAGTTTACAAAAAAGGCTTGTATAACCACAATCGCTGATATTGTCTAGGAGAGGTATCATCAACATCGCTGAGTCAGGCGAGTGGCGCAGTGCAGGGTGCGGAGACCAGTGTCAGGGCGGCTCTGGCTGGTGTCCGGCGCACGCAGGACCTGGCGCGGGCTGAGGCGGCTGTGCTACGTACACAGAACCAGCTGACTGCGCACTGCTGGCTACACGAGGACCTACTGGCTGCGGCACAGGTGGCACCCCCTCCTCCAGCATTGAGTGAGTAGATCTATCACCGTAGGTAAAGTGGAATTAGCCACTTGAAAGTAGCATAGCCTGCCTAATACGATAAATCTGTATTTAAAAGATTTTGTTTATCACCTTCACTAGCCTAATGTTTTTCAATAAATAAAATTCAAGCTGAATAAGTTTATAAATTAGTAAATAAATATAACGAGAGTACTTGATGTAAATTTCCAATAAAACTGTAATAATTTATCGCTATTTTTTTTGTATTTGTACAAATCTAAGCTCATCATCAGTTTGTTGAATACAAACAGATAACAGTCCGTGCAATCCTGATTCCAGAATGAGTAGTAACTTAACTTAAATTATTTAAAACAATGTGAGTGGCTGGTTGGGGAGTTTGATTTTTATCGGAGAACATTATGGTTCAGGGGCAGATTAGATTAGATCACACAACTAACAGTAATTAGGTTCGGAGGCAGGACTTCAGTAGATGAAAGAGGAATGTCAGATAAAATTAATTACTGTACTCTCTAAAGAACTCGTATACTTGGACAAAATATCAGTGTTATGAAACGTGACCTTTAATTGTGTTTAACTTCTGGACTCTGAAACTACCTAAGGTAGGCTAGCCAAACTCTTTCCCTTTCTAAATATAAAGTGCTGAATCTTCACCAAGCTATTTGTATGAATACTGAATGAATAGTAATTTGATTGTATTGCTTATCGACTAATGTATGTGTATGTGTGTGTAGACCGGCAGGCGCTAATGTTAGAGCTGCGCAAGATGTGCGCCGGGCTGCTGGCCACTCATCCTCGACTGGTGGAGGCTCTTGAGCAGCAGACTACTCTGGTGGCGAGCGCCGAGCAACGACTCAAGTGGGCGGCCGGCGCAAACCCAGCCCTTGCTGAGGTAACTATCTTGCACTACATTATGTATGTTGGTGTTAACAGAAGAAAACGTTGGGTGTTGCTGACGTTTGTTCAAAAATTGCAAATGGGGATTTAAAAAAAAGAGAGCAAGATTGTTTTGAAATGTGTTTTTTCTTAGTTGCTTATTTCTATGAACTAATTACTTTTTTAAAGCTATGACACTTGATTCTGATAAATTAAAAAAGCTACAATTCCATACTTAAAAAAGGCAGTTTTTGTTACTGCAAACTTTTATTGCTATGTAGTACAAAAAGTATGCAAATCCAAAAATATAGTAACGTGTAATTAGCCTGAAATAAATGTGTATAGTTGTTGTTAAAATAAATCACCTAATATGGAAAAATCATTTAAATCCCAATAAAAAGGAGCCATGAGATTGTGTTACTTAAACTCGGGGCCAAATCTTGGACTCTAGCTTCTCTGACAGGGCCCTATCTACCCTAGACCCCACACTCCTGCACCTTATTAGCTGTTTCTGGGTCAAGTCGCATTAAGCAACAGCCTTCTGTAAGGCGGCACAAGTTATTGTTTTATAACATTTTCAGCCTGTTCATACAGCATTGCCAAATTCATTCTCTCAACAATTGGACACCTTCTATCAGGGCAGTGGGATATATGAAAAGTTATACTTGAGTGCAGCAAAACACTAGTTATCATACTTATGTTTGTAGACTCAATCATTTACTGTTACAGCAGTGTGTGTAGAAGCATAATATGTTGTGTAACATAGTGTATGTTTACACAGGTGATGTGCGCTTTTGAGACGGCAGTGAACAACAACAACGAGCAGCTGCTGATGGAACAGAGACTAGCGAACCTGGTGGCAGGAATATGCAACTCTGTGTTACACTACGAAGCCCTTAGAACTCACACGACCGATGCAATCAACAGCGATGCTGCGTTCATACAGGCATGTCACTGTGTATAATCCAATGTTTTTTAAGTTTATTTCCAAATACTCCCAAGTAGTATTTGACCAGTTACTTAGTGTAGGTAGTACCAAAAAAGCTGGTAGGGAGCTGGTCTAGTTGTAGAGTGTGGGACTTTTGGTCACTGAGGTCCTGGGTTAAAATCCTGTCAATCAGCAATGGATTCTATCTTGGTGATGATACTGCTAGGCCTAGAAGTTATATAAAATACGACACTGGGCTTGAGCAAGCGTCGTAGGTTATGATGGTAAAAAACTTACCAAAAGTAGTATTATTCTAATTTCTATTCTGGAATCGGTACACTAGTCTGGAATCGGTACACTAGACCAACTAACTCTCAAATAAACCCAATGCACATAGTTGCTATGCCCTCATAGATTGGGCCTGGATACCAAGGTATTTGACGCTAAGTGTGATTTGTTGTTACAGCTGGTGGACGCCTCGAAGCAGAGTTGTCTGTTGTACCAGAGTCTCAACACACAACTGTCACCTGTAGAGGAGAGTCTGGTCAAACTGTGTCCACCAGACACTCAGATAGACTGGACCTGGATTGCCAAAGCTGAATCACTTATATCTGGTTGGTATTTTCATTTTGAGAACATTTTCTATACGTGTTATTTATTTGCTATGTTAACTCATAAATGACATTTCTTTTTTTTAACTAAGTGTACTTTCTTTTAAAAGAACACAGGAAAAAAAATAAATGCCTTTTGATGGATTTTTAATATTTTCATGCAAACTTACCTAGTCTCTTTAGCCACTTTGTCAGATAACAAAATATTGTACTGTTTAGTCAATGGATGTTTTTCTGACCAATTTGGCTACTAAGTACCAGCCGTACTAATGTTAGTTTGTTCTTGGTTGTTAAATGTTGTTTTTTCATATTCAGATTTTTTTGGTGAGCTTGTAAAACATGATTTCAGTGCAAGTAATAACCGCTAATGTTTAATTTGTATCTATTTACAGACTCGGTAAAATCACTGATGAAGCAAATAGAGCCGCACAAGATAGACCTGTTTGCGGCTTGTGATGCCATCAAGAGCAAGGCCATCACGGTGCGCTCGCTGCTGAGCACTCAGTTCCGCATAATGGGTGACGTGCGCTCACTGCTCAAGACTATGGTCAAGGTAAATCACCACTCAACAACATCATTCAGTTGAACGCAATGAGTGAAAACCCACAGTAGTTAAATCTGATAAACTGGCACATTCAATTATCTAGCATGTGTTAGGGTTATTTTTACTCTAAATAAGCTTTCCATGAATCTTCAGTAGAGATTCATCTTCACTGGGGTCAAGCCTACTTAGTAAAACCAACAAATAAATACTTTTAACAAGTGCCAAGTGCTCTTTCCGTGTTCACAGTGTCAGTTCATGAATTACACTTTTAAAATATATATATATATATAGCAGTTTTGTTTTTTACATAAAAACTGACTATCGCTATGAAAATTTGAGTGAAACGTTTAAATAGATCTTTTGACTCCTTGTAATAACAGGTACATGTAGCCTAAACAGTACTATAATCAATCGGACAATACTGAAGTCACAACAATGCTAAATTAACAAGTGTCTACTGACTAATAAATTAATTCTGTAGCAGTTGTTTCCTGATTACTCACTGTAAAAGGTTATTATGTTTGGGAAAAAATTGTTTAACTTGTGTTAATTTTTTCCAAATACTTGGAACTGGTATTTATTTATGTCTGATGACTGTTTGTGGTAGTTTGAGGAGCCGGGAGTCGCAGAGTATCTCACACGGTACAGAGCCTACACAGAACGTCTCACAACTCTCATCAAAACCATCATCACCATGGAGGAGTTCACTCATGAGAAAGCTCAACACTTGCTGCAGGAGATCGCTGTCATCCAGGAAGAAACACGTAAGTGTCCTGTCACAGGAAATCCTGCAAACTTGATTGAGTAAATTGAACGGTTCAGTTTCCAGTTCAGTAATTGGTTCAGTTCAATTTTGAAGAGACCCCAAACTAAATGATAGTCACTGCTAGTCACTGGCAGGCAGGAACTGGTGGGTCAAGGATAATGTCGACGAGATCTAATGAATAAAATTTGGGCATTTCAAAATCAAATTTCGGATGAAAATTGTAGTAAAACTTGTATTTGAGTTAATTGAAAATGAAGAAAGTATAGGGGGTGATAGGATTAACTATTATTGCTAACCCTGTGAAATTCTTCAATTGGCATGTAGGATTTGTAGTGGAAATTCTCATTCGTTAGTGGGGGTTGTAAAAATAAGCTTGGCTCGGTTTAGACTCACACACTCCTAGCGGCAAATTAACATATTAAACTAAACTCAGCTAACCAGCTATCTGTGTGCTGGTCTAGCTGTCATGGCCGTTAACAAAAATACTCATTTTTAGTCACGTCGGTGTCATTGGTAGATATTTGGTCATAAAATGGTGTTTAGGTATTATATTTTTTGAATCACGTTACAATTGTTTGTATATAATTCAGTGTTATATGGTGTTTGTATTGTTTATGTTATAGCTGGTATATACGAGGAGATGCTAAGGCTGGGAAAGGAGAGGGAGGGGGAAAGTAAGAGCAGCAACAAACGACCTCCTTTGGTGAGACAAGACAGTGTGTGTGTGTCACCAAGGAGAGATCCACAAACTGGCAAAGGTAAACTAATCTACCACACAGTGATTGTTGATAAATCAACTCAATATTGGGATGGGGACACAGGTGGGGGTATTTCAACCCAAATTTGAGTGTAGAACAGATTAAGATATGTTTTGTGACTTTGATACTGGCTACGACCAGTTTCTCCATCCAGGACCATATATCAAGAGCTTAATAGTCAGTGTAGGCAAGATTGATAATAAAGTGACTCAAGAACATTTTAGTGAATATTTGAGCACTTATTTGCTACAGCTTTACTTTCTTACATGTTTTTCTTCATTTAAATAATCTACGTAATGACTGGTACAAAGGCTTCCAACTGAAATTTTAGAATAACCTTGTTGCAGCAATCCTGTGGACTAAGCGGATTCCCATTTGCTTTATTGTACTTTCACTAAAATATTTCCTTAAAAATGGCAGATTTCCCTATTAAAATAACATAGGAGGTTTGCTGCTACAGGAAAGGTAATAAGTGTGTGTTTTATTGACATTTTAATAGCTGAGTATAAAATAAACAAAATTATTTTTTGTTTTTCAGGTAAAATAAATAGGCCTATGCCAAACATTTAAAGAAATAATGAAAGTTCTGACCTAGCATCAGGCGATATCTTAATTGATTGTTCCATTCAATGTAATTGGTCTTCATAAATGTTTTCTTGTTGCAGCTGTACAAGAAAGGAATGCATACGCAGTGAGTGTGTGGCGCCGGGTATGTTGGAAACTTGAGGGCAAAGATCCAGACCCTGCACACAAACACACTGTGCAAGAACAGGTCAGTAAATTAGTAAAGGTTTAAAGCTAAATTTATGCATAAATAATATCTGTGGAGAACATTCAAAGTGTTGTGTTAAGTTGTTACAAGTTATCTTTTAAACATCCTTTTACATGCCAACTACTGAAAAGTTTTAAAGTTAATAATTCATTTGAAAATAAGAGAGTACATTAAGTTGAAGAAGCTCAAGTAGTACAATAGTTTGTTATATGTTTGAAGGTTGATTGGGCTATCAACGAGGCGACGAGTCTTGACAATCTTGCACTTCTGTACGAAGGCTGGACTCCATGGGTTTGAAGCAGCAACACCATTGCCATCCTGTGAGGATATTCAACAAACTCCCGTAAGGGTAAAGAAAGATAGAGAGGAAGCGGAACGCCCGAGTCCCTCTCGCCGGTGGGGAAGACCCCGTACCTCCCCTTCTATTGGATACGTCGTTTTACTTTCCACTTCAATATTGATATCGTTGTTTTGCCCCGGATCCCGACCATACAGGGACCGGCCTTGATGTAACGATTCCTTGTTGATTTTTGAAGAATAAGAATGGTCTACCTCTCTATCAAAGTAGACTTGGAAATGAACGTTCGGCCCTGATGTATGAAATTGTAAATTTGTTTTGTGTTTGTAGGTTTTAAATTTTTGTTGTAAATGTCTGTGAAATAGTTGAGTTTTCTATCAGCACAGAAGCCTGTCTGACCTTGAGCTACACATGCAGAGGAACATTGACTCTTCAAGAAATCTTGAACCTTATGTTCAGAAACTAGGTATTAATGACATATTTAATTTATAATGCAAGCAAGATAAAATAAATTTTAATATTTTTGAATTACGTCAACTATGTTTAGTAAGGGTTTTAGTCAGATCTGTTTAAAGTTGATCCTAGAATCTTTTACTAAGCAGCTTATTTCTCACTGTATTACGTATGGTTTACTGTCTAAGGTTTGGATCATAAAGTGAGCTGGGCTAGACAGAAGTGACATGATTGCAGTTTTCAACTGATCTCTTGAAAAAATAAATATTTAAAACTACAATTACGTCACTTTGATGTCTGTCAGGCACACCTCTTTTTTTGTTCTTTAACTAAGACAACCTACAAGAATAGAGTTACCTACATTTTTAATATCCGCTGATGCACAAAAGTTGCCAAATACTTAACTGAAAATCCCTTATTAGTAATTACAGTTTAGGTACTACTTCTGACCCAGTGGCTACTCTTGCAAAATGCTACATTTGTTAGTAGTTTAATAAACAGTTTCCACAGTAATTAATTAGTACTGATTTTAATAAAACAGCATGCTTTCTGGCCTAAATAGTTTTAACCTCTTTACTTATATTTATATTAAAAATACAGGTTCAACTAAACTTTTTCTCTTCCAAACTCAGATTAACCTTAGATTTTGGCTTGTAATCGTGGTTCTGCATTGTTTAGTTCATACAACTAAATGCACTTTTATGAAGTGAATCAGGTTTTTTAGAAATTTGACTTATTTGATTTCTGAAAACAGTTTTTACTGTCACATTCTTGAGCTCTAAATAGGCTGTTTATTCTTCTTACCTATCCCATATCAGATACCTAAGTGATTACTTCAGATAAGTGATTTGATCTTAAATGAATAAGGATAGTAGTTTAGTAACTGTGTGACAAACCTTTTTCAAACAAAAAAAGATTTAAAAATTAATTTTTAAGCTATCATAGTAAATATTTGATAGTTTTCGTTAACTTTTACAAATATGACAGTTTTGGAGTTATTCACTATTTTTTTCTAATAATAGTACCGATTCTATATTTTAGTAATAATAACAAAGATATGTTGGTAAAAAATTAACCATCGAAGGTGGCTTCATTAAGTACAAAAAACAAATAACCTCTCATTAATCCAGACTAATTTAGAGAAGCATGTTCTTAAGAGTCCTTGGAGCCTAGACGTTTTCTCGTAATGCAATTTAAAAACTAGGCTACAAAGAAAATTTCTAATCCCACAGTTTACTAGATATTTAAATTACAATCACTCAGGTGTTTGAAAAAATATTTTGAGATGGTAAATGACTTTTCAGCGGCTGTTTAAAATTAAAAATTAACATTGCTCTAACGACGACCAAATCCAAGATGGCCGTTAGCTTCCATAGACTCCCTTGGGGAACATTCAAAACTACATGGATCTAATCTCACAGTTTACTAGATATTTAAATTATAATCTCTTAGTTGTTTGGAAATCTATTTTTGGACGATAAATAACTCTTCAGCAGCGGTTTAAAATCATCTAAGATGGCCACTAGCCTCCAAGGACTCTTAAACTTGAAATCAATGAAATCCCTATAAACTACTGTCTGGATTAACAAGGGTTTACTGTTTTAGCTATATATTGTGAGAAAATTTGAAGACAGTTTAAAAATCACAGCGTAGATTTTTCTACAAAAATTTATTTTTATTTTGTTTCTTGTTACAAGTGGTTCTGTTTGCATTTAAAAATCAATTGAAGGTCAAATATATTTGGTCAGGTGGACTAGATAATAAATTCATCTTTCTATACGTTAGGTTCACACTAGAACCAATTGAGTGATTTCAAATACACCAGTTTCTAGTCAATTGTTCCTGCATGTTAAATTTTCCCTCAAACTGATGGGTTTTAGGGTATCACCAACATCGATACTTACAATTATCATGTTTTTACATGTTGACTGTTTGATTAAAAGTTGTGTTTTTTGTTTTCTGAAGAGACTAGTGTATTTACAGACATTTTTGATGTTAAGGGAGATAGTTTGGAGTTGAGAATTTCCAGCATAGTTTTACGTCAGGGCCTTGATGAATGAGATTATAATATTTAGTGAATATATTGAAGTTGGGCTAAAGGAACGACCCCAATAAGAAGTGTAACAGTTTATATTGCTGTAAAGTCATCATAATATTGGCATTTAACTAAAAGTCAAAGTGTGACTTTATAAGCCTTGTCATTGACAAATTGTTATGTTAAATGTGTATTCTTGACATGTTTTAATCAAACAATATTTTACTTTTTAGTTTACTTTTACTCTCTTGTTTCTTATATTTTCTCCACTGAGGTTAAATTAAATTAAAGATACTTAAGTTAATTTGTCTATGTTTACGTAGAATAAATATTTATTATAAATAGCTCATTACTATTTGGTTGAATGTTTAAAGCAACAGTCTTAAATTATTCAATAGTTTAAATATTATTTGTGGTTTAAGAAAAGACCAGTGGAGAAACCACATAGACTAATACTGTACTTTATTTATCTTCTTCTTAGTTTATGTGTCCTGCATATCAATAATTTGAGGAAATAAATTATCCTCAAGTATAATTGTTTTTGATTTGAAAATTATTTGAAGACCAAAAAAACATAATATTTATAAAATTAATATTGTGATTAAAATAAAAATTTTATTTTATTAATATGACTGAGTAAAAAACTACTTTTTAAATTATATTTTTTTTCTTTTGCTGTGAACTATTTTTAATATAGTTTTTAAAATCTTTTACCATAGTTTGGCCGCTTAGAAAGCGACCTGCGTGCTAATGCTAACCAATGCTAGAGGAGGTTGCTTTCTAAGCGGCCGAACTATAGTACTCTGTTTTTGACATCTTACTTTATAAAATAATTGTATAAATTACATTAATATTCAGCCAAGATAAAAATAAATTTTCCTTGTCAGCAACCAATTGCTGATTGGCAAGGACAACAATATCCATTGATAAATAAATATAATAATGGATTGTTCTAGAAAACAACAAAGATAAAATGTGCGACTTATGCAGTTTTATGATGTGCCATGTTTCTCTGATAAATAATTATTAATCTTTACAGCACATTTATTTGTATTAAATTTAACAACCATATAGCAACGGCTACAGATTCTATGTATTCAATGTAGTTTTTGTAAAGTCAGTGTCTTATAAATAAAATTTGATTTGAGTTTCTTTAAAAAATATAATTATAATTTTCACTCGTACTGTTCTCCACTCTTCAATCTAATAATTTAAAGGATTATTTGAGTGGATAGTATACTATTTCATCTAGCGATAGTTAATCTTTGGTTATTCAATTTAACTATTAAAAAAAATTTGTAATGTAATTTTTTAGGTCGATTAAATTTATAATTTATTATTGATAATTTTCATTAGTGGTTTTGTGACATATCATTTTTCAATGCCAGCATTACTTTCTGATCAATTCAGAAAGACAATTTCAGTATTTAACATTGGTTTCTTTACATGTTAAAATAAAATAGTTTATTCCAGAGTTTTTACACAAATTGTCTGGTACTAATGATAATGCATTTTGAGAAAATGTTGGTTAGCATGTTGTTTTTACACTTGGTTTAGACTGAGCATTGTCCTCAATATATCAAAAAAAGTTGGTCACCAGACATTTTACATAACTTAGATTACATTCGTGTTACTTTCCCCTGATAATGAGACAGTAATAATGCATAAGAAATTCAGTGAAGGGGATGCTAATAGTTTGTTTTGGCACTTTGAAACATAATATTTTTGAGGTAATCTTGTAGTGTTTGAACTACCTAAAATATCAAAGAACCTGCAGATATTGATCGAGCGCATTCGATAATCATGTTTAAGTAATAGAAGGGAACTTTGATAGCCTTGTATCTTCTTGTTATTTGCTATAAAAAATTGTTAGTAGAATTATGTTTTGTTGTCCGATTTTTATTAAATCTGTTAAGTGTTAAGTACTGCATTATACTGTTATGAAGAGCATTCTTATTTATTATTAGTGATAAACAATATTTTATTGTTTAGTAAAATTTTTACTGTGGTTCAATTATTAGGATAGTACTGCGGATTGGCGCATTGAACAATGCATTAACATAAATAACACTATTAAATCACAATATTTCAAAACCTATTTCACTACCAATTTTATACAGTTTACCCTTGAACTTTCTTTTCATAGTAGATTTTTACAATTTATTAAAAATAATTATAAATTGAATTCTGTATCTACTTAAAATTTCAAACAACAAATTAGATGGAAACGTTCCGGGTGCTTTTTAAAATGTTATTGGTTGACATCCATTTATTTGAACTACAGTAAAAATTATTACTTCTCTTCATTGTTTTTCCTACAGTTACCTAACAATGTACATGTTCTCCCACTGATTTGAGGAAGCAAAGTGGCCAATTCGCTCATCAGTGGGACAATGTTAACATTGTCTCACTCCAGATTTGCAACGTGAAGTCACGAAATAGTGAGCAACATGCAGGCAACGTATGCGCGTGAAATACGTTGGCAGCACTGGCTGTAAATCAGCTGGTCAGCTGTTGTACTGTTGTATTTGTCACTTCACATTAAATGTTATATTAAAAGTTCACTTCTGTGTAAAAATAGGTTATGTTTCTTCAGCAATTTATTTGTTTTATGGTAACTGTAGGAAAAGAATAATGTGCAACTCGAGTTCAAAGTACAATTGCCTCACTCGAGAAACCATTCCTCACTCGCCTACGGCTCGAGTAAGGATTTCTCTCGAGTGAGTCAATTGCTCACTTTTCTCACTAGTTGCACAAATAACTATTTTTAACATTTCAAAATTTGAAATTTCTAAAAGAACTTGTTTACACAGGCCTTAACAATCAATTAACAATTTGTTTATTCTTAGTTGCGGAAAGTATACATCATATGGTTACTGTTAGAAAACACATCAGTATCTGTAGGTTCAATACTCATAATACTCATTTTATTATCTTCATTGACACTTTGTTTTAGATGTGTAGTTGTAATGTAGATGTTTTAAGGGTTGTTTTACAGTGTTTCTGTCAACATAAATGGCTTTAACTGTTAGAGCATCTTTTATTTTTTCTGGAAATAAAATCTGTGTGTTTCAAGTTTGAATTTTCTTTTCCTTAACATTTTTAATATTTTTCTAAAACATGTTATCCAAAAATGTACGCCAATATAGCATCAAATTTTACAATAATCTGTAATATTTTTTTCCTATAGTCACCCGACAAAGTGGGCTTCCTTGCACTCATAGTACAGAAAGCTGTTAATTGCTAAATTTACTTACTTTGGCGCACAGTTTTTACTTTGTCGCACACCAGTATTCCAACCACAAAACACAAAATAGCGTGCTAATGGTTCATTCACATGTTCAAATCTTACAGCTTTAAATCACAAACTATGTCACTTTATAATAATCAGAAAACCATTTAGTGGTATCAGAATTTGACTATTATTATTCATTTTAAAATGGCAGCTTTTTATGAGGACAATTTTGTACTATTTTGGAATACCCTGCAGTTTTTGAAAATACAGATTATCTGTTTTCTGGTTAAAAATCCTCATTCCTTATGAGCTAAAATTTACTTTGATATGTAACATTACTATATCAATAAGATTTTTTTAAATAGTTACATGATCAAAACTCAAAAATTCAATTAGAATTTGAATTTAGGTCAAATTGCAACAATAAACTAATAATTAAAGGTAGGTATTATGATTCTAAACCAGTTTCAAATTTAAACTTCATCTCTTTAAGATTTTGATTAATCAAATGAAATGGACACATGTTTAAAATGCAGGTTAAGTTAATTCTTAAAAATGATGTCACAAGGTGCAATGAGATATGAGCGGCACTGCAAACAATTAGGGATAAGAGTTTGGTTTGGTGAAAAAAATATAATTTCATTATTTTAGAACCACCGTTTTGTTTAAATTGGCAAAGTTGTACCACCATATACAGTACATGTTTCAAAATATCTGGCACTATCTGTTTTTTCCTGGTATCTGTAGGATTAATGCGCAAAAAATATCTAGAGGAAAGGGGAATAATGAAGAACAAAACCTTTTAGTGCAACATAATATCATTTAAACAACTTGATAAATTTGACAACCTTACATAAAAATGATATACTGTACCTAACAATTATTTGAATGCAAACTAAAATGCATAAAAACTAAAGTGACTTGAACACAGTGAAAAATCATCAAAATATACACAAAAATTATGTTCAACATTTCTACAACTTAAGTTGACAATAGGAATTATTAGTATTCTGATCATGGATTAAACATACTCCTTATAGACTTAAAGAATTATTCTTTTGGATCACTTGAAGAGAATTGATTAGAGGATTGTAATAATATTTTAACAAAATAAAACTACTTTGTCATTAAAACTAAAGACTATAGCACAAATCATATGCTCTGCCCAAATAGGAGAGAGAAAAACAATCAACATTAACGCTCAATTGCCACCCACATGAATACTTATACATAAATATAGGCCAGAGACTACACAATAGGACGAGAAGGATGATAGCACCTTTCAATGTCAATGGTTTGATAAAAAAAAAACTTTACATTTTTTGTTTATTTTTACAAATTACAATTACTTTTCTAAAATAAATCTATCAGAAATGATTCAACACACAATATTTTTACAGTAATAGGATAGAATTATTGATTTTTGTTACTTCTCTATGTTTATTGAAAGGAAAAAACGCATTGGTACAAATTAAAAATATCAAAGTAGATCATTTCTAGGACTGTTTGATTACTCAATGTCATATTGTTAAAATCATTAGAAATAGGTGGATTAGAAAACAATGAAAAATCATGTGAAGTAAAGGAAAAAAGAAAAACTGGCCCCAGTGTTTCTGTTAGGAACTCTTACAGTGGTTTTCGATTGGAAATAATACCTCCACTTCAGTAAACCTGCAGACTTACAAATTTGTTATTTACCTGGCTACATTTCCACTTAAATATTCCCTTTAGAGATTTATTTCCTGTTTAAATAACATTAGTTTTACGGCTACATAGGTTTGCTGCTACAGAGAAGGTAATGTGTTTTTTTACAAAAATGTTGATGGCTTAGTATGAAATAAACAAAATTGCCAAATTGTATTAAAATATATCCATAAACAAGCAAACTACAACAGTTTATTAACCCCCAAATCATGAGAATAACATGAGAGTTTTAATTAAGTCTTTTTTTCTTTTTTTCTCCATAACCGTTAGGCATACAATAATGCTTCAATATGAATATACTAAATTATTTCTTTATTAAGCTCCACAAAATGGTGTGGAAAGCAATTTTACACTTTCACGTTTTTAGGGTCAAAAACATGAAAACTAATTTTTAGCCCATAAACCTAGTTTCCATAGTTCAATCAAGCTAATTAAATGTAGGTTTACACGTTTGGACCAAATTTTATAAAAACACTAATTTTTTCGGGCTAATGGTTACACAATGTATACAAATGAATTTGAACGGATGGTGTTTTTGGTCTCTGGGAACCTCAAAATGAAAAAGCAAATCGGTGTAATCAAGACCTATGATTAAAGCTTATTCCCTATACTGTATGGGAATTTCACTAAAAAAAATTAAATTACAGGGGAATTGTGAGAATTTGGTAAAGCCTCAAATTTTATGGAACTAAATCATAACAACAATTATCTGAACTCCAATTAATTATCTGAATTACCTCAATGAAAAACTATAAACTCAAGGATTAAATGGGTGATTTGCTCATAGGCTCTCTTGTAGTATTTGATAACTCAACAATTAATATGATTTATTACATACTTATAATCTACATACAATAGAAATGTTGAACTAGTTAAAAACATTGATTTTATTTTATACTGATAGGTATATACAATAATCATTTGTTACATTTAAACAAATTACCCTTAAAACAGTTGTTGTAAACCAGCTTTGCAAAAGACAAAGCAGATTAAACAAAACAAACAAAAACGCGTAAAACATCAAAACATAAAAATGATGTGCTTTGCAAAAAATCAAATAAAATAACAGAGAAATAATACTACTGCAGTGTTGTAGTATCGTAGTTCCATTCAGCCATCTTCAAAAAGGCAAATTTGGTAACAAATCGAAGAGTCAGTCTTTAGTTGAGTCTGAAAATACACAACACAAATATTAGAATTAAATCTGGTCATTAATAAAGTCATAACAACCGCAGGAGATATTCAGGATTTTTCCGTGGTCGCAGATAACAATGTTAACGTCTCTATGATCGTAGAAGACGATGATGATGTTTCTGTGTCCTTAGGAAATTATCACAAAATGATGGATTATACCTAGTCATCACAAACAACATTGTGATGAAAGCAAATTTATGATAGGTAACAAGGTAACTCTACTAAATTTATTATTATCTTTTGTGGGCGACATGCTTTAAACTGAGTTTTGAGGTAGTCCAACTGGCATTTGAGTTTTTATGAAAATTAATCCATTCCTTTTGAAATAAATATTCTCTTATGATCATAAAATATTTACCCATATAACTTTCAAATAATAACTTTTATGCTGATGCTAAAACTAAGTATTGGCACTTCAAATAAAAAAATCAAAAAGTTATTTTATTTTTTGATGGAACAGTTATTATTTATTATTTTAATATTCGCTTGTATTCTTTGTCTACGTCTATCGCACCAATTTTGAGGAAAAAATTGCCGTTTGAAGAAAATAAAATGTGGTGAAATATGTTAATAAACTTAGGTACTCACTTCATCATTTTATCTAAGCTACTCAAAAATTACATTTTACTCTTCATCTTTACACTAAATTACATTTAAAAAAAGTTTTTTACTAGGTCTGATTTACTTATTATCATTTGTAACTACCGGTACATAAATTCATGATCGATAAAAAAGGTCGGTCCGGTTAAATTTTGAGGCTCAAAAGTTTGCCTCGATTGAAAATTTCAGGCTCGCATATCTCTATTCATTTAATGATTCTTAACATCAAGATAAGATATGATAATAATAAATAATACTACGGTATGTCTACAAATCAATTGTATTTTTCAGCCACTTGGTAAAAAACAGTTACTCGCTGGCGTATTTCAATATTTATAAAAAATATTCAGTATTGTTGCTTTTGTACAATCATTCCAGGTGGACAATGTTTATTTGCTTGGATTCAACAAAAAAGAACATCAATTAGAAAAACATGGTTTTATAATATTTCATGCAAATACTGCAGTAGGACTCCCGATTATTCAAATTAATTGGGAATTAGACTGATTTGGATATGTGGACATTGGGACCCAACTGAGTGCAACCCAAATATTAGTGAATGGAGTAAAATGATCTGGTTGAACTCAGATCATAAGTTTCTGGACGCGCAGCCGCGCTAGGGCCCAAAGTGTTGTTGGGAGTGTTTTTTGCTCATTTCCAAAAACATTAGGCCCACACGGCTCTGGGGTTGTTCAGCTATCGTCATGGCTAGGAGGTGGAGGGGGTGGGTGAAATGTTCACAGGACGGCTAGTAGAGACGGAACCGTGCACCCAGACTGCTTGCGCTTACTGTACATAGCTAGCTCACTACCTGAAGAGGTCTCCGGCAGATGGTAGAGGTGCCAGGCCACTGGTGGCGGACTGTGTGATGTCCGGAAGGTTGCGCATGTGAGATCTGACCTCCTTCTGCACCTGCTTGACCTTCTGGAGCTTCTCCATGTACTCCTGAGACACAAAACATGATTGACTTATAATCAGTTGATCAGTGGCTACTTACAAGTTTGTTAGGAGTACAATTGACCTAATCTGTATTGATATTGACATATCTTTAAACTACCGCCGCAGCAAACCTGCAGACTACACAGATTTCCTATTTAGATGGCAGATTTATTTAGGTACTATTTTAATGAGTACTTAGGTTTGCTGCTACAAGAAAGGTATTGAGGTGTTTTTTATCGAAATATTGATAGCTTACCAAATTCGATTAAAATATATCAATAAACAAGCTAACTACCAGTACAGCAGTTTCATTATTCTCCATAAGAGTAACATTTGAATTAAAAATTTACAGTTGTTTACAACAACAATCCAATATGGACAATTATTTTTATAAGCTCTACAAAATGGTATGGAAGGAAAGAAATTGCTAAATTTGATGTTTTCAGAGTAAAAAATGGGAAACCCAATTTTTACCCCATTAACCCAAGTTTCCAAAGTCTGATCTTGCTGGTTTGGGAACTCGTTCGATTAAATGTAGGTTTACACACTTATACCATACTAGCTGTACCCGCGGGCTTTGCCCCGTTTAACTTTATAAGTGAGCTCGATCGCATGGCTCAATCACGTCCTGGTTGAAGTTCGTTCGCTACGCTCACTCACTTTTAGGTTGAAGCTCGTTTGCTGCGGTCACTTGCCTTCAGGTTAACTCGTTTGCTACGCTACGCTAAAAAGGTGCAGGATGAAGAGATCCAGTTTCCTGAACTTAAAAACATTTTGTCAGTTATATTTTTTAAGGGTCCTCAGGACATTAGACCGAGGTACAGGCAGAATCTCTGTGCAATCACAGCACTGGCCACCTGCACTATTTTAACACTGGCTTTGCTATGTGGCTTATACCATAGCTTGGACAATGACATTACTTCTATCTCCCTCTCAAAATCATCCCTCAGCCTAGCAGGTACAGAGTGGGTAAAGTTGATTCTTCAATAACTGACTGTGCATTATTTACCTCTAGGTTATGCTGATTTTATTTCCCTAAACATCAGTATCATTCAACATCTTCATAATTACAATTAAGGTATTAGAATAGGTGTGAGAAAGGATAGGATAAGCAGGCTTACCTTAAAAAATGTAGGCATCCCACTACATTCACTACAGAACACAGAAGAAAACACAAACAAAATAAACACTGGATATTTCGAGGCCACTGGCCCCTTTCTCAACATGGAGAGTCACATTAGATATTAAGAGTCTTTCTAATGTGAAAGACATGTGAACATGTGAAAGACTCTTAATATCTAATGTGACTCTCCATGTTGAGAAAGGGGCCAGTGGCCTCGAAATATCCAGTGTTTATTTTGTTTGTGTTTTCTTCTGTGTTCTGTAGTGAATGTAGTGGGATGCCTACATTTTTTAAGGTAAGCCTGCTTATCCTATCCTTTCTCACACCTATTCTCAGGCAATTAGCCCTTCATTATTCATACTCCTACAACCAGTCATTAGCAGTAGCACTGATAACTGCAGGAGATAACTGCACACTAAAGGCAAGAACACAACCACTCACATCAAGCGTAGCTTCAGCCTGTGCTAGGAGGTCTTTCTGCGCCTGCTTGAAGTCTTGGAGCATCTGTGCGAGTTTGCGCCTGTCCTCCATTTCGTTCAGTAGCCTCGTGTTGTACTCTGCCATCAGCCCTACAGCCTCGTTCACCTGCTTGGCCAACCGCTCGGCTGCTGCCTTGTCTGTTAACAATTCAGTCGATTACTTTTCTCGTAAAAAAACTCAACTTAGAAACATTTGCTTTTGATAAAATTATAACTGGTAATAATCACAAAGGTCATGAATCTGGTCCACATGTAAGACTCTTGTCCCCCTGTGTATGAGGTGTGTCATATCCATGCAGATGTTCAAAGTTTTTACGTAGAGCATTTTTATTAAGTAAATGGCTACTGGGTCTCCATAAAAAATCCAAACAAAATTTATATTTGGTCTTTTAACACCTATGTACTCTGTTAACATTTTGATAAAGATTTCAATGTTATTCTGGAATACATCTAAATAGATCAAACATAAACAAATTTTATAAACCTAAGAGCAGCAACTAAGATTTGTTTCTAAAATCATTTGTGGATAAAAAATAGTTCCTACAGTGGATTTAAAAAATCAAATTACTGTGGAGTGTTGATTATCTGAAGTCCAGTCATTCAAAACGTTGGATAAATAAAAAAAAAAAAAAACTTTCCCTATAGTTACGAAGACGTTGCAAACCATCATTTTCCACCAATTCTTGGCTTGTTTTTATTCTAAAATTTGGTAAATCAGACAATTGACTTAAAAGACCAACTCATTCCTAAAAGTATATCTCTAAGAGGATTGGTAAGGTAGTCAGTTGAATATCATAAATTACAGACCACAGATATCGTAGATGATAATTATTAAAAATAAAAATTTCTAAAAAGTTAAGACAAGGATTGATATGCAGGAAATGTTTGGAGTCTCCTACCTTCCAGTTTAGAAAGTAAGTTGACTTCAGAGACTTCTGGAGGCAGACTGGCAATCTTCTCTCTTACTACTGCATCACTTGATGCAGAAGTCTCCAAGTCCTGAGAAAAATATCAAAAGTTTAATTTTAAAAAGATAGGAAAATGAACATGTAATGGCAACTTTGTTTGTTGTTTGAGAATGGGCTCTTTTAAGGAGAGCCCACATTTAAAAAAGTAAATCCAGCACATCAAAGAAAGCCTTTCATTTTAAACCTTTCTTAACCTCACTTTTCAATTACAGAAAAAAATCAGGTATCTATTTTTTTCTGATAAAAAATATCAGCCATTACAAGTTTTCATAAAACCATGACCATGCCTATATTCTGTTCACAAAATGTAGGCGGTTTTAGGGAAAGAAATCTATCCCCTCCTCTAATAGCTCAATAGCTGAGGTTTGCCAAAATATAAATCAGCTGTGCCATATATATATTAAGTAAAAAAAGTAGTGAGGGAACTTTCCCTCAAACCGTCTAGATTTTGTGAACGGAGCATAGTGCATCACAATAGGTTATTGAGTTCTATATACCAGCACCACAGTTTTGCTGATCAGCCCAATAATGGAATGACTCGAGGGTAATGTCAATTTGTCAGATACAGTCTGGATTGTTGGGCTCCTAAGGCCTATTTTATTAAAGAAAAAAATGAATTCTTGAAATGGGTTGAGGTTAAGTTTGGTTTGGCTGACCTGGAGAGCCTTGATGAGTTCCTCAGGCTCTGGTGGGTCTCCCGCCGGAGTCTGAGGACTCAGGGTTACTCTTCTCTCCTTGTGACCATCCACCTCCACCTCCTTCTCCTTCTTGACACTGCCAGTGCGACTCAGCGACCCGTTGCTGGCCCGTGACTTCTTACGTGGCGGTGGCGTCTCATCCTTCTCTCCTTCTACAAGGGGAAGAGCATGTGTAAAAAAAGGTCTTGTAGAGTATAAAACTGTCTGTGTATCTGAGAGGTGTAAGTCCTCGTTTAAAAAAAGGTTTTATCCCAAGTGAATTCAATTGTGGATCCAGATGCCATTCAATGGGCTATGAATGAACGAGGATGTCTAAATGAAAGGTTGCCATTTGAAAAAAAAAATCAAAATAACTAATAGCATGGTTTTAAAAAATGAAGTAGGCTAAGAAACATGATTTTGAAATGCAAGGTAGAGGAAAAATGTACCTTGGAACTACAAGGAAAAATATCAAAGGATGGGAGGAAAAAAAATTATCCCGATAATCCTAGTGCTAGGTGAGAGGAAAGGTGTGTAAATGGGCACAAACCCGGTTAAGATGAAGGAGAGAAGTCACAAGAAGAAACAAGGAAGATTGTTAAATACCGCTGCCGTAGCAAACCTGCATACTAAGCCAATTCACGTGGCCAGATTTCTACTAAAAAATTCCCTAAAAATTATCAGAAATACTTTTAGATGGTAAATAACTCTTAAATAACTTACACCAGTGTTGATGGAAAACTCTTCAGATAGATCTCCTTCCACTCTCTCTTTGGCTTTTGAGTTTTTCATACATATTTCACCTATTCAAGTACTTCATACACATCAACCTATTCTATTATATGGTAGTGAAACATAGGTATTATCCAAGAAAAATGAAACTTGACTCATGGTGTTTGAAAATAAAGTCCTAAGAAAAATATTTGGACCAGGGAGAAATGTGGAGAATAGGGGAAAAAAAGATCACTATACGCCAACCCAGATATCGTTGCAATATTTAAAGGAAGAAGGTTAAGTTGGATAGGGCATGTGACAAAAAGAAAAGAACTAGACTGTATGAAGTTTGGAGAGCCACACCTGGAGGTAAACGTCTATTGTGAAGGCCGAAGTTGAGATCGACTGACCAAGTATTGAACGACATCAGGACAATGGGTAAAAATGTCAACTTGGCAGAAGATAGAGAAGGGTGAAAGAGGCTGGTACACGACAACTGAGATTTGTGGAGCCACGGCAGTAAGTAAGTACCCTAAGTAAATAACTCTTCAGCAGCTGTTGAAGTAAACAAAATTAACATTGCTCTTATAACAAGCAAATTCAAGATGGTCACTAGCTTCCATGGTCTATCTTGGAAAATAATTCAAAACTACAAAGAACATTTCTAATCTCACAGAATTCTAGATATTTAAATTATGATCACTTTGATGTTTAAAAAAATATTTTTGGACAGTAAATAACTCTTCAGCAGCTGATTAAAATTATCCAAGATGGCCACTAGCCTCCAAGGACTCTTAACTGTTAAACAATCTGAAACTTTCAAAAAATGTAATAGTCGACTTTAACAGTTTATAGTGTAGCAAAATTGAGTCCCTACTAATTTCTAAACTAGCATTAACCCGAATAATCATGACCAGGTAGCTGTCAAAAAGGACTGGTTTGGTATGTTTTAGTAAAAAAAATATGCAAGACTGATGTTTTACGAAAAGTCAAGAAATTCGCTCTAAGTTTACACAAAACTACCATATAAATACTTTTTTCTTTCAAAAGTTGTTAATTCAAACCGTGTTTAAAACATTGACATCGTTTAATTAAAATGCTAAATACGTAACAAACAGTCTCTTGCTGTTTTCATTAATTTTACTTTCTCCCCCTATACCATAGTATATGGAGAAAGTATTGTTTTTGTCAAAATTTTCGAGTTTGAGTTTTGAGTGGATATATTCGTTTTGGGTCCCCCTGGACCCAAAAAAGTGGTTTTTGAAGTGATGTCTCTGTGTGTGTGTGTGTGTGTGTCTGTGTGTGTGCTTTCGTGCTGCATAAGCTGTGGGGACATGAGTGTGAATGTGACCAGACTGTGTGGACCTGGTCGCTTATGTGGACATCACACACGTCCACACAATTTTCACAGGAAATACATTAACTGTGTGGACTTAGTGATGTCTGACTAGTGGCGCTCCTACAGACTTTTTGGTGAACAAGGAAAGCTGCTGGCGGCTACTAGCAATGGGACTTGAGTGTTTGGCTTCCCAATCTCCTGATATAGAATACTCCTTGTACAACATTTCATAATAAATGAATAACCCAATCAACTACATATTTAAATAATTCTTACAATTTGGTTAAACATAGCATAATTATCATTTATATATATATTTATTTATTTATATAAATATTATTTTTTTAACTTGTTATGCTACCTAATATTTTTTCATAGTTATTTATTTCACTATTTGTTCTTGTGATTCCATTTAGCTCATATTTTCACCCATCTTCTTTCATTTATTTATTTTTTCTATTTGATCAAATAGAATTAGATCAAAGTCAAAGTCATCTTTATTGTCACAAAACGTTTTTTTTTTTATGCTCTGGCACAGCCAGACAAAACAGGTGACATTGTCAAACTATACTAAAATAAACTAGCTTATATTGGTAAAAATAAATACATAGTAGGTAACAAAACAAACAATTCACATTGATTTATCTTCAAGAAATTGACCAATACTATAATAATTCTTTTCCAATAAAAATTCAAAAATTTTTTCTTTAAAAGATACTAATCCTATTATAGATTTGTAGTACCCAGGCAAATTGTTAAAAAATCTTTTACCCATATAAGAAGGTGTCCTTTCCACAAGATTTAATCTGTGTATAGGATATTGAAAATCTGTATGAAATCTAGTGTTATAATTGTGCCGATTATTTTCACTGTGGAGTTTTTCAAAATTTGATTTCACATACAATAAACATTTAAGAATATACAAATTAGGGACGGTTAGAATCTTTAGTTCTTTAAAAAGTTGCTTGCAAGAATGTTTTACGGGTTTAAAAGTCATAATTCTAAGTATTCTTTTTTGAAGTTTAAAAAGTTGATACGAATCAGATGTGACGCCCCAAAGCTCTATTCCATACTGTAAAATTGACGAAAATAAAGCGTGATAAATCATTAGTCTAGTGTTTAAATCAACAACATTTCTTAAGACCAACATTTGAAAACATACTGAATTTAACTTTTTAGAGGTGTTATGAATGTGATTCTTCCAATTCAATAAACTATCTACATCAATTCCTAAAAATTTAGCTGTGTTGCTAAAATTTTTTTTTTCATTATCAAAATAAACAAAGCCTTCAAGATCGTCCCTACACTGTGCAGTTTGAAATTTTACTATTTGTGTTTTAATGTGGTTCATTTTTAAACCGTTTACTTTAAACCATTTTGACAGATCTTGAAGAGCTTGATTCAAGGCTAAACTTAGTTCATGACTGTCTTTTGATTTAATGATGGCTGTCGTATCGTCAGCATATAACAACAAACTAGGTTTAACATTCTTAGGTAGATCATTTATGTACATCAAAAACAATAACGGTCCTAATATAGAGCCCTGAGGCACCCCCATAACAATCTTTTCCCATTCAGAAGCATACTTAATGTTTTCTTTAATAATAACTGTTCTTTGAAAGCGATCGTTTAAATATGATTTCAACCACAAAATAACTGATTCTGAGAATCTATAGGAGGATAATTTATCAAGAAGAATTTGATGGTGTACACTATCAAAGGCTTTGGATAGATCACAGAACACGCCAATAGTGCTCTGTGACCCATCCAAGCTCTGTGTTATTGAATTTACAAAATGAGCCACAGTGGAAGTGGTACTTCGATTTTTCCTAAAACCAAACTGTTCATCAGCTAATAAGTTATTAGATTCCAGAAAATAGGACATTTGATTGAATGCAATTTTTTCAAATATCTTTGAAAAAGAAGGCAGGACAGAAACAGGTCGGTAGTTATCTGAATTACTCTTAGAACCTTTTTTAAATAATGGCTTCACCTCTGCATACTTCAAATGATTAGGGAAAGTGCTATTGGTTAAAGTCTGATTGATGATTATGGACAATGGCTCAGCAACATACTTAATTACTTTTTTTATCATAGTAGTTGAAATCCCATCCCAACCAGCCGTTTTTTTATCACTTAGTGACTTGACTATTTTGATAACTTGCTGAGGTGTAACTAAACTAAAGTTAAAAATTGGAATATCAGGCCTATGTGTGATTGATTTTGTTACTAGTTCCATTGCCTTACTCTTGGAAAAATTTACCCCTAAATCCTTCCCTACCTCAATAAATTTAGAATTAAAGTGAATTGCAATAACTGTGCCATCTGAGACTAACTTGCTATCAATAACTAAATCAGGAAAAGAATTATTGATTGGCTTGTAACCAAGTTCGGCTTTAACCACAGCCCATGCTGCTTTAGTCTTATTACTAGCCTTATTTATATAACTACAATTATACATTTTCTTTGCTAGGTTACAAACAGATTTAAAAACTTTTTTGTACATTTTTACATAGCCAATAAAGTTAACATCAGTAGAACTCTTTGCTAAGTTGCTTAACATTCTTTTCTTTTGACTAGAAATTTGAATACCTTGTGTTACCCATTTTTTATTTACTGTTTTCTTTTTAATTTTAACAGGTTTGAAAGGGAAAGATTCCTCAAAAATTCTTTGAAAAGAACCAAAAAAATTATTACTGTTTAGAAAAAGGTCGTTATTTTTTGTAGTATTCCATTTCATTTTGCTGATAGAGTTTATAAAGTTATTAATATTTCTTTCAGAAAAAATTCTTTGCTTAAAAGAAGTGTGTAATTTTTGTCTATCCTCATCATTTCCCTGTAAAGAAATAAAAAGAGACCTGTGGTCAGAAAGACCAGTTTCAATATTCATACAGATTTTTGTATCAATTGGCTTAATTTTGAATGTTATGATATTATCTATGCATGAAATTTTGTTCGGCGTAATTCTTGTTGGTGATTCTATATTTATACCTAGACCAAAAATATCTAACAAATTCAAAAAATCCAATCTCTGTTGTGGAAAAGTACATGTATCTAAAATGTCAATATTAAAGTCACCTACAATATAAACATCCTTAAAACCTAGCTCTTTCTGCAGTA